GCCGATCAAGGAAACCATCCATGAACTTTCCGGCAGGTGTCTGCTTCTTTGCAGCCTTCTGTAATTGCTGATAAGTTTGTGGAAGCTGCATTCCTGACTTGATTGCCTTCTGACGGTTAACACAAGGTTTGCGATGCTCATCCCCATCTCGATGAGCATAGAGGTTGTCGTTCGATTTGATTCCACGGGTAAACCATTGGCCACAAAATTTACATGGGTAATGACGCTTGAATGACCCAGTCTTGAAAATAGATAAACAAAATAGAAAATCAAACAAATAATGTGAAATGAAATAAATCAGTGAGCTTTGAGTCACTAAAAAATACATTCCAGACTCAGGTTTATTCAATTCCACCGAAACCAGTGAGGTTACACACCAGTTGTAAATCCTCACTGGTTCACAAGCTGATCAGACCTCTGCACCAGTCAGAGCTTGATCATCACTTGCTGATGGAATGTAAACTTGAATCTGTCATCGCAAATGTATCAATGAATGAAGTCAAAGAACAAACGAACCTCATTCTTATAATGCTCCGGCTTTCCATAATACTTAAGGAGAAAAATAACGTCCTTCGATTGACCCGGACGTGTTTCAGCATTTTCATCTGAAGATGAGACCTGGTCAACGTCAACCACGTCAGGAACCGACTTGTCCTTTGTGCCCTTGCCCTAGAGAAGATAAAAGTAAAATAACATGAGTGGGGATCTGAGAAGCAGACAGCGCAAAACAGAACAAACTCGCCTTTGAGGTCTTTTGCTTTTTCTTGCTGACACTCGGATCCGGTGTGTCAGACTCATCACCATCTTCTTCACGTGGTCGCTTGTCCTGGAAGTTGAACAGACAAAAGTAAAAGAAAATGAGTGGTGGATATCGCTGAGAACCAAACAGCATGCAAAGATAGAAACTCACATTTGTGGCCTTTCTCTTTTTTTTGGTGAGACTCGGTTCGTTATCGCAACCGTCTTCGCGTGCTCGTTTTTGTGTTGTACCGGAACCAGAGGCAGCAGGTAACTCGTCGGTAGGGCTGTTAGGATGTGATGCATTGGCAGTTTCTCTTGTGATCCTACGGCGTGAATCTGACCCGGTAAACACATAGCCAGGTGATGGTTGTTGTGGAGATCGGTTTCGTAGGTTTCGTACTTCGCGAGCTGGTGTGGATGGGATCCCAAGAGTTGTGGAAGAGGATTTAGGAGCCGAGGAGGTGGAGGGATTCATAATGAAGGAAATGTTTGAAAAGCAATCGGAGGAAAGGTCATTCAAGGTAGAAATCGAATTTGAGGAGTACAGAAGAGAAAGTAAAGTGGAGCAAGGATTTGATCCAAGGGGTAATAGGAAGAGGATCACTAGAGGCCTATCAGCCTGTTCTAAGGGTCCAACTCTGAGATAATCCGCAAGACTGATTGGAATCCGATCATCAAGACTGATTGTGGTTGAACTTGGATGGAAGGAGGTCCACTGGAGACGGAAAGAGTTCAGCAATCAGCAAATTAACTAGTGAAAATTCTTGGGGAAACGTGATTGAACCACTTACACTGGATTTGCCCATCTTGAATGTACCAATCGAGATGTGGTTGATTGAATGAGAAAGAGATGTACTAATCGGGACTTCTGATTTGAGTCAGGGGCTGATCATGTAGAGTCTTATAGGCTACCTACAGTACGGGCCAAACTGGGCCCCTGGGTTCCCCCTGGGGTCCCGTCAATGGGGCAGCGGCGGGTTGGACCCCGCTAAAAACCGGGCCTCAGCGTGGTTTTATCCCAGTCCAATTTCAGTAGACTGAGGGCGCGGCGGGACCCCCGCACTGCCCCCGCACTGCCCCAGTTTTCAGCGGCGGGGTTTGGGTGTTGGTACTAGTGCCGTATCTGTGGCTGTGTTGCTGTCAGGCCCCCCCACAACCCATGAATTCATGGGTGATGACACACTACAGAAAGGTGGGACACCATCTGTCACATACCCTGTCACTACTGTTGGCACCTGGTCAACAGGCAAAAGACAGATCCGGTGAAAAAAAAAATTGAACATTTCAACCATTTTACTTTCTACCAACCTAGATAAAGAAGTCTTATTATTAACCTATGAAACAGATATTGAACAAACTCAAAGCTCATTGAGACAATCAGAACAAAGACCTTCATTACTTTTGTCTGCTAGATCTGATTTCTCTTCATTTAGATCACAACAAAGCAAATCAGATGGTGATCATCATTTAGGGGATCAAGATAGAATTCATTCAATTCATCAATTAGCTGATGATATCTTAGATCATGCTTATGCTAGACAGATTATTTGTACATTTTCTCTTTATCTTGTCTATCTTGTGTTTGTTATTATATTGATCTTACCTGTTTGATTCATTCATGTTCAAAAGCAACACGCCTGAATAACAAAAAACACATAAAAAAACCTGTGGATTAATCATATCATGTTTCGGTCTTTCATTTAAAAATCTTCATCATGATCCAAAGAAAGTTGGAATTGAGTTAAGATTGCAACGAGATTTAAAAGAACCATGATTGAGTTAAAGAATCCTGTGCAAAACAAGACAAGTTATTGGCTTTTTATCACCTTACAATCTACTCTTACATCAAATTTGACTTTACCAATCCTTCTGTGTACTTCACAGGGGCAAAAATTGATGCTCACAACTATGTGAGCGTTGAATAGTTTCTGTTTTGTTCCCATTTGGTTCCCATTTGGTTCCCATTTGTTTCCCATTTGTTTCCCTTTTTTTTCTGATTGTCAGCTCATTATGTGATCAACAGAAGCTGAGGAGATGAGTCAGGCCTCCCTGAGGCAAAATTCCTTAGCAAAGAAGCCTGAGGGAGGGCTGGCCCATCTGCTCACTTCATCTAAGCCCCTCAGCTCATCCTCAGCGGCATCCCTTGACACCTGCTGATCCAGGGGACACCTGTGGCTGGCTGGGCTTTTGTCAAGCTAGCCCCGTGTTGGGTTTTACAACACCAACCCTAAACTGTTTTGGGAACAAGGGCAACATAAATCTCATTCTCATTCTCAATCAAAACATCAAATCTCATCTCATTAAACTAACACCAACCAACCAGCCAATCAATCAATCAATCAAAAAAAAAAAAAACAGCTTGCAAAACACTTTGTTGTCAGAGTAAGTTCAATCAAATTCATCAACCCAATCAATCAAACCACAAATCAATCAAACCAATGGGGGAAAAACACTAATCTAGATCTCACTAGTCAGTTAGGACATCAGAAGTCACATTAGAATCACAAATCACACATTATGATAAACTATGTACATCAGTTTCAACAAACTTAGTTCAAATGGGACCCTAAACAATTCAACTTTAACACAATCAAGATAGTAGAATCCAACATCGAAGAGAATCTAAAACAGGGAGGTAAACTCCTCAAATCATCAATCCAATCCAATCAATCAACCAAAAAAAGAAATTTAACGGAGTTGTTTTTAATATAGCTTTCATTATTAGTGGATCAAATCCTAAGATTATTAGAAACAAGTTTCCCAAGCCTGACCAGTTCAATGATCCACAGCACAAACCGACACAAAGAAATCCTAACAACCTATGAAAAAGATTTCAAACGAACCCAATTATCCTTACAGGAATCTGAACAAAGAGCTTCATTACTTTCCTCTGTTTGATCGGAGATTTCCTCATTTGAATCTCAACAGAACCATTGCTCTACGGATGATGATCATCATCTACAGGATCGTGATCGGATTCATTCCTCAAATCAATTGGCTGACAAGATTCTTAATCAAGCTTATGAAACTTGTCATCAGTTCTCAGTTCAGAGGAATTTGATCTTAGGTATCAATACGAGGATGAATAGAGTGGTTTGTAAGTACTTCGGGTTAGATCAATCTCAAACTGATTTCTTTATTGTAAACTCATCTCATTCATTCTGTTTAAATAGCTTCAATCCCAGGTGTAAACTCTTTAGTATGAATGATCCAATCACGTAGAAGAAGAGATACATCCATTCTAGCTCGAGTAGCTGGAAGTTGTACATTCTCACTCTTACTGATGACCTTTAGATAAACTGAACATCAGATCTTTTGAAAAACCACCACTCCTTTGGAATTCATTCTTCTCTATGACTTTTGAGAAATCCTGTTTGATGACTTTCAATCCTTTGATCTTGAATTTTATATTTTCATGTATATATGCTTGTAACTTTTCTCATTCCTCTTTCTCTCTTTTGTTTGTTTTTGTTATCATATCAATCATATCTGTTTCATCCATCCATATTCCAGGAACCACATATCAGACGTTAACAAAACCAAACAGAGTTTGCTTCTCAGAATCATCCTACACCAAGCTTGCTAGAAAAATTTGATCATGTAAAGAATCAAGAGATGTAGATTGATGTAAGATCAAAAGCATATCTATAAGAAGTACAGTACCCAGAGTTGAATCGTGAAGAAATCAAGTGTACATAGAAGGGACGACTCTATCAATTGATCATCTTCACCTGCATTTCCCGCCCAAATCATCTCTGACTTTGCCTTTCCTTAAATCATGATATGACACATCTTTTGCTCCACTTGATCACTGATCTTGAACGGAATTTATAACACTCTACTTTAGCTGTGGCCTCACAAGACAAAAAAGTTGATCTTTGAAAATGCGAGAGGTAATCTTTCTAATAAACCAACTGGTACATATCTGTACTGGAATCCTAATGGTTCACAAAGAAATCTTTGGGTGGTATTGATTCCTTATTCCACCAAAATCAAAGAATTAATTGAAGTTCCAATAATCAGATTGTTTTCATTTGCGTTGATAATTATATGGGAAAATAAAATATTTACAACACTTCAGATTTTTAGTAAAGAGAAACACAAAACACTTCAAACAAAACTAACATTCAATCTGATGATTTCACAAACAGCAAAGACAACTCACATCCATTCTGTCACATCTTTAGTTTTTTTTTGATTTGTTAAAATCACTCAAGGTTCAGTTAAAGAAGTATCAATTCAAAACACGCAGTGAGAGTTTAATCAACTTCTTCAATCTTGATATCATCATCCTCCAAGCCGTCAATCTCCCCATCAATATCCATAGAAGTAGCATCATGATTAGGTCTGATTAAGATTTGATTAGCTCTCCAATCAGCTGTTACCATCGCCACTTCTCCATCCCTAATTCTTTCTTCTAAGATCATACAAGACAAGGGATGTAACAATTTGTTTTGATGGTTCGATTCAGTGGTCTTGCACCATACTGTGGATTGAATCCAGCTAGACCCAAGCTATCTCTTGCCTTATCGTCTACTTCCAAAGTGATATCCTTTCCATTGATGTACAGTCGTTTTTGAATCTCAGCCAATCGGACGTTCAATTGATCGGATTTGTGCTGATCCAAGCTTGTTGAGAATCTGTTCAAATGAGAAAACTTTTCAGCAAAATATCCATCTGATAATCACTGCACTTGATAAAAAAAAGCCTAAATCACTTATGATAGCTGCATCAATCCAATTAATAAACTCAGGAGCAAAGTGTGCACAAATAGCACTATGAACCAAAATCTTAGCCGATTCAGGTACCGGTCCATCTTCAGGCGTCTCATTCAGGTATACAGCTCCCAAATTACTCGTCATTACAATCAGACAATTTCTAAAGCTGACTACTCTTCCCTGACTATCAGTCAATCGACCATCATCCAAGACTTGTAAGAACAATTCAGTAAACTCTCTTGAGGCTTTCTCAATCTCATCAATCAATACGATGCTGTAAGGTTTCCTTCGTACCCATTCAGTGAAGGTTCCTCCTTCTTCGCGACCGACGTAACCGGGCGGAGAGCCAATCAAGCGACTAACACTATGCTTCTCACTGAGATAACAAATCACAAAAGGAAGGAAAAGTGTGCAGTCAATCAGTATGGTGCTTTATGGTGAATCCAGCAGTTAACACATAACTCACGAGTATTCACTCCCATCAATTCGGCAGATTGCATCTCCACTATTGAACAAGAATTTGTCCAAAGCCTTGGTAAGTAAAGTATTACCGGTCCCCAAAGGCCCACCTAGTGTGAAAGAAACCAGAGGTCAATCTTCTGAACAGTTATCAAATCGCATCTATGAATCAGAGGAAGAGAAACAAAAACTTACAGAACAAAAACAATGCAATTGGTCTTGACTCATTGGATAACCCACTTCTACTCAATCGACATGATGAGTGGGTGAGTTGTCGCAAGGTGTAGGTTCTTCACAACAGCAACATCTGATGTAAACTGAGAAGAGTAAAAGTCAATACTGTAGAGCTTTCTAGAACGATCAAAGGGAATACGTTCAAGTTCTTCGAGTTCCTTGACAATCCAAATGATATCTTCCCTCAAAGAGTCCAATGGATTGATGATTGGAGTTTGTGGGATTGAGTTTGATCCAGATGAAACTGAGTTGATCAGATTCTGAATAGAAACTTGAGATGGACTTTGAGTTTTGGCAGGAGAAGTAGTTGAAGATGGTATACAATTGAGGCACTGATTGTTGAGTTAGGCAAGGGTGGATATCCATTATTACAGCAGAATCAATCTGAGGTTGAAGAGATGGGTAATGTGATTGAATCGGTTTTAGGTTTTTGAAGCTTTGATTGAGATTGAGATTGAGAATCAGATGAAGAAGATTGATTTTGATGTAGTTGATTTGAGATTTGATTAGTACAATCGATTTGATCACAAGATTGATAATAATCAGAGAATGTTAAACAAAGTTCATTTGAACAACATAATGTATCCAAGAGTTGTTGATGATGATCTAAATCAGAACAACAATCAAAAGCAAATGAGTTAGGATTAGTAATAGTTAAGACTTGATCCCAAACTGAATGATGATGAGTAGATGTCATTGAATGTTGATTGGAGAAAGATTGATTAGATTCAAGTGGTGATGATGATTGTGGTTTGTATCTGCTGATGTCGATGCTGTTGGCGAACTTCTCACACAGGGGTTGACCAACCGTACTTGGAGATACATTCCTCAACCCGTCAAAAAACCGGTCTCTGCTCAAAAACCCGCGGAATTTGAGCTGGGGTCCGGCCGTAATTCTTGGGTACCCCGCAAACCAGATTTCAACAAAAGCAGGGTAAATTTGTGGTGTAGTGCTGACAAGTATTGGGAAGGGGTGGTGAAAAAAAATGAGTATGTTTCCATCTTGGAGAGGTTCTGAGCTGTTCTGAGTATGTCTCATGAGTGGATCCTGTATACTCATCTCAGAGACTGAGCCCAAAGAATGCTCATCCATGATAAAAATGAGCATTCTCCAGCAATGCCAAGCAAAATCTGAGCAGAACAGCCTGATCGCCTGAACACTGCCAAACTCATGAATTGAATGATTCTGAAACAAAATGAATCTTTTTTGGAGACTTCAGGAAAGTCTACAACGCTCACATAGTTGTGAGCATCAATTTTGGCCCCTGTGCTTGTAGTTTGATCTATATTCGTCCATGTGTTGAAAGTGAGATTTGAATGTGGGTCTTTGGGAGGCATTGCGGTTCCAGTCGACTTGGGGTGACGTGGTGATTGATTAGGTGGAGGTGTGGTTAATGAAAGGTCTCGCCAAGCTTTCATTGGGGATGTGACGTGGCGGAAACAAAGAGTGAAAGAATTGTGCTAAATTTCATGGGGAAGGGACAGGTCACTGAAAGGCCTGACAGTACTGTCAGGGTTGTCCCAATTGCCCCTTGTTCTCTGTTAGATTTGGCGGCCCCGGGGCGTGTACTGTGAGTGCTGTGAGATTGCTCGGGCAGAGTTGGCCGGACGGGGCCGGGTCCGGGTCACAGCCCTAGTTCAGGATGTGTCAGTAAATCACCCAAATCTATAATATCATTCATCTCAGACAGACTAAATACCTATTGGTTTCCATCCTATCAGAGAAGAACACAATACAGTTAAACCTCTAACATCCAGTGCTCTTGGTGGACAGCTTTTGTACCAGATAACAGAGATTACCAAAATCCAGAGTCAAGATCCATGCTGGTAGCCTAACTTGGCAGACCAAAATTCAACCATATATCAGAGGAGACCAGGTATTTGAGGACCAGATTGCAATTTTCAGAGGTTTGACTGTACTGAATACTCCTAATCTTACTTTTATATATGGTGGAACCATAGGGAAAACCAAAATCCAAAAAAAAAAATCTGGCTGATTGAACTCTGTTGAGGATGAAAGAGATGCTTGTTGTTGTGGAAAAATATATGACTCCAAGCATATCCATATAGTTATCCTTTATTTTTTGCTTGCTTGTTAGATTTCATTTCTTTGAATATTCTTATGTTGGACAGGTGGGTCATAGTAAAATAGATGAACCCCATAAAATTTGTATGGTGAACTATTATTTTCCTCCTTGCATCTTTTTCTTTCTTGTTGATGTTCTTATACTTGACAGGTGAGCTATAGTACTTTATAAGTGAAACTTTTGGCAGTTGTGGCAGCAACAGGCATGCCCCAACCTGGTACTGTCCAAAAATCCCTCATCATCTTAGGTGTAAAACCCCTGTTGGGTAAGAAATATTACACTTTCTAACCGCCTGAGCATCCTTACAAAGGCCTTGGTTTTAAGACTTGTATGCAGATTGTATCCTGCCTCTACAAGAAGGCTTTGGTGGGTGCAGGTCAATATGCCATATCAAAATGGACATACTTTCACATAAGCATTGTCAATTGGAAGGTTGGACTTGGGGAACTGTGACAATTTTGGGAGTCACATCCTGGAGGCAGGCTTGCCCAGGAGCACCCCAAAAGCTCAAAATATGTAGGAGAGTGTCACCTTGTTATTCTGCAGGCTGTGACAGGTTAGTGTCAAGGAGTTTTGGGTGTGCTGCATGTTAAAAAGATTGATCAATCCTATTCCAATAATATTCATTGGGTTTTCCTTGCACTGGGTTGATGTTACTTGTCAGTGTCTTCTCCCAGAAATGCAAGTGTGTCAATAATGTATGAATTTTGTTTGAAAAAAAATACAGTTGACTTGACTTGACCATGATATTTTATACAGTTTCCCTTGCGCTTTTGCACCTAGGCACACTCCTTCAAACAAGAGTGCGCCCACAGCATGACTTGGGACTCAGGTGGTGGGTGCAGCACATATTGCATGTCAAAAGGTGTGTCAAATAATTTCAAAAACAGGGGATGGCGCGCCCACAAGCAAGACTTGTAAAATTTGAAGTGTAGGTCTTCATGGGCCAAATCTTGGGCTAGAGGAAGCCTATCAGATTGTCATGTTGTTCTATGTAACTTTCAAGGCAAAGAAATCCCTTCAATTGAGCCCCACTTGAGATGTTGTTGCTAATGATTGCTCTTCAGAGTATTGAGACCCGTAAACTGTCTTTTCAACAAAAGTTTTCTGTAATTTTTATCTTAAAATCATGGCTATCGTGACTTGAAACAGCTTTTCCAAGTCCTGATTTTTGTTTGAGCTTTGTCACAGCCTTGACCCTTGAAAAGATTTTTTTAATGTTTTGCATGTTTTTTTGCTCAACACGCGCGTCCGCGTGCCCCCTGCTGTTTAGGCGCGCCTCTCTCTCCGCCAAATCCGCGCCCATCACGGTCATAATTTTCTAGCCTGGCAGCCAGTGCCTCAGTAATTTTTCCACCAATCTTTGATTTCAACATCTGTGGCTTCACGTGAATGCTCACCCTTTTGAAAGATACCGAAAACCAGGGAGAAATATTAGATACTTCCGAGTCTGACTTGGCCCTCACACTTTCCCAAAAGATACATTGGTCTACTTCGAATTGGCATCTTGTACTCCCTAGTGGATGCTCTATAGCACACGCCAGCATACTTACAAACTTGGCAATTTCACATTTTTTGAGTAACTATTCTCTTTGAAGGTTTGTAAACAAAACACAGGCCATATCAAAAACGCTTTGATTACTGTACAAGCTTCTTGAGCCGTGAATTGAACAGCGACTAGGTATTTTGACTTGATCACTTTTATGTAGCTGCATTGCAGGAATTGCCCCCGTAGAAACTAGATAGACCTTTTTTCTCAATCAAACAAAGCCCTTTAGGACCGGGAATCCCTTCTTCACAAAGCATCTGGAAACAACGGGCTTGTTTAAAGCTCAGACGTGACCTGATATTCTACTTTCTCGGACCAACACCTGACCCAAGCTCATCCACCGCGCGCAACCTCATTCACCGCCAAGAGACTATTATGTAAAGTGAGTCTGAACTTGAAGCACAGGCCCCCTGAAATCCTGACTCCAAGTTCTTCACCCCTTTTGATCGTGGGTCTTAATCAGAACCAAATCCAAAACTTGAAATCAGGTCAAAATACGGAGCGCATCCGAAAGAGGGGCCAGCAATCGAGAGGATCGAGATTTCAATCGACTTATTGCTTTCAGAAAATCCACGAGACAAGTTCAAGGCTCAGTAAGATGAAAATTTCTAAGCACGGAAGCTATACGTCCAATAGACGCGATTCCCATCGCCATGCTGTCTTCTCTTACGAGTTCTACCGTACGTTAGAAGACAGCATCGCCTTTTTTTCGGACGGGCCGGTTAGCCGAAAATGGCCGTTTTTCTACCATATATATAAATAATATATTGTTAGCCGAGGTTTGTGGTTTCAATGAAGCCCTCCAGGTCCATCTGGCTCATATATGTTTGGATTGGAGGAGGGGTAGGGTGCCCGGTGCAGGGAAGCAGACTTTTTCTCAAACTGTTGCTGCTTTCGCATCACACACTTTCTATGATTAGCTACATATCTAAGAAGGGACACGTTTCTGACGCTGTTTCTAAATCACTGCGCTCATCAAAATGTATCCATGGTTTGACAGCTTCTTGTCTGCCTATGAATTCGCTGGGGGGAGCACAACCGAATCAAGTAAAGGAAGGTCAATTAGGATCTAGATGGACAATTTGTAGATATCTTTTTAGTCGAAAGAATCGCTTTGCAATGTTTACCTGAGGGAGTGAGCTTACGCATCGATGTGCTCATAAAATTCGAACTCCCAAATATCTCAAACCAGATATATTCCTCGTAATAGTATGTTTCATAGCCGCTGTCACTTGCAAAGCGACGAGAAACGGCGCATCTCATCCCAATAAACTTGCCGAGGTGTGTATAGCTTGTTTCGCTCTGTATTTTTGGGGGCGATGGCCAGGTCCATCTTGCTGCGTCGGATGTATTCTATCTTAGCTTACACGCACCCCACTTGGGATTTTGGGAAAAGAAGCATAGTACCATCATCAGGCCGGGGAAGATCCGGCTGAGCAGAACGGAATACACAGCGAGACCCAAGATGTATCTATATAGACATATGACACATAATTATGTAAGGATTGCGTTTGGTACCGGGAGGAGTCAGGACAAGGCCAAGTTTGGCTTTTGGTACCAGGTTTCACAACGAGCATCCTGGTCAAAGGTAACATTTTGGCTTCAGCCAGATAAAGGCACTCAGCCGGCGCTATTTGTGGTCCTGCGCAAATGCTATAAAGCAAGGACGGATTTGAACTCTTCCTTTATCCTCCTAAAGCAATAGGTTCTATTTTCGAAACATCATTTCGATTGATCTTGAGAATTTCACAAGGAGCCAGATAGATATATACAGTCGATATATCCAGAAATTTTCATAGTTTGATCCCTTTTCATCCTTTCCTGAAGTCTGATTATAAATTCACCATGCACTCTAGAGCCATTTTTCAGTTGTTATTATCGGTCATCTTAAATGCCCATATATTCACTGTATCTGGAACTTTTTCATCTAGTATTACCAAAGAATGTCCAACCTTAGCCCACAATCAGCCTTTAAGTCATGGGCGTCCGTTTATGACAAATAAGCGAGTTGTTTTGAAAAATGTGGGTCATCTTTGTTCTCCTTAATTGTGAAAGGTTTCTTTCTAGAGTTGAATTAAAGTAGCTTGTTCCTCATTTAGGGAAACCAGCCAAAAATATTTCAATCCGAAGGACCTTCTACTCGGGCTATATTTCCAGCAATTCGGACCGGAGAAGAACGCGCAAAGTCGCTGTCACAAGGATCTAACCCCAAAAAACCCGGCTTGGCCCTCACAAAAAATGACAAGCTGGCATGCAAAATTCCCGCTCCGTCTGAGAGAATAAAACAGACTACCATCACCAAACGCTGTCTAGGTTCATCTCACAAGACATTGGATCCGGACCTCGTCGTCGAGGCTTACAGACAGTCAACAGGCACTCGATTGATTATTTCTGATTATGATGTAAGAAAAATTCCTTCAGATATCCTTGCTAAACTCTTAAGCCCAGTTAACCAAGCCTAGAGACGAAGGATTTCTTGCACTAATTAAATTTTGCTTTCAAGGGAACTCTCCGTGAGTTTGTGAACGATCCGAAAGCAGCAACACCATCGCAACAAGTACTAGATGATCTGGAAGCACTCAGCTCAGAGGAAAATAATCTGGTTTGGTTGGTTTCTGGAAGAGATCAAGGATTTTTACAGAAACATTTTGGTCACATTGAAAATCTAGGATTGAAAGCTGCTTATGGTGCAGCTACACGTGATCCTAACTCTGGAGAATGGGAAGAGAAGGACTTTGATCGAGGATCGCTTGATACAATCATGGAGATTATGGAAGGTAAAATCTTATTTTCTCAAATGAAATTGATACAATCTGATTAGTGCGTTTTAGGTTGGCGTTCTTCGCTTCCTACCACGTGGATCGAGGAAAAAGACTTCGGATTAGCCTACCATTATAAAGAGTCGTATGATGTGGCTCTAGAAGACAGGTCAGAAGATCTACGTAAGTGCAAAAAACAGTCAAAGATTGAAATCTCAATCTAACATGTTGAACTTCAGCCCGTAAGCAAGCAAAGGATGAAATCGACCGCTTGTACAACAGTCGCGCAAAACAATTGAAAGACCAACTCGATGATGCTATTGCAGAGGAGGGATTACCATTGAAGACTATCCTTGGTAAGTTCCATTGAACGACACGCGACCAATTTTTCCACATTCTTGTCTCAATGTTTTCCTCTTCCAATTGGACTGTCCAGGAAATATGGTCGTGGAGGTTAAGGACAAGACTTTAAGCAAGAGAGAGGCTGTCCTATCAATTTATAAGAATATTGAGCATCCGGATTTCGTTTTGATAGGGGGTGATGGTGAGTACAATCATCACCTGAAAATACTTATGATTCTTGATACTAACACCTGACTCTGACCCTTAGATCCAGCAGATGAAGACATGTTTCAAGTAGCTCATGAACAGGAAAGTAAAGCCAAACGTTACGGAAATTCACCTTTTGTAGCAACAGTACATGTCTCCCATGACAAAGGCAAGCGAACTGATGCAAAATACATGGTCAGAGTACCGCATGAATTTCGTGGATTGGTGTCAAAGTTGTCAGCTTCAGGGTAGAAGAAAGTCCCTCTGCTTTCATCGTGAGTGGAATAAAGAATGTTCGAGTTAATCAAGGTTCTTAACCTGGAAAACTTGAATAATTGCGAAAAACTTAATTGGGAGGGGTCGATTGCTATGAATTGTTGTGCAGGGATCCAGTGTGAAGCCACCCCCTGATATTTGACAGTCTTCCTCCTGTGTATCCTCTGTGTATGCGTATGCATGAACGATGATATCACATATTTCTTCACTTTTTCTCTGATTTAATGATGTTCGACATTAATTTGTGTTCTAACATTGCCCTTATCCATGGCCAATCAGCAATTTATCAAACCAATAAACCAAAAACTCTACACATTCACCCGATGTCATCAATGATGCGCTCACCATGGGGTTGTTTTCTTCTTTGGAATCCAACTCTAGCGTTTAATTGAGCTGAGCATTCGTGTTGACAACACGCAAACGCCGCGCAGCGTGCCGCCGCACCACCTTCACAACGATAGCGCGGCGATTCACCGCAGCGTCATGACAAACCTATCGCAGCGTCGTCGCAGTGATTAAACGTCGGATTGCGAAGGCGGCGCGGCCGAAAAAATCGCCGCGCGCTGTCGCAGCGGGCAGAATTGTAGCTGGTCGCTGGCCGCTGTCAAAGCAACAAGATGCCTACAAAGATGACACAAGCTCGCACCTGGCACCTCCTGGCACATACTTATTGGTTAAAAAGAGCATATCAAATCAATATTAGCTGAAATAAGATGCGAAGGACTTGTATTTTGATACAAAGGACATATGTCGAATGCCTTATCCCTGCGGTCTCCTCACTGCGATTGCGGCCCGGTGCAACCGCAGTGAACCCAACGCGGCGGCCCGGCTGTACCGCAGGGATGGTTTGGGCCACTTCGACCACGACACGGCCACAGCGCTGTCGCAGTCCTCTGCGCGATGGTTTGCATGTTGGTGTTGATGGTTGGGGTTCCCCATTTTGAGTGCGAAGAGAAGGCATGCTGTGAAGAAATCGATGGTAACATCCACATATGTTCTTTTTGTGACTCTGGTCGATCCTGAAGTCCTCTTGCCTCACCTTAAGTTTACATTGACTTTGACCTTGGATGGACACACTCAGCTGTTGATTCACACCACACAACCCTGTTAAAAGAGCAGAAGGCACTATGTTTGACCAATTCACTTCTTCGAGGAACGGGCCACCTTGATGACAAAGGGAGTTTGCCGTTGTATCAGTTGTAACCCAACTACACACGGAAAACCAAAGAGCGTATAGAAAGTTGACCCGACCAGGGCTATTCGGACCCCTCCTCGCCCTACCTATACGCTCGGAGTATCCTCCTGATAAAAATACACCCAGTCACAAAAGCTGAGGTTTGGAGATGTGCCTGGGGCATCACTAAAGACCCCTGCAAGATATGCCGAACAAATTGATGTCAAGAAAAGCATTCGATCAGCACCTTTCTAAAACAAGGGTATCTGCTAGTAACAACCGACCAGGCAATGACACAGGTGCTTACGTTGGTGACTCTGATCTACAAAAGACAGTGAAGAAGTATTTGTAGGTCTCACCTCCGTATAGATTCTTTACATACTCTTTAACTGGGACTTTTGCTAGATTTTCTTTGCCAAATTTTCATCTGATTCGTAAGAGTCAGACATTCGAATGGTGTATATAAATCCAAACCAATCTTCACTCTTAACCTTTCTATAATTTCAAAAGATTAAAACATCTTTTTTCTTAACTTCCTTCAATCTTTTTTCCTTGGCAGGACTTTTATCAATTTTTTCTACTTTTTTCTATCTTTTCAATCTTCAAAAAATACAATTTCACTTTACACACCTTTTTCTCATTTCTCGTTTGCTTAATTTTTACTACTAAGCTCCTTCAAAGATCCTGCATTCTATCATGTTAAATTTCCATATCTTCAAAGTTTATCTCTTTCTTACATTCTATCTGGTTTTTCAAACTTCATCCGCCGTCATTAGCTCTGATCATCACATAGGTAACTCTCTGGTCTCATCAAAGAATGTGATCGGAACTGAAGACAAACTGGGAGGAATTCCAGAAAGCAATATAAGCAAAAAACATATCAAGCGGGCCAATTCTCCCCCACCAGCCAATGACGGCGGTGCTCATCCAGCTCCAGCTGGCGGTAAATCTTCACCCCCTGCTGGCGGTAAACCTCCAAGCGGCGGAGGCAATCCTCCTGCTGGTGATGGAAAGGGTAAAGCAGGCGCTCCTCCGGCCACTGGTGGACCCGGTTGTACAAAATATGTGATTATTAGGTTAGTGACTTTGACCCTTTGAAAATTCCACTTCGAAAAATCATTTATATCACTCTAATCAAATCGTGTTTATTTTGTTTCATCCGTAGTGCAAGAGGAACTGGTGAATCTCAGACTAACCCTTCGAGTTACTCAGCATGGATTAAGGGTGTACTGGGTCAAGCACCAGGTGGAAGCAACTACGAAGTAGTATATCTCGCGGCTACAGATTATATCAATGGTCCAATCCAAGGTGAGAAAGACACGATCAGATATCTAAATCAACAAAAGACAAAATGTCCGGGACAGCATTATCTCTTGATCGGTTATTCTGAAGGTGTATGTGCAATCTTTCTTTTTTCTCTTGATCATTCCCATAATCAAACTTCAAACTATCTTACAGACTTTTTCATCACCTGACACTTTCAGGCCATCGTTGTTGCTCGAGCTATACGTGCGTTACCTCTTCCAGATTCACAAGTGGTAGGTATCGTCCTTGTTGGAAACCCAGTTTGGAAACCTGGTAAACCGTACAACAGAGGCACTGCAGTAAGTTTTAGTTTCTGTTAATCACCAATTTTCGGTATTCATCAACATATACTCTATAATTTGATTCTTGAATGATCCTTTGACCTATTTCACTATCTATTTAGAAAACCGGTCTAGGATCAGCTTCGATTCAAGGCATTGAAATTCCTAGCAAATATTCAAAAAAACTACTAGATATTTGTAATATTGATGATATCGTTTGTACCTCATCTGGTTCAATGGTCGCTCATGTAGCATATCAAAATTCTTCTGCTTTCAAAGAAGCTCAAACTTGGGCTGTAGGAAAACTTAAAGGAATCGGTGGCAAATGAAACTTTTGGATTTCACTACTTGTCTTTTTTGTTTCTAGTTTAGCTTTCTAATTGTTTTAAGCAGAACTTGAAGTCTGTATATGTACCTTGAAAAGTAATCGTAATGTAACCAATCAAAGAAACCCCGTTGATTATAAGCAAATCATTCACTTAAATAAAGCAAGATGTACAAACCCGTTCATAGTTTTCAATTCACCCAACCTAAAAAGCAATGTCACCCTCCATAATGTGGCACTGAATTGACGAGCTAAAAGTTTGCAATCATAAAGCCAATTCAAACACACTTGATGAATTAAGATAAATTTTCTCAATAGAGCTCTAAATTGATATATGCAATGATCTATGCTTCGAGTGTAAACAATAAAAACTTTTTTAGCTCTGATCTTGGTAACTTTGAGTAGTCAAACCAAGGTAGGTAAACAAGAGAAAGAGTGAAATCTAAGAAGATAAACAAAAAAAATACTTGGACAATATAATCCATCTAAACCTTCAAACACAATTGAACCCATGATTTGATGGACACATTGAGGATCATTAAAATCCAAAACAATTGAGTACAGGTCAAGCAATCAAGGAGATCAATACTTAGGGCACATTCACTTAAGCAATTTCTGGTGAGAAATCACATTCTGCAAAATTTAAAGTGTCTATTTGGTGGTGTGTGTGTCATTTTTGCATTAAAAAATCACATTCTGTAAATTCTTTAATTCAAAAATGAAACATGCAGCACCAAATGGACACTTTAAATTTTGCAGAATGTGATTTCTCACCAGAAATCGCTTAAGTGAATGTGCCCTAAGTGAACATGCCCTTAGGAATGATGTAAAGCAGGACCCCTGATAGTCCCTATAAAGGTCCAATGTGTCAAAACTCAATTTTTGCCCCTTTTAGCTCTCAGTAGATTCACTGGCTTTTGCCAAAAACCACATTTTGGCTCCAATTTGACCACATACATTGGAAAAATGCCCCAAATTTTGCCTAATTTGGCTCCAGGGAGACAACAAACATTGGAAGCTTGGATTTGGGCATTTCAAAGTTCTTTGGATGAAACAAAAAGAAATGGAGGAAAAAGGTTGAAAAAAGAACATTTTTAGAAACAAAAATTTATAAAGTACACAACCTTCATACATTAAAACTTGTTTTCATCTTTATTTCTTGGCAAGTTGATGTGAAGCAGAAGGCTCAAAAGTTTCTTTTTGTTTCACACAAGTTGAGCTGATTGGTATGAGTGAACTCATAAATCTGATCTTTTCCTTGCATGACTCTATATAACATGTGTACCAAGAAGAGCTTATATCAGATTGACTGTGGTGGATTCAGACTTTTCTTTGTAATTCAAGTGAATTTGGCTGGATCACACTGTCACATATTCAATTCCCAGTGTACTTCTGCATTCCAACTACATGTACCTCGGAGTTTACTTCCATTCTTCTTAAGACCAAAATGGCAAAGTGAATAGAAAGAATTTCTTTTCTTTGTTATCTTACAGACAGCTTGCAAGGACATTTAGAGAGTGATGTATCCATGTCAAAGGATTTGCTTTGGCTGGTGTGCAATTTCTTGTGACTTTGTGGATAGTAAAAGTGCTTAAAAACAGGGTGTCTAGGTGATTCTTCAGTTTTCTCTGAGACTGGCCAGTATGACCACATGGGGTTGCTCCATAGAAACAACACACATAAAATTTTAGAATAAAAAACAGGTGGTTTTGGCTCCAAGGGCACAATGACCTTGGAAAAAAATTCCAAAAATTTGGCTTTTTGTCTCCAGGTTTCACAACAAACATATCTACTAAAAATTGCAGTTTGGCTCCAGCAAGACAACGGGGCTTTGGTGGTGCTACATATCAGGGGTCCTACCATATCTACATCCAAAGAAAACCCCAAGTTAAGCTTCAATCAAAGTAAAGGATTATGATCAACAATAGTTGCAATTATAAAGCATTCTTATCATCATTCATCATTCATCATCAAAACATATAAAAAAGATCTTCACAACGTTTGTATACAGGGTTTTTGAAATTCATTGAAATGATCAAAGAAAGAAAAATGAATAAAAGAAAATCAGAAACACGCACTCATGAACTAAAGTGATATAGAGAAGAGAAAAAAAAAGAAAAATATAAAAAAGAAAGAGATAAAGGAAGGCGGAAAAAGAGGGAAGGTCATCAAAAAAGAAAGAAAGCAGGTCAAAAGTGTTCAAATCCGATATAAATTCTCTTTAGGTATATTATATATATATAGATCTCTTATCTCTTTCAAAATCTAAACATGAACTTCAATCAGGAATGAATCTACTACAAGTTATAGATAACTATTTTTAATGATCTTCTATTTCTTTGCTTTCTTATCTTTCTTCTTTGTAGCAGCTTCAGCCACCAACCTACAAATCACAAGACCTCAACAAGATCAGACGATTGCATTGTAAACTGATAAGAGAAAATCAACATACCTTTCCAACTCTCTTCGTTCTTCATCTGTCTCATCTGGTTCAACAGCTTTAAATATGGCTCCAATCATCATTAAAGCTTTAGCTCGGTTCATCAAGACTTGATCAGTAACTGATGGAGAATCCTAAAATAGGGTAACAAGTGATGATCATCAATGAACCAAACCGCATAGAAGGTGTGTAATGCAAAGAGATCAGAAGAGAATGATGTTTACCTTTGAAAGTACATTATCAGCTACTTGTCTCAAAATAGCACCAGATTCAAACCTAGTTCCCTTCCAAGAAATCAACAACAACTAAACCAAAAAATCAAATCAACCAAACACCTTCATTTCAATTCCCAATACTCAAGAAAGAAAATGAACAAACCTTTCCCACCAAATCTTTATTCAATTGTTCCATTTCATCTTCAGGTAACTCACCCTTCTCTTGTCTTTTCTCTAAATCGACCATCGCACTTTGTACATCTAAAGTCGAAGATAACATTCCCCAAGCTTCTTTGATCATCTTTCCTTTCTGTTTAGTGTTTTCAAAAAAAGATGGTAATCCAAGAAAGTTCGTAAAAGGTGATTTAGATCTATGTAATTTAATATATGTTGTAGCTTTGATTTAACAAAGCAAAAAAAAAGAAATTCATCAATCAGAAACCGATTTGACTTAGAGAGAAGTTGATTTTGGTCTTTCAAGATGAAAATAAGAATAGTACCTTTAGTAAAATAAACACTTCCAATCAATTTCAATAACTCCACTCCAAAACTCTCCAATTTCAAATCTTCAGCTTCAGTTTTAATACTCTGAGCAAACCGTTCAGTTTCCGGATCACCCGGTTCACCCGGTTGCTTAGCATCCACAAACGGTCTGATCCTTTCCAAAAGTCGTTTAGTCAAATCTGTCACTCGATTCGCCGTATCTTCCTTTCGTTGACGTTCATACTTTTCCGCTTCGGCTCTCTGTTCCGGTGTTTGTTTCAAACTAGGTTTCACAACCGGCGTCGGTGGGGTGGGTGGCGTAGTAGTAGGTTGAGATGATCCAGAAGCAAGTGTTGTGGCTGTCGTTGCATTCGCTCCTGAAGGTTGGATGCCTCCTGTACCAGTTGCAATCGAAGGTGTACGACGCACATCGCTTTCTGCATTCACAGATGGTTCAGCAGGAGTAGTAGAGGAATCTAAATCATGTGTGATCGTATCTTGTGGCGTGGTCCCATTAGCATTGGTCGCAGCCCATTGAGTTCTTAAAGTTTCTCTTTCTTCTTCTGTAGTATTATGTTCAAATGCTTTGCCAATATCTTTTCCTAATGAAATTTCACCAATCCAATCCTTTTTTTAAAAGAAGTTCGAAAAGTAGAAATCATAAGGATTTGATGGATCAAGATCTCTAAGCAGTCTAAAGAACTTACCCTGAACTTTTGACCTCCAAACATCATTTCAAACAGTTTTCCAGGATCTTCAAGTGGCGTCTGTCCAGCTTTAGTATTATCACGTTTACCATTCTTATTATAATATGCTCTTTCCCTAAGATGAATGAAGCCCAAAAGATTCAACATGAACCCTCGAGTTTGAATATGGAGATTGGTATGAAGAAAAAGACTAACTGAGGATCCGATAGAATCTGATAAGCTTCTCCAATCAACACAAATTGTTTCTCAGCCTCTGCATTACCAGGATTTCTACGAAATGAAGTGATTAGAGTTAGAAACCGTTAGTTCTGAATATATGTTCTGATGAATAGGTTAGAAAATTTCAACTGAACTTATCAGGATGCCATTTGATAGCAGCCTTACGATAAGCTTTCTATAAAAGAAAAAAAGAACCCAAATTTTAATCAGACTAGATAAGAATGAGTGTAAGAATGATTTGAGATTACTTTAAGATCAATATCAGTTGCATCACCTCTAACACCTAGTAGTTCGTATAATGACATATCTGGAAAAACAGTCCAATCAAAAAATCTTGATTAGAAATGAAGATGTAGTTGTGAGAATGAAAAGTTGATGAACCTTTAATCTTTTCACCATCTGGACCGATATCATTTGGAGTTGATTGATTAGTTTCTGCCATTGTCTTGATAGATATTTTGATTTTCTTGATTGATGAGTTGGTATTGAATTGGTTGGAGAGAAGAAAAGGTAAACAACCGGTGAATTTAGTCTGAATGGCAGTGACTGTGAGTGTGAGTGTGGCTGTGCAACTGTAACTTCACAGTCTCTGATAATACAGTTTGCTTTCTGCATTAAACTTTAAAACAGTCAATCAAACTTGAATTTGAAACTGCTCTCAACTGTCATTCAACTCTTTTCTACTTTTCTCTTTTTAGTACTTTTCTTCACATTCTCCTTTCTTCTTCTTCAACAACAACAACAAAGCTTAACATGTTGAACACTTTCCCTTTTTACCTCAAATATGTTTCTCTTGAAGATCTCAGCAGTCTATTAGCTCACTCCATCTTTGCAGATCCCTTTCATCATCAATCTTCATGAATACCAATCTTTGGCCGGCCCAAACATCTTTAAAGAAAATTAATCACAATCACAAGCTATGTAAAATCAAACATGATTTCTCTAGTTATCCAAAGAACCAAACAAACAAATACATAAAACAATCAAACATCTAATGCTATTAAACATGTGATCCATTCTTACTTGTAAAAGTAAAAGAATTCGAAAAAGAAATCATCGGTTTACGAAATCGTTCCACCTCCCAAAACTTGAGTACCTTTCATCAGAACAATCACTTGACCAATCGAAACCCCATGTTGAGGGATCTTCAAATCGATCTCCAAAGCCTTTTCATCAACTCTACAATCCCAATCAAACATTCCGCCTGAGTCATCTTTCCAAGCTATAGAGATGATCAGAAAAAGCTCGAAAACTTACGGGTTTGAAAAGTTCACTTCACATGGAATAGGTTCTAAGGTTCCAGTTCTTACTCTTGCAGATAGTTCTAAAGACGTTTGAGATAAAGAAGGAGGATTGATCCATTGAAAATCATAGGTGAAGATCTTCCTTGTATATAATGCTGGATGATCACTACCAAGTAGAATTCATCGTTAGACCAAAAAAAATATTCAAGTAAAAGATAAAGCAAAGAGACTGAACTGGTGAGGTACTACGAAGACCCGATTGAGTTTCAAGTCTTTCTTTGCAACATACAGCTTTTGTGGAAAAGCATTAGGTTTGTTGATCCGACACCTTTGTCCAATAGTGTAATTCCAAATCCCTCGATGTTCTCCTACGACAGTCTTTTGATCATCAAACAAAACAATCTCACCTTTTCTACCCTCAATCTGTGTACCTTTAAAAAAAGAAATCTCTTCAATCATTTTGTACGAAACCCAAAAAAAACAAATCTAACCTAAAAATTCTTCAAACCTTTTTATCCTAGGTTCAACCAAACAAATCCCCATACTTTCATTTTTCAAAGCATTAGGTAACCTAACTTCTTTAGCAATCTTCCTGACCAATTCTTTATTAAATCCATTCTCACCTAATGGAAACAAACATCTTTTTAAGATCTTAGAAGGAATCGTAGATAAATAATATGATTGATCTTTTGATGTTTCTGAAAAGGCTTGATGTAATTCTGTTGTACCTTCTTGAGTATGTTTCAATCGAGCATAATGTCCTAAAAAAAGACCATAATAAGAAATGGTGGAGTGATGAAAAGGTAAGAAAGTTTTTTTTACCCGTGGCTAAGATTGTTTGGGGATCTGATTTTAATAAGTGCTCGGCTAGGATTCCAAACTTGATTTGTCTATTCGATTCGGTTTTGAAGAAACATATGTATGTATGAAATCTTTCAAATCCATCAGATTCCATTCTAGTGAGTTAGTCATCAGATTTTAAATCTTCACCGATTGCACATCACATCTGGATTAGGAGCTTAGAGAAGACAGAACAGGTGTTAATAAAGTGGATCGATCGTTCAGAAGGAAATTATACATTGGATGAATCAGTTCTGAACTCACTACCACCCGATTCCCATATCTTCAAACACGGTTCCCAAACTTGATTCCAATAAGCCTTAGATAAATCGATCTAAAAAACCGCACGCACCATGAGTTTAACTTCTCCAAGCTCCATTTCAAAAAGAAAAAGAATCACCTACAAGTTGACAAGGTAATTTTAAATGATCACAAACCGATTGAACATCATCCCAATCTCTTTTCCACTGACATCTAATACCCTGATCTTTGACTTTTACATCAGAATCATCCATCCAATTCTTAACAAAGATAGCTCTTAATCGATGATGATAACCTGATCTGATTAACAAACTGGCTACAACTGATGAATCGACTCCTCCTGACATGGCTATTGAAATCGTTTGGGTTGGTAAAAGGTTCAGCTTCTTCATGGAGCTTAATTGAATAAATGAATTTAATGCCATCAAGTTTGTTGGGTTGGGTATGGATCGTAGATGTGGTCATAAGGTATCGGATTTGAGTGAGGTGATCAGCTCATGAGTTGATCCATTCGTTTACTTTTCTTCTTTTCCTTTTTGTGAACTGTTCGATTTGAGCGAGATGTCCAATTGGACTGAATCGAACTTTGTTGAAGGCTGAAGCAAAACATAAAATGGATTTGATGGTGAAACACGTGATCTCTCCGTGACTGCGCGAGTAGTCATCGCCCTCCTTAATCCAACCGAACCTTCCAATCGATCCTGATTCCTCAGGCAGTTCATCCTCTTTCTCTACACGGAGAACAAAAGGGAATATCCAGGCTAAAGCCTCTCTCACAGATTCCACCTCATTGGGCTTGAGAATGAGATATGTCCATCTGATAACCATTGGGTTTTGAAAAGCCTAGCACAAATCCGTGCAGAAAAACTACAAAGAACCTCACCAGCATTAAGGAATCTTTCAATGACTGTGATGACTGATGCAAAGTGCTCTCAACACTTCGCGCGATAATTTTTTGGACCATTTTATGATTGTCGATCAGCATGTCCCTGCATCGTTGCAAAAATGATCACCTCTTGATCTGATGATTTACATAAACAACACGGTCCCTCAACACGGTCCTTCACCACGGTCCTCCAGGCTCAGCAGCTAAACTATACAGTCCGGGTCGGATGGAAATTTTAGAAAACGAAGAGAACAAACTTTCAATTAAGAACCAAACGAACACTTTAACACTATCAACACCATATATCCAGACAAACTATCCCATCAATAATGACCCTACAACAATCTTCAAGTTCACCATCAGTAAGTCATCTGGTTTCATATAAATAGTATTCAAACCTGAAACTCATCATCATTTCTTCATCACATCACTTTAGCAAAACCCACAAGCAGAAGAAGAAGAAGACCAAAACCAAGCTCAAGCTTCAGGTCCGATCCCGATCGCAGCATTAGCCGAACACGGTTTTTCTTCATCAGATATACAAAAACTAATCACAGCTGGAAATGATACAGTAGAAGCTATAGCATATCAACCCAGAAAATCATTAATAGCCATCAAAGGAATTTCAGAAGCAAAAGCCGATAAGTTATTAGCTGTTTGTAATACACTTTTACCATTAGGATTTACCACAGCATCTGAGATTCATAATCATCGAATCGGAATGGTTAGGATCATCACAGGATCCAAAAATTTAGATGCTCTCTTAGGTGGTGGGATCGATACACAATCGATCACTGAATTCTTTGGTGAATTTAGAACCGGTAAATCTCAACTTTGTCATCAATTATCAGTGACGTGTCAATTACCTGTTGAAATGGGTGGTGGTGAAGGAAAATGTATGTTTATTGATACTGAAGGCACTTTTAGACCTGAACGAATCCTTGCGATTTCTGAAAGATATGGTTTAGATGGAACTGAAGTTTTAAATAATATTGCGGTGGCTAGAGCTTATAATACTGATCATCAAAGTACTTTATTACGTGAAGCTTCTACTCTAATGTCTCAAGCACGGTAAGGAATTCTTTTAAAATCTAATCTCTCAAAATCGAATTCTAATCCAACATCTTTCTATTTTACTCTTTTGATACAGTTTCGCCATTTTGATCATCGATTCTGCTACTGCACTCTATCGAACAGATTATGTTGGAAGAGCCGAATTAGCAGACCGACAAGCACATCTAGCTAGATTCCTTCGTACACTCTTAAGTCTAGCTGAACAATTTGGTGTAGCCGTCGTGATTACCAATCAAGTGATGTCAAGTCCAGATGCAGCCACCGGACTTGGTAAAGCTCCTATTGGTGGTAACATTATTGCTCATAGTTCGACGACTCGGTTTGTTGTCTTTTACTTTTTTTTTCGTTGATTCACTTTTTCAAAATCACTAACCCTCTTGACATTTTCTGTTGGGTTATGGATTAGGTTACAATTTAGGAAAGGTAGAGATACAACTCGGATTGTGAAAGTGATCGATTCACCTTGTTTACCAGAAGGAGAAACCAAGATTGCACTATGTCAAAATGGAATAGGTGATCCAGAAGAAGATTGATTGATTGATTGATCAAGTCTCTTACACCAAATCCACTTTGTATTCTGCTCATTAATTCGAATCTTATTCTTTTTCTGATCCAATCTGATCTTTTCTTTTCTATCTTTATTATTGCTTTCAATCCGCCGTTTTGGTTTCTTTGGTTATGGTTTTTGTTTTGTGAGAAGTTTGGATAGAAAATGTATGAATAAATGTGTTGTAGTAATTGACTCTTTTTTTTCTTAAACATGATTTACTTAAGCAATTCTCTGTGCAAACAATTAAGTCAACGGATAACAAGAAGTGAGCCAAATGAGATTTCAGGAAAGTCGGATTGGTCATATGGATCAGATTGACTTCATATCAATATGGGTGGGTTGGCGCACATTCTGGGATAGTTTGTCCGCTAGATATAGTTCCTTTTCAACCGAAAATATCGGCTTTAGATCAGATTTCAAGATATTGGCAACGCCTTTTGGCATGAGAAATTTAGACCATTTGGATCTATGGTGAAAGTGATTGGACTTGAACTGTAAACAGTGGAGCTACGAACGTGTAGATGCGAAGACTCTGATGTTGGTTGAATTGTAGTTTGGATTTTGTGGACTTTGTGGAAACTCCATTTGATCGACCCTTGCACAACACATCAGCCGGACGACGTACAACAGGGCGTTCTCAAAGTGTATTCGAACTCAGAGTGTGTCCTTTTTTTGCAATTCGCTGATACCTCTTTTGGCGTGTGGCTTGCAATGGCATATAAAGCCTGCCTTTGTCAGGGAGGCATGATGAATCCGGCAATTTCGTTCTCACCTTCTCTGAGTTTACCTGATCTCCATAGACTCAAGATTCCAATATCTGACCAGTTTCTGTGAAATATGGCTATGAATCGATCAAACCCAATCTTCTTTCTTGTGCTTGTGTTTCTCCTTGCAGGAGATCTCAGCTCGAACATCTTCGCCAATGCTCAGTCTGTAGAATGTAACACCTTTTGGCAATTACCAAAGGATTCGGATGATGGTAGATATAGTTAGTGCACCATTTCTCTTCTGCCTTTAGTTCTTCATCTCTTCGTTTTCGATCCATGATCTATCATCTTCAGAGATATGATGAACTTACTTCATTTTTAAATACCTTCTGTCCCAAAACAATCACGACCGAAGAATGCGGTGGAAAAGATCCTGATGGAAAGAAGTATATTTATTCGTGCTCATGGTGCGGAAGGGGAGATAACAAACCATGCAGTACGAAAGAAATTTCTCATTTGCAAACCATGAGTTGAAAGACCGCTTCTGATTTTGTTACTTCAAACTTCTCACAGGTGCCAAAGACTGTGTTCCCGCCGGCAACGCACCTCGGGTTAACACAAGGGGAGCATTCCCTTGCGATGCCGGAGAGGATGAAAATTACGAGAGCCAGCCAGTCAGACCTATCTGTTGAGTCGATTTGCATGTTCTAAATACTCTCAGAAAAAGATTCCTCAACTGTTCACTTCAGTCCCAGATATCTTGATTTGACATACTAATATTTTGAAAACAATGGGCTCTACTTTTTGGATTTTGAAAACAACAGTCTGCTACCATAAGAACGCACAAGGACTCGAGGATACCTACCATTGCGCAAGCCGTCATTTGAACCAGCGTAAGTTTACCTTCAATACTTTGAGCAACTGATGACTGATTACTACTTTCCATGGATTAAATCGGATTATGTTGGCTACGGTAATTAGAATGTCCTCTGAATTTATGTAAGCGCACTTTATAATCAAACAAAATGCCTGTTTTGATCCTTCAAACGCCAGGATACGCGTAAAGCCTCGTATAGGAGAATGTAGTTGTGACCTTTTCATGAAGCGGATTTATTCTTGAAAAGGCTTGCCACCTACAGTTGTTCTCTTGATTCTGGATAGATTTAATACGGGCTCCTCATGTTGGAATACATTGCTTGCTATCATACATCGTCCTTTCTCCCTCTCTTGGAGGCGGTGTTCATTTACCGAGGCCCTACTTGCCTTTAGACAACGAATCTTGTCTGTCCTTGAAAGATATGGATTAGATTATACCAAAGTATTAAATAATATTGCGGTTGTTAGAGATTATAATACTGATCATCAAAGTACTTTATTACGTGAAGCTTTTACTTTGATGTCTTGAGCATGGTAATAATTTTCGGAAAAGTGACTTGACGCCGGGTTCCACTGGAAGGCCCACAGCTCACATGTTCTTTCACTTATCCAGTGCCAATGTCATCATCAATTACCAGTAACACAGTCCATGTATACAAAGCTATTGATTTCTTTCGTAACCAAAAACATTGGCTCTTTCAGCTTTCTGTAAGTATCTGCGATGTGATTTCTTCTTCATCGTCGATGACATTTGTATGTACACATGTCCCCACGTGGGCTTACATATGGATGCCAAGAATCAAGATATCGACCACACGTTTTGGCACAACTTTTGGCACAAGAAATCTCACCCATTTGGAGCAGGATGGGCTTACAGAGACTTACAGTGTCGTAACAGTGTAGAGCTACGAAGCTGATGGGGGTTGAGGGAAATGCGGAGTCTTGACCAATATGAAACTTCAATTGGTCTACCTTTGCAAAACATATTAGCCTGACCATGTACAACAGGGTGTTGTCAACGTGAATTCGGACCGAGAAACTGACAAATGTGTCTCTCCATGTGTGGCTTGCATGTAAAGGCTGCTTTTGCTAGGGAGCATAAAAGATCTCGCAATCTTCGCTCTCACCATCTCTGGATCTAGTTGATCTTTAAGATGTTTTCTACTTATCCTCTATCAATTTGAGCAAACGTCTTTTTTAAATACTTGATATCTTTCTGTGAAATATGTTTTGGAAATTGAACCAATCAAAGACTATCTTGTTTGTTGTGCTCGTGTTTCTGCTAGCAGAAGATCTCGGCTCGAACATCTTTGCAAATGCTGAGTCTATAGAATGCAACACCTTTTGGACATCACCATCGTATTGGACTGATAATAAATACAGTTAGTCCAACATTTCTCTTTGGCCTTTAGTCCTTCACTTTTCATTTCTTTATAACCAATCAATGATCATTCTCAGGAATGTTGTGAACTGACGAAAATCTTTAAATACCTTTCATCCAAAACAATCATGACCAAAGGGTGCGGTGGAAAAGATAAGGACGGAGCAAAGTTCATTTATTCGTGCAAATGGTGCGGAAGGGGAGATGGGAAATTTTCCAGTGCGAAAGATTTTTATTCATCTTCAATCGATGTTTAGATGGATGATGGTCCGCTTACCTTTCTAAATTTCTTCAAAAATGATCTTAGGTGCCTATGACTGTGCTGACTCCACCGGAAAAGTGATCACGACGGGATCATGGGATTGCGATGCCGGAATGGATCAAGATGACGACAACAAAGATAGGCCTATCTGTTGAGTCAATTTGCATCTTATACTCCCAGACAAAAATACCTCGACTGTCCACTTTAGTCACAACTTACAAAGATATTGAGGATTCATACTGACCTTTGAACACGATGGGCTCTACTTTCTGCATTTTTTGACCAAAAGTTTGCTACCGTTATAACGCAACAAGAGTTGCGGAGCCCTATACTTGCAAAAGCCGGCATCTGCTTCAACGTACGTTCTTAAACTCATGTGTGATCAAACAAATGATATCAACTCATCACTGACTGCTACCTTCTATGGATTAAACTTGATTTTGTTGGCTACGAAATCTAGAATGTCCTTTGGACTTATGCAAGCGCGTTACAAGTAAATAGGAAAATTTAAGCCTGTTTTATGACAAAACAAAATGTCTTTCATCATACACCAGATACCGTCTAAACCCCCGTGCAGTTCAGTGTAGTTGTTACTTGTCCATGATGTTGTTTTATTCTTGTATAAGTTTGCTAGGTATAGTTGTTCTCATCATCTATGATAGCTTAGATGTGAGATCATCTCGAAATACATTGTGTGCTCGGGCTCTCTTGAAGGTGGCGCTGATTCACCGAGCCCCTACTTGCCAGACAGGTCTTCCTTGAACACCCGTGGTTTACGGTATGGACAATAGAAAAGTGGTCTAAGAGGCTGAGATGTCCAAGGACAACAGGTTGTAAAGCGCCAGCCGTGGACGTTCCCCGTGCAAGCTCAAGCCATGTAAAGTTGCACAAATAGCTTTGCGATCCAGATAGCTAAGCAGCCCTTCTTATGATTTCGGATAATTAAACAAGATATGTATGACAAATATTAAATTTGAAGGAGAAAAGGAACCTACAGAACACAGATCAGAGAAGAATCAACGTTGATCAACTGACCTGTTCTATAAAGGCTCTCAAATCAGAAAAAATGATAAGCAGACACTCAGCAGGGAGATGAGGAAGTGATTTTTACCAAGAAGGGCTTCTAAAGCATACATGCATACAATTATTGTGTTTCACTCAATGTAACTTTCTCAAAACTGAAAAGTCTCAAGTGTGTGGCAATCTGGAGAACTTTGTGCAGCATTATCTTTGAGGGATAAGTATATGTCAGTGCATTGCACCTACATTGCACCACTGGAGCCTGCAGTGTTTGAAATGGAAGTGCGAGGTTTTGCGAGGTGACAGCCTAGGCCCTACAGGTCTATGACGCTCACGTGCGAAGCCGGGCGCATTGGTGCGGACCCAAAAATGAAACCGAAAGTTCAAGGCCCGCTTGTGGGTGCACAGCTCTGACCAAAATTTACGTTGAACTTGAGGTTTTCTGCGAATTTATTCATGCCACAGCACAATCAACACATTTCATTCAGCACAACACCAATCATACCAATATGTCTTTAGGGAAAAGAGCAAGACCTTCGAACGTCGGTGGGAAGCGTTCCAAAGCCAAGAAATGTGAATCCACCACGACGGCCAACAGCAAGCCGAAGTCAAAAACAAAAACAAATGAAAAAGGCAAGATGAAAGCTTTCATTCCTATTCCCGGTCACTCGGACGATGGCCAGTCCGAAGATGAAGATGAGGATGGAGATGGGGATGAAGATATGCTAGATGAAGAAATCGAAATGGGCGATAATGCAGCTGCTTTCTTAACTGGACTCGATAAGAAAGGTATCACTAGGTATGTTTTCCCTTTTTAACTGTTTCTTTTAGAAATCCGTGCTCAATATTGAAGTTCACTCCTTTCATCTTACTTTTAGATCACGCAAACAACAAGTCGTCGAAAATCGAAAGGCTCGTCCAAAAGCCTCTGCACCCTCTCAGTCTTATCGATCATTACCCAAGATCGGTCCAACTTCGAATGAGGCAGTAGATGACGATAAAGAAGATGGTGAAAAAATTGACGATCTTGATGAAGACGATTTTGCTCTTCTCGACAGCGATGATGACGGGGATGAAGACCTCGACCTCTTAAGCGATATGCCTAGCTCTATTTCTTCCTCTCTCTCTACTGGCGACGATGATTTCTCAGATGACGACGATCTTTCAGAAGAAGATGATAGCGACGAGTGTCTCACTGATGATTCTGCACTTGAAAAGGCTTACTATGCCTCAAAACGTTCGAAACTAAACGGATCTGATGACGAGGCAAATCAACCAACTGAATCCAAACTCCCAGTCAAATTACCTGACGGTACCATTCAGCGTTTTCCTAATCCAAATCAACCTACTGGTAGTCGTGCTTTGAAAAACACTATCTCAACTGATCAATCTGATACCAAACCAGCTCCGCCACAACCCAAAGCACGAGTGGGAGATTCATCTCATGGTGCACGATTCGGTCGCCTATCGCTAGTTGACATCTTAACTAAACGACATGGAAAAAAAGCAGCTGCGCGTGCTGAAATCGCTGATCTAGCCCGAGAAGCCATCAGTGATCCCGAAATGAGCCTTAGTCTCATCAAACGACTCATTGCACTTTGTTTACCTACTATCAAAGCTGATAACAATGTCAACAGCGTCATTCAAATCGATCCCGCTATCCGGTTCATGGCTCTCTTGAGTTTACTCTCTGTATTTCTCGACATCATTCCGTGAGTATAAATTGTGTAACTCTTGTTCTAATACCTTAGCTTTATTGATTTTTAATACTGACGCCCGTCCTGTGTGTGGCAACAGTGGTTATCGAATTCGAGCCTTGGGTGATGCTGAGAAACAGGCAGCTGTCAGTCAAATGGTAGCACGACAAAGAGAATGGGAAGACGGTCTAGTGAGCAATTACAAAAAATTCTTGGAGATATGTGAAAATGAGGTTATTTCAGCGGGTGTACTGGGATCAGTTGGATTAAAATGTCTTTGTAAATTATTAGCTGAAAAGACTCATTTTAACTTTTCTCAAAACATAATGGAAGTCGTAGTACGTAAATTGGGAAGGAAGGAATGGGACGAACAATCGGCTGAGTGTTTGGATGCGATCAAGGCCGTCTTCAGAAAGGATCTTGATGGGCAAGACAGTTTACAACTTGTGAGACTAATTGGGAGGATCATCAAAGCGAGGAATTACGCGGTTCATCCTGAAGTTCTGGCATGCTTGTTACACTTGAAACTCAAGGATGAGATCTCATCCGGAACTCGAGCCAGTACTGAAAGAGTTCACAAAGCCAACGACAATAGGACTGGAAAATTACCGTGGAAGGAACGTGTCAAGCACAAGAAGGACAAAACTGAACCAGTGGTCTTGTCCAAGAAAGCAAAGAAAGCAATTAGAGATCGTCGAGGGATTGAAAAAGAAATTCAAGAAGCTGAAGAAACTGTCAAAGTTGAAGAGAAAGAAAGAAATCAAACTGAAACTCTTAAACTCATCTTTGCGCTCTACTTTCGAATTCTTAAACTCGATCATCGTTCTATACTCTTTCCAACTGCCCTTGAAGGTTTGGCCAAATTTGCTCATTTGGTCAATATCGACTTCTTTCGTGATCTGATGAGAGTCCTCAGGCAACATATCGACGATCAGGTCTTTGTATCAAAGTCCACCGACCGAGAAGACGAAGACCAGTCAAATCAGATACGACGTGGTCGCGAACAGCTCGGAGATAGATTAGTTTGTATCCGAACAGCCTTTGAACTTTTATCTGGACAAGGTGAAGCTCTCAATGTCGATCTTACAGAGTTCATCAATGATCTTTATTCTATCCTCATCCCGCTTGGAACTCAACTTACACTGGAAGAGAATCAAAGTACCGTAATGAATCAAGAAGATCGTTCAGGTTTATCGAATCTTGATATACTCTTCAAAGCTCTCAACCTTGCATTCCTTACTCCAAGATCTGCGATTCCACCTTTAAGAGCACAAGCATTTACCAAAAGATTATTAACAATCACACTTTCTCTTGCTTCACCAATCTCTATCATCAAGATCATCAAGTTTATCATCAAGCTCATGCATCGTCAACCTGTGATAAAATCTATCTTAACTTTAGATGATGAGGATAGTAGAAGGGTAGGAGGAATCTATCGAGGTGAATTAAACGATGTTGGGTTGAGTAATGCGGATTGTGCTATCGGTTGGGAGGTTTTGGCTTTGGAAAGGCATTGGGATGAGAGAGTTCAAGACGCGGTTAGAGATTTGAGAGCCGCTGTGAAGGATGTGTCAGGCTGATTACTTTTGACATGTTTGTGGTCTTGGAAATACTAGTCAGGTAGTAGGACGTTGTACTTTCATAACTTTTTTTCGAGACATCACATTATAGAAAACGTGTCCAGAAAATTTGGTAGGTGAGTAAGATGCAAAGATATACATACAACCCATTTACAAAATACAAATACAGCCGGTCCTATAAACCTTGGACAGTTGTCTTTTGCTTTTGCACTTTGCGCTTTTTGTATTTGCTTTTGTAAATGCGCAAAAAGCTTTAAACAACACTTTCATTGGCTGTTTTTTTATCAGCTCCCCTCTACCAGTACACAGTGGTTCTTGAAGAAAAAACAAAATTTTATAGGTTGTACATACTGCATCTGCATGAAAGCTTGTACAGCCCTTTGCAGAATTGATGACTTTGGAAAAAGAGAAAACACTTGAGTTTTCAAAAAAAAACCTGTGAGTTTTTTTCAAAAACTGAGCGAGCTCTTTCTCTTTTAGAATTACTGGGCCAGGTTTCAAAAAAAAACTCACTGACTTTTTGAAAAACCCAGCAGCTTGTTGACCAAACTCGGTCACTTTCCAAAAAACTCAAGGTTTTTTCGTCTTCAAAGTCATCAATTATGTAAAGGGCTGTAATTTTTTCTATTTTTTTTTGCTTGAGAAGCGCAAAATTGGCCCCAATCCAAAATTTACCCAAAGCCGGATCAGCTAGATGGGGACTGATCCAAATCCCATTCAGCGCTTTGATGGTTTTCAGCTCAAAACCATTGATTCATCCAGAATATTCCAAGGGCAAAGGAACAGGCGAGTGTTGTGAAGCGGGGTAAACGTGAGCACAAGTCTCCCTCAATGGTGTTATATAGTAATCCAAAATTGAACAACTTTACAAAAACTTTGTAATTCCAAAAATGGATTTCAGCAATGAATATTAGGAAAAAATCACCTGTATTCATCATAAGAAGATCTGTTCATCATTTATTAACATCAATTGATCAAATTCACGCCTTGGATCATTACAAACAATAATATTCATGACATCATATGGTTACATTGGAGGATTTCTGTTGATTTTTGACGGTTTTTGAAGGTTCCCCTCTTGACTCATCTTATACTTTTGTTAGAGTGTTTTTAATCATTATTAAATTACTTTATCAGTACTAAGTTCACTAAATTGCCCCTTTATATCAAAGGAGAGATTTCTTTACGTGTGATAAGACTACAAGTCTTCTTTGGAATAACAATCTAATTGATTGTTGCTTTTCTAGTAATTAAAAGTGTGTTTTGTTGTGCTCAGATTGGAATAACACTATAGCAGTGTTGAGGTTTCTTTATTTCTAAAAACTCACGGGAATAATACTTGACTTACGTATTGAAAACAATTTCTCTGGTGCCTTATCCCAAAGAATTCAGCAAAACCCCGTGTTGATCTTTCAAAGAGGCAGTCTTAGGCAACTTCTACTAGTTAGTTATATTAGTAGATTATCCCTCTTTAAGCTCTGTAAAGCTCTTGTTGAGCTTTAAGTTCTACAGCATATGAAGTAATCAGCTGGGAATGGCAATGCCTTGCTTGCAGAGAGAAGTGTGGAGGACACATCAGACAAGAATATAGTGGTCAATGTGTTGATCATAATTTCATAACCAAAAGTGCCATAACTGGATAAGTCAAGATATAATTGGTTAGTTTACATTTGCTTCCTGTCTCAAGCTGCATCCAATAACTCACTATCCGGGCTGCTCAACCTCAAAGCCATCAAATTCTCCGGTCAAACTGAACATGTGTCAACCTTGGGTTTTCCACTTCATTTCGGCAGTATGTAGGTAAGACGATGGAACCTCTTGCTGAATGATCTTGAAAAGATGACTCGTGTTCTTTCGGATTTGTCTGTTAGGAGTCCAGTTTGGTTATCAGTTGCCACAGACACAAAGTAGACCAACTAGTACATGCAGAAGGAATTGCTTACTGGTCTAACTGTTGAAAGTCGATGGCAGTAGGCCAACCTTCACGTTTTCCATGTGGTATAATATTGGTTTTGGCCCGATGTAGAGCGCAAAAGTCTGCAGTTTGCGGAAACGATTGTTTCCACAAAAGAAAGAGGGCTTAGCGAGATCTGGAGGCTTTTGAATATCAATCCAACTCACCGGTAGGGACCTTGCATTAGGCAAAGCGGGTAGAGCTCCTTTCTTGCGCTGAAGCCAATCCAATGGGTGTTTTGGAAAGGGGTCTTCACAGAAGGGGCACAAGTCAGCATTGTCTGTATCTGACCAAAGCTGGGGTATGCTGGTAGAGTCCAAATCACTGCTGCTTGTATCTGAATTACTCGGTTTGGCTATGACGGGAATGCTTGATGGTATTACCACAACATTGTTGTTGGAATTTTCTTTCAGCCGTGGTGGGGAAGGTGGAACCACCACTGAGTTTTCTGATGAACAAGTAGGACAATGATTGGCGCGATGATTGACTTGTTTGCAAATGCTGCATTTATAAATGCGTTTGACGGCTGGAATTTGAAGAGGTGGATGTGAGTCTGTTGCTTCTTGAGTTAGTAGCACCGAAGGACAAACAGATAAGCTATCATGTTTTGAATCTAAAGATCTTTGACTCAATTTGACAGGTAATTCAGCTGTTTGAATTGATTTGAGACTTGCTTCAGGAAGTTTAGCATCTTTCTCAGCATCACTTTCTTCATCAAGTTTGGCTTCTTCAGGAGTGAGGCGCTTTGGGCAAGTTGTAATTCAGTGACCGGGCTGCAAGCATTGACTACATTGTGGATTAGCCACTTGAGCTTTTTTTGCTTCCTTTTGGGCTTCTTCAGCTTCCTCTATCTCCAAATCACACTTCCACCGGACTTTGTCTTGGGAAGCACCCAATCTTTTTTTTTGATTGGTATGAGGTCGGCCACAATTTTGTACCTTGACCATGGCATTTTCAATCGGAACCAGAGAAAAACGGCCACTTTCCATCTTAGCAAGATCTTCATATAAATTTTGGAGAGCATGTTCATCGAGTTCAATCAGGTGTTCCAGCCTTAGTCTGACGGCATTCTTCAGTTCCGCAAGGTTAGAAGGAGGTGCTACCAAGGTTAGATTCCATTGGGGGTGTACAAGGTCAGGAGGAATGATATCAGAGTGTACAAGACTTCGTGCAAGCTCATGAGAGCATGGCAGCCCCCATGCGCCTCGGAAAGTCTTGGTACACTCCCTTTTGATAGAGTCCAAGATTAGTTTGTACTGAGAGTTGATCTTCTTCAAGGCATAGTGTGATATCACCTCATTCAAATCTTGAAAACAAGTCAGGAGCCCCAGGAGCATCTTTTGACACTTGCCTCCAGTCAAAGTGGAAATTTCCTTGTACTGAGAATCACCCACCTGCTTGAAAGCTTTGAAGCATGTAATACAATCGTTATTGCTGCCATCTAAGAAGTTTTTCAGCCAACGGTGGCCACCCTCGACTCGAGATGTTGATGAGTTCCCAAAATGAGGTGTTTGGGATGTAAAGAGGGCAACAAATTTTTTGGTTCGGTGAAGCCAGGTTTTTTTGAGGTATTCCAGGATACGGTGATGTTGTGCTAGAGTCTTGACTTTTTGAAGGCGTTCATTGTATTCTTCAGTTGTTGCGCTTTGCAAAAATGAGTTTCAAGTCTTCATGAACTCGTCCCAATCAGCCTTTTTCATCTTCTTCTTACATTGTTTGGCAATGTTGTGATTTATATGCCAGATACATAAAATGTGAGTGGAGTCGGGGAAGACCTTCTTGATCGCGTTGAACAAGGCCGGTTCAGCATCAGTGCAGGAGGTTTTGGGAGTTGGAAAAGGGTTGTTGTCCTCAGAATCGCCGTTGAAGACAATTGACTTTAACTGTTCCATCGCCCACACATATCACTCTTCAACTTCACTGTGCATGAAGCACAGCGCAACGATAAACCTCTTATGTGTGTTTGTTGTCCCCACAATATGTAGCAAAGGCAGATTAAATCGATTAGTTTTATACGTGCAGTCAAGTCCTATTACTGTAGGAAACCGTCCAGCCAAGTCAATTCCGTGAGAGCTGGCCAACAAAAGCAATTGCAAAGTTCCATTGCTGGCTGTAGTTGTCCAAAATGCCCATTTTGAGTCAGTAATCAAATCAAATAACCCTTGGATTGGGGAGCGTCCGCCAAGCCAGACATCTCTTTGATGATAGAGGGCGTTGCGGATGTCCCTGACAAGTGGTTCTGACCCCGGATCGAATTGCATGAGATGTAGAATCTGCCCTGCGCTGCATCCTGCTGAAGCCAGTAATTTGATTTGATGTAAGGCTTTGGGGGTGAATTTCCAATTTTTCAAGAGGTTGTTCAGTTGATTGAAAGATGGATGGTTATGAGGATGTTTTGCGGTATTTTTCAAGTCTTTCTGGACAACCCATTGGTCTTGGCTCGAGTGGTAGTTGAGTGAAATCTCGAATTCATAGCCTGTCATCTTGGTAGAGCTTGAGCAAACAGTGGCGACCGAGTTGACCGGCCGGCCAAGTGAGCACCGCAAGTAAATTCGAACCTTTTGATGTTTATCGGTCTTGTGACTCTTGACAGCAATTCCATACCCTTGATGGCGAGCTACGGCGCTCATATACATTATGCCGCTCGCCATCAAAACAAACTCTTTTCCAAAAATTGGTGGTTGCATAAGTCGTACCGGTGCAGCTCCCAAGAAGATAGGTGCCCGTCAGCGAGAGCAAAAGAACTCAATCAAATCCAGGATATGCAAACTGAGAATGGGAGGAACTCACCAATTGTTGGCCAATCACTATCATGCTTGGCTTGGAGGTCATCCAGTAACTCTTTGTCTGATTCTTCGTCTTTGTTTTCATCAACATCTTTTTCAAGACCCAACGTAAGCAGCAGATTTGGCTTTAGAGACGGTTGCGAGATCGTGGTGATGTTGGGATTACTAGCTCAAAGTGGCACAGTAGGTGGATTGGGGTTGCTACTTGTAGTAGGTCGAGGAGGTATGGGTGGTGGTGGATGATCCTCTTGGGGGGCCAGAGGATATCCGTGTGATTGATGTGGAGGAAAAGACGTGGGATACGTATAGGGTGATGGCCAAATTGAGTTGCTCGTCACATTCTGATGATACACATGCTGAGGATAGGACCCATGATTAGGATTGTTGGTTGCGTTTTGAAAGGTGGTAAAGGTGGACCAATAGGGGTGGTCAGGAGGATACATGTATGGAGGTGTTGGGACTGCTAGGGCCATATCTGACAAAGATATGATGAGTACCAAAACAGTTTGATCTGGGGAACGGAGGTAAACAAAGAACGTAGGCTGTGAGGAGACGAAGGTGAGGTTGAGAGGAGAGGAGGACAGTCAGTACTTGGAAGGAGGGCAAGGAGGAAGAGACAAGGAAGAGACACAACACTTACCATCTTTAGGCGAGTCATATCGGATGGTCACCTTTGGATTGGAACGTTTGATCTTCCCAAAGCGGAAAGAATGGGATGGTTGAGGCACAGTAGTTGTAGAGAGAAGTAGGAGCCCGGTGTACTGGTAGAGAGGAAGTAGTAAGTAGCCCGGTTTGATGATGTGATTGAGGGAGAGGGTGTGATGTAGCCCGGTTTAAGAGGGTGGTTGTAGCCCGCTATCCATGATGGAAGCCCTGTTCCTTATTTGGTGCCCTTGTGTATTATTTGGTACCCAGATGCGCTGCGGCTGCGGCCAAATTTGGCAGAGGGAGGTGTAAGGTCGATGATATATCGACCTTCACTGAGTTCTCGATTCTCTACGGCCAAAGCCAGACAGAACAATCACCAAATATAATTCCTATTAAAAGCCTGAAAACACCGTAAATCAATATAAAAGATAAGAGAAGAGAATTGGAGGCAATAAGGGTCCTCGAGAGAAAAGAGAGAAAGGAAAGAGACAACACGCTCCTACATAACCGCTATACTACTACTACTGTAACTCCATACCAACATGTAGTCTATACCCATACACCTCCTTAGAGCATCCGCACTCGTTTGCGGTTGTTAACTTGGTCACGTGCGGTAACAACCGCTACATTAAGCAAAAAATGACTTAACTCAGCCAAATTTCGCACTCGTTTGTGTTAGTAGCACTGTAACGTTTGTAACTTTACCGATAATGCATGTGCTCCACAGTGGTCATGCAGTAAGGTAACATTCAATTTTTCAAGTACGATTTCAAGTTTAAGAAAACAAAGGCTATATTTGAATACATCTATTGATCTTGTGAAAATTATAAAGATTTGAAACTACACAAGAAAGATGAACAATCTGAACCAATCCAAACTTTTTTTAATGTTTGATTCAGCTTTTTTCAACTGTTTGGTTTGTATCTCTTGATCTTAAAAGTCTTCCAGTCATTAGTCTTTAGAATTCAATTTTCTCATCTATCTCTATACATATGTGAAGTCTGAAATTCTTCATATTGATTCGATTGGTTTGAAGTCGAGTTGAAGATTTTCAAACGACCTATTTTAGAACAAAAAAACAAAAAAAACAATCGTAAAAACATCGATTGGTGTTAAAAGGTCTTGATTCAATTCATGTGACTGGGTGAGAGAGGTGAAAAGACGATGTTTGTTGTTGACTTTGGTATTGGAGATTGGGCTGAGTTGAGTTTTTGGAGTTGTAGTTGCTGTGAACAGGTCGTGATGTGTGCTACCGCATGCGTTAGCCAATTGGTAGATTTAGAGCATCCACTATGGGTGCGGTAACCAAGTGATTTATCGTAACTTTAACGCTAAATTATACACAGGTCCACTATGGACCTGTTTTAGACTTGCGGTCCGTACGACTGCATCAAATCTTGCTCTCCGTGTGTTCAAATCTACGCAAGCCTACGACTTGATTTATCGTAGGAAATCAAGTCGAAACTACTGTTCCCAAAACTTCAAACTGCATATGAAACTTCATTTCTCAAACTTCAAACATCAAAACCTCACTTTCGAACTTCAAATTTCAAACTTCATCCTCAAATCTCAACTTCGAGATATCACATCTCGGAACATTGCACTTTGAATTGAATCGATTTCAATCACAACATCACCCTATATCTTAATCTTTTGCGAGACACCTTAAGAATTGAGGTGCACAATAGTCAATTGCTGAGTAGGCTGAGCTCGAGCTCAATCTGTTTGGAATTGAGTCTGAAATGGTGAAGGTGGTGTGTGAAGCCTATAAAACAAGATTTCTAGACAAGTTGCTCAAATTCTTGATGTTCCTCATCATTGTGGTTTGAAGACTTCAAAAGACAGTCGATGTGTCTCTTCAAGGAACTTGTAGTGGGCATCTGATGGATGGTTTTTCGGATGGGATTTGTGAGAAAGATATGATAAATCATCGCAAAATCAAACCACTGTGGATCTGGTTGATTCACAGTGATTTATCGTAGTTAAATCAGACATTACATCAATCCGTAGTGGATTTCATGCGGTTACCAACTTAGGTAAAACACGCGTGATTAAATTTCGCGGTCAGGAACGCAAAACTTACGATAAATCACCATCATGATAGTGGATGCTCTTACCGATTCGCTAACGCAAACTGATGAAAAATTAACTACCGCGGGGCTAATTGTTCACCGGTGCGGAAAAGACCCCGCGGTTGCGTTAAATTTAACCTTACCGCACTCGATTTACCGCACGAGTGCGGATGCTCTTACAGGAGGTCTGGGTTTGTGAGAAAACCACAACAAATGTGCGGGTAAGTACTGAAAAAACGCCGGGCTTTGGTTTTAAAAAGCCGGTTCCCAAATAGTGTTTTCCTTCTGTAATTCCCTTCTCAAATCTCAATCTGAATCAACACACATTTCTCAACTGATCACTTCAAAGATTTCAAAAGTCAAATCAACACATATATTGCTATATATTTACAATGTTCTTCGTTCTACAAATTCAGTCGCTTTATCCATGAATGTGACCATCAAAACTTACATCAACAGGTCCACCAAAGTGGTCAACGCATGATAAACAACTTCAACAGCGGTGATTGGAACTCAAAAACCAATTTGATTTGACTCAATGGATGAGGCGCTCTATCGCTTGAGCTCTGCCACAATCACAGATAGAAACAAAGGGATTAAAGAATTTAGCGACTTACTCTCAAACCCTTCAAAATTTAAAAAATGTTCAGACTCTACCTGGGCTTGGATAACGTGTCAGCTTCTCAACACGATGGAAGTGGAAAGATTGGCATACCACAAGCCTTCCAAGACCGCGAAGAGCACATCCACTAGGTCTGCTTGTTTGGTTTGTCTCGATCAGATGTTGGGCCTGCTTCAAACATGTGTGTCACAACATAAATCAGCAATGGGCGCAAAAACTTCGAAGCTACTGTTTCCTCGAGTCATCGACCTCATCACTATCATATATCAGCTGAAAGAATTCCAACCCACCACCATAGACTGTATCCGCATTATGCGTGATTTTTTCTCTCACTCCTATCATTTTGCGCACTTGAATATCTCAAAATGTTCAACATTGATTTGTCTGTGTTTTGCATTGTTACTGGGCAAGAAGATACCCAAAACACTTCTTTTGGTTCCAAATTCTGAATTCAACGATGAAGAAGTGAGAGTCGCGTCACGGCCAGTCCCTACCATGTTGGCTGATTGCACTTGGCTTTTATCACTCATCACCAAATCGCCAACAGATCTGACCATCACGCACTCTAAGACACTTCTCCATCACTTTAAGTCTATTCTTCAAACCTATCCTGAAAATTCTACATCACATTTCCATTTGATCTCTGCTTTATGTGCAATGTTGGAAGAACTAGAGTGCAACCAGATTTCCGATTTGACCCACTTCGCCACCGATTTGTGGAACTGCGTGATGGATTACTGGACTACAAAGTCTTCTGAATGCAAAGAAAGGATCATACTTGCCCTGACCTACCTTTTCCCATTCATCGTTTGGATCATCAAACAACCTAGCTCCGATGAATCTGAAGAAGCTTCTGCAATAGCCGAAACACTTGCGAGAAAAATTTTCCATGCTGTTGTAAATGATACGGACAGAGTTGGACTCAATACTCTCTCATCTTCACAACTTCGCTTCACAGAAGCGCTCAGTGGAATGAAAGTGACGCCACTCAGTACAAAGACTTGGGCTTGGGTCTCACTTGATCCTTCTGATGATATTGCTCAACGTCATCGAGTTACTTCGTGGGCTTCGCTACAACTGGGCGCTGCTGCTTTGAAATGTATTATCAATCTCAACAATAGGGCCCGCATAGAACCAAGCGTTCTGAGTCCAAGGAAACGTTGAAAGGTGCGTGGAATGATACAATGATTCAACATTTCAGATATTTCAACATGATCTAATAGCTTTGAGTCAACAGCTTGAAGACAATCTCGATATGTTCCTTCAAACAATGAAGCAAGGTCATTCGTCACCAAGTATCATACGTCGACTTCAACTTGTGATATTCGCTATCGACTTGAATTGGACTACAATTCACGCAAGCGCCAAGTCGCAAATCATCCACTCCATCCTAGACCTGATGAACTCGGAGAATACGGAAATTCTAGATTGGGTCTTTCTATGTATCACCAACCTCTCCTTTGTGAGTCAGATTTGAGCTTTCATCTTCAACCACCATCAAATTTACTGAAAGAACATTTCTGATTGCAGACACATGAAATAGTCAATAATTCCTCCAACGGATCACAGACCAATCTACTCCAAGATGGGGGCCCTACGTCTGACCAATGGTTTGATATGTGGAAATGTGCGATCCGCAGGACCTCCACTCCACAATGCAGTCGTACGGCGAGCTACGCAGCCTTGCTGATCTTAAAAAACGGACATCTTCCTAATCATTTGATGTATGACGGCATCAAAACTTTCTTCAGTGATTTATGCGTACAAGGTCCAAACTTCCCGAATGACTCGGTTTGTTTGTTGGTCTCGGAGTGTTTGTCAATGACAGCTGGGGATATGGCCTTCTCTGGATTTCTTTTTGAAGAAAAGGTGCTCATTTGGTTATCAAAGACATGGCGGAAAGTCGACTCTACCACAGCGGTCGAGAGCGCCTCGACTGGTGCAAGATCCAAAAAGGCGGTTATGACTGTTTTTCATCCAGAGTCAGCAATGGCCCTTCTACTATGCTTGACAAAAATGAAGAGATTACCTCGGCTTGGTTACTCTTGCATGGTCCTCAATTGTCCACTGGTTGAATCACTCATCTACAGAGATGACACTCGGGCGATTAGAGCCTTATCAAATCATCAAGAAGTGGTTGATTTCAATCACATCTCGTCATCTATACCATCATCAGAGTCATTGTTGAGCTTGCGAGTTCCTTTATCCGATTTACGCGACGTAGCCGATCTACTTCCGGGGTCAGAAATCCAGAACAGAATCTCCGTTATACTGGCCCAATCTATTGATAGTGTGATTGGTCAAATCTTTGATACTGAACCGCAGCGACTGAATTCTGCTTCCGGTTCTGTGACCAGCATTCAAGTAGCAATTGGTGTAATGATGGCTGGAATCTTGTTTGAGAATTCTTGACGCTCATCTGGGATCAGACCTCATCATGAAACCTTGGATTCAGCTGGAAAGCTTTTTTCTATAGTGAATGAGGCTCTCGAGGCTCACACTTGGTCCATTACTCAATTGGTGATTTTGTTATCGTGCTTTGAGCCTATCCTCCTTCTCTCTCCAGAATCCAACAATCAAGTATCAAAACATAGTCTTCTATCCCCTGGGTTGGCCTTGGGTCTACCTCGTCACAAGCTCGCCGATTCAAAAGCAACCCGTTCAACTCGCACAACTCTGGCATCTGAGCGGTTTTTGCCCATGCTCCCTGACCGCAGCCTGATCACTTCCATTTGGACTATTTCAGCCGACCTTCAAGCTCAGTTTCTCAACTTCTCTGAAATTTGTGAACGTATATTACGCAGTGTCAACTCAGCCCCGGGCGCCACCGAAGTCAACCTTACAAGTACCCAAATAGGGGAAAGGGCAGTAGGATTTGATGACAACAATGATGACAACTCTGACACCGACATGCAAGTCAACTGCCGGGACTTCTTGGATGGAAAGTGTTCCTTCAAAACAGAGCTGGGAGGGTCTGGAATGAAGAGAACGATTAAATCAATTGTCGATGTGTGCGTTCGTGTGCTCATGACCGGAGCTAGCGTGCAGGTCGGCAGTGATATGTCAAATACGATAGACATACCTGTCATTGCTACTATCCTCACAGAGTGCTCAGGTACAGCTATTGAGCTCATTGGACTGCGGGTCATAGAGTGCATTGATGTCAGCCTGATGTCACTGACAGAGGTCCAATCAGATCAGCTAATTCAATATGTGGGTGAAAGATACATGGTGCCTTACGCGTATTCGCACAATATGTACATTCAAATCTTTGCAATCCGCCTCTTGCGCGTCAGCTTACATCATTGGGCTTTGGGAAAGCAGACCAAACAACTTCAGTTAGATCATCATGCTTGGACGCTTTTTTCGCATTTTCTCGGCCTACTGTCTCAAAATACAATGCACTCAGAGGCTCAGCTTGAGTTGGCCCTGCTGCTTGACGCTTACTTAGAATTTGATCCATCCCAAGAAATTTGGAATAAGAAGTCCACCACATATCTTCTGAAGGCTTTACAAGGCAACCTGAGGCTACCTATTGACCTCCTCATAGATCATCTTCAACATGATAACATTCAAGTTCGATATGCTGCCGCATTCTTAATTCCTCATGCTTTTGAAGTCTTGCACTCCATCAACGTGTGGGATCGGGTCGCATCTTATTGGTCAACTGCAATTGATTTGACACATACTTTTGATTATGAATACTCGGTTACCACATCACTTTTCTTCGCCAACGTCTTGCTAGTAAGCGCTGAATCGCGACCACAAGCGTACCAGATGTTGATCAGTAACGTGACGGAGAAGGCGGAGACTTCGGAGCAGGTGCTTTGTCGTTCACTCATATACACACTGTTGAAATGTGCTTCTCATTGCCTCGGCTTTTCGGGGCCTGACAAGCTTTATAAGTTGTATGCTGCTCATATTGCTGCAGAACGGCATACTATGAACAAAGAACCACTGCATCCACAACACAACTTCATCGGCAGAGATCTGAATGATTTCAAGAAGCTCAAAGTCATCCGCGCAAATCTTCATGCTGTCGGACCCTTATTTTATCTCAATGACGACACATCTGCATTTCAAACTTGTGCTCAGCTCGCTGGCATGAACACAAGGGAAGTGTTGCGTCTGTGTTTTCCTCGAGTTGCTGGCGAATTGATAGCACGGACTTTTCAAAGTCATGATGGTGGAGGAAAAGAGCAAGCCGGCCAGATCATCTTACCAATGCTTAAACTTGCCACCTCCCAATGTGAGCTCGAGATCGATATGCTCAGTGTTGAGAGAGATTGTGTGGCTACTTACTTGATGTTAACGTCATCTGCAACTCTGGCTGATACAAAGATGGTTGCTGATACGTTGGGTCCAGAAGCTCAGGACTTATATTCAGCTCTCAGTTCAACACTAGAAACTTGCTATTTGACTGAACCCGCCTTGCCGTTCTGCCCAATTCTCTCCAATGTATGAGCAATAAAATGGGTTGATGAATTATATCCTGTTTTTCATGAACCCACTGTGGTGTACAGTGTAATCAGTAACATTTTGTCCGAAATCTCCGCCTCGCCCTTTGTGAACGACCATCTCCGCTATCTGCTTACAATTACGATTTTTATTGCATTGTCACATGAAGTAGTACAAAAATCTGAAGCCATTCTTACATTACTCCTCCAGGGATTCTTACATCTTTTCTCAGAAGAGGTTACATTTGTACCTGTGTGCACACTTGCAAAGTGGATCATCGAGAAGATAATCCAACTGGAACGTCCCCCGGAGATTGGCCATCAAGAGCAGAATACCTTTACTCAGAGATTGATAATCGCCTGCGTCAAAAAAGTTTTGATCGTTGCTAATTCAGGGACGCCGGAAGACCGCAATGTTTCTATTGCAAAGGAGTTCAATGAGTGGCTTCTTGCCCAGGTCAATTTGATATGTGATTCAGCCAATCATCCGCAGCATTTGATAGGAAATGCTTTGCTACTGTATTGGCCGGATGTGTCAATGCTGCAGTGTAAAATCCCCGATGTGAAAGATTTATTAAGTAGAAGGTGTGTGGAGAGCGCGTCATCCTTCAACTTCAAGCTCATCAAACACATTGTATCATCCGGACTACCTGGAGATAGAGTTGAAGCTGGTCAGCTGCTCTTTACCCTTCTTGTCTTGGCCCGCGAGTTGTGTGTGAAGCCTTTGCTAGAGAATACCGTGTTGTATTTTCAGCTGCTATCAAAAATTTCTGGCAACCTGAATCCACCGCTTCTGGGGCAGCGTACTCCGTGGGGTCCAATATTGACTGGTCGATCGAAATATCTTGATAGCCGCCACAACACAATTCATCAAATTTTTGCCCTGGTTGTTTCGCGTCTTGAAACTGAGGATTTGCACCTTTTGTTTTGCTTAACAGAATTCATTCGGAGGGCGGGCGTGTGTGAGAAGCTCTCAGAGTTTGAACAATATCATTCTCAACTACCGCGCTTGTCTCACGACAGAACAAATCTCATACTCTCCTCATCTTGCTATCGTACCCATGATCTATACATACCCCATTTGATCAAGTCTTGGTCTGATTTTTCCTCACTTATCGCAATCGCCAATCAAGCTCCCGAGTGGACAGTAGGGATCTTGAAGATACTGATCTTTGATTGATTGCGCAAAAGGCCTTTTTTTGCTCAACTCTCTCATATTTTAGAGATTGATGATACTATTGCGTCAGACGTCTTACCATGTGTTGTACACGCTTGTCTCCTCGAAGATCTGGTCTCACCCCAAGCTTCTTTCAAGAATGACTTGTCCAAGCATGTCTGTGCACTACTTCAATCAGCTTCGACATCAGAATCAGTCATTCATAGACTTCTCGATCTAATCACTTATCTACGCTTGAGTCCAACACCTGACGGAGATCCCCTTGGCTGCAATAGATGGTTGGATGTACCTTGGCGGCTCTTAGTTAAGCAAGCAACCTGTCTGGGTATGCCATCTATGGGGTTCTTATTCCTGGAAATTGCACGCAAAGGAGATGAAATAACTAGTCTGATAAGTAGCACTGAAAAAGAATTTCAAGACGTTTTTCATCTCCTTTACTCGTCATCACTAGATCCAGATGCATTCTACAGTCTTCCTCCGCGCGACCCATCTTACTGGTTACTGGAAAAAAGCTCTCATGAGGGAGAGTGGGACTCCATGTTTGGTATCAGCTACAGGGAAAGGGTTCGGACCTTTCGCATCGAGCTAAAACAATTCACACACTCGCTCAGTCACACTCTGGATGTGGGCTCGATCAACTCGCGTATCAGGTGCTTCAAACAGCATCTTCAAAGGAGGCAGCACATCCTGCTCGAGATCTTCTGGAGAAAGAATGTTACAGTTTACCCTTTGAATTGGCTTGGCAAGCGTCAGAGTGGGACCTTCCTCAAGCGGACCAACCTGATTTTGACTCCTCTGCACGCTTGTATGGAGCTCTGCAAGCAGTCAATCGTCAAAGAGGTTTACGGATTCAATCAGAAATTGTAAACCAATGTCTTATCGGCCAGTTCAAAGACCTGGTCAATAGCCCGGTAGTGTTTTTCCAACCAGATGCCAAAGTTATCGGGACTGCCTTAATTAGCCTTTGAAGAAATCTTGACCTGGCTCAAAAACAATGGTGCAGTCTAAAGACAGAAGTACATGGAGACTCTTATTGATCTACCACAAGGTTGCAAGTAAGTGCTCGGTTTTCTGATGAAGTGCGGAACACGTAGCAATGTCCTCATACTGATGATCATCGTCTTGCTTCAGTTACAAAGGCCTTGAACTGATATCAGTGGTTCAAAGGAGCTTGCTCCAGACCGAAATGGATAAGCAAATGCAAAACATGATTGGTGATGAACCAAATGCTACATTCCGTATAGCACAACAGATAGAACAGAAGATGCGAATAAAGACGTCCCAAGAGGCGCGACTGTCTGGTCGCATTCAGAATGCTCTCAACATCATTGTTCCGACCAAGATGATGGGAAGTGAAGATATGACACAAATTGCTTTAGAGGCCAAAGAAGAATTTGCCAAAGTCTTGTGGATGAAAGGAAAACACTCGATGGCTTTGAATATGTTGGAAGACGTACAATCACAGCAGACTTCAACATCTCAAGCTGCAATTCAGCTAGCTTTCCTTGTAAGTGGTTCATCTTGGATCATTTTGCCTACATTTCTTGCTCATGCACGGTTGTTGTACTCTGCAGGGCAATTGGATGGGGGCTGAGAGGAGATATACACCCCAAGAAATCATTGAACGGTACTTTGAGAAAGCAATCAGTGTCCTAGATTGAGAATCAGATCCAGCTGCATTTGGTCAGGTCTCATTCACATATGCCACATTTGCTGATAAACAGTATCGTGATGTGGTTGCTTCTGGAGAGGTCGCTTGATTGACAAAATCCACCATACGGCTTTCGGCATCGGTGAAGTACAAGGCTTCCAATAGAGCTGACAGAAACGCTCTCAAGTGGAAACAAAGGATTTATGATGAAGACTGTAAATCACTAGAAAGATATTCTTGTATGCAAAGAGGGTATCTCCATGGTGCTTTACAGATGTATCTCAATTCACTGGCATTCAGGGATCAACACGATGATGTGGTTTTTAGCTTTGTATCACTTTGGTTCGATCATTCGGATGATGATGAACTGAACAAAGTTCTCTCAAACCCCATCACAAAAGTCCCTATGCATAAATTTGTACGGGTAGCCCACCAGCTATCAGCGCGGCTGAGCATAGAGACCAAATCCAACTTCCAAGTGGTCTTGATCAAATTGGTAACGCGAATGTATTTTCAGCATCCGTTTCATTGCTTACCCCAGATATTACTGTTACGGCAAGGTATTCAGTCCGCGATAAGTGGCTCAGAATCAAATACACACCTCCGACGTACGTCTCAACAACATCCCGTACCCAATGACTTGACGCCTAGTCAATTATCGCGTGCAAAAGCTGCCAATGGCGTCCTGACCGCTGTACATAATCATTATCTTCGTCAAGCAACTGTGGTAAGCTTGATAGACGTTTTTGATGCTTATACGGAATGGGCGCAGTACGATGTAAAACGTAACATGGAAACAAAGTCACAGAGTGGATCACTTCGAATTCCTTCAAGAATCAAACTGATTGGGATCAAGAACAAAGCTATACCATTCTCAACTGCTCATCTACCAATCGACCTTACTTGCAAATATAATCCAGATTCTATGGTCTGCATCACAGGATATCAACTTGAATTCAAGCTTGCCCAGGGTCTTCATGCACCCAAGATCACCGAATGTCGAGGATCAGACGGACGCGTTTACAGACAATTGGTGAGCGATTTATTGAATCTATCAGGATCCGTTTGATGAGCTATTCAGAGCACCGTGATATTTTAACGAGTTGGTTTTCATCTCTTACAGTTCAAAGGTGGTGACGACATAAGACAGGATGCGGTCATGGAGCAAGTATTTGACCTAGTCAATCAAGTCTTGACACGCGATGGAGAGTGTTGAAAAAGACGCTTGAACTTTCACACATACAAGGTGATACCATTAGCTGAGGAAGCCGGCCTGATAGAATTTGTGACTAACACTTCAGCGCTAGGGGCTACGCTGACTCCTCTTCACGCAAAGTGAGTTTCAATCTTGAGGGATTGAAACTCCGCAAAACATTTTTTTGATGTTGATAGCCGACTACTTCTACATTGCTTTTGACATATGTTTAGATACAATGAACTCCCAGACTGGGACTTGAAGCGCGCCCAAAGTTACTTAGGTTTTCAAAGGAATGCATCTGAATCTAAAAGAATCGCCTCATTCAAAGAAGTCATGAAATGTATCCGTCCAGCAATGAGGTTCTGGTTTATGGAATCACAAACTTGTCATCAGAAGTGGTACAAAATGAGATTAAATTATATGAGGACGACAACCACTGCTTCTATTGTTGGACATATCTTAGGATTAGGAGATCGACATTTGTCTAATATCTTATTGGATAAAGAAACGGGCAATATGATTCAGATTGATTTGGGAATAGCTCTTGATGCGGTGAGTTTCATCCATTTTTCATTAATTGATTTCAGTTGGACATTGCCAAAACGGTTTACTACCATTGAAACTGCTCTAATGAATTTGTTGTATGTCGTAATGAAAATGTAGGGTCGGCACTTGCCAACACATGAGAAAGTACCATTTTGATTAACTCAAGATATAATTGATGGTTTTGGAACAACAAAGACTGAAGGCGTTTTCAGGAGATGTTGTGAACACACTTTAAGTGTGTTAAGAGAAAACAAGGACCTAGTGATGACTATAATTGATGTACTGAAGCATGATCCACTACAAATCTGGTGAGTCTCTGATGCTTTGATGTTAAAGTAGCATACGAGAATATTGATCAAACTATAATTGCTGCTTTTAGGGTGATTACCGAAGAGAGAGCGAGAAAACTACAGGAATCACATGATCCTGATACAAATGAAGGTGGAACAGGATTGTGTTATCCACTTACAGGTCAACAAGAGAAAAAGAATAAAGAAGAAGAATCAAAGGTTTCTGAAAGTGCATCTAGAGCTTTAGCTTCAGTAAAAGAAAAACTATCAGATAATTTGAATGTGGAAACAATGGTAAATCAACTGATATCAGGCAACTAATATGAATAATCTAGGTTCAATATATTGTGGTACGTTTATGTGTGATTTCTTTGCCAAAAGGACTTTAATATGAATATAAAGAGCTGATGACAACCCTTTGTATCTTGCTCTTGTGGTTTTTGTTTGGCATATCTATTTACGTTGCTATTGGTTTAGGCTGGTCCCCATGTAAGTTCTTGTTACAATCGCACTTGTTGCCCCGTGATACCACGAACTGATCAGAATGGTTTCCACCCCTAATTTCAACCTCGGGTCTTGTTCTCGTCCTACAGATTATTGAAGTGCCAAATCCAGATCTTTGTCCTTCTTGTGTTGATTATTTTTACATGTACCACTACTATATTACTGATACTTTAGGCATTGTGGGGAAAGAACAAAAGGGTTTGAGATATGATCATCACTTAGGCAAGCATGATTTCGAGTCATTTCTGACTTGTTTTTGCGTGTGGATGATGAACATCCTTCTATATTAATATGATCTTATTGTAACTTTTGAAGATCTGAAGAGAGGGCAATTTAAACTGTCGGCTGTTGATAATATTCACAAGAATCCCCAATCATCTGTTCTTAGGGCCCGTTCGGCTGGAAACCAAATACGGTTTTTGGCCAAATACTCCACCGAAGCCAAAAACTGTATTTGGTTTTTGACAAAAAGAGCAGTGTTTGGCAATGGTCTTTGATCAAAACCAAAAACGGTTTTTGATCAAAAGATCTTCAATTTTGAAAAACAGCCCTGAGGCTGTTTTTGGGACCAAAAATTGGTCGACTGTTTGGTAAATGAAAAAGCCAAATTTTGAGTTTTTCAATCTGCCCCTTTTTCAAGGGTCAGATCAAAAAATTGTTTTTGTGTAACAATTTTTTCAAAATCCAGCCAAACGGGCCCTTAGCTAGGACTACCACATCAGACGGTCTGCTACCAAAGAGCATCCCCAGCTGTGTCGTAAATTTGTATTGTACAGAGCGTTGCACAGATCGTTTAGGCAAGTGTTTGAGGCATAAGTTTCAAATGATTTTTTTTTTTTTTTTTTTTTTGCATTGCTTTAAGTGTTTATTGAGCCGTTAGGCTATCAAACACTATGTAATATGTCCAGCACCGGTAAAACCCCTCTGGCTGTGTCAGGGGAAAGGGTTGCTGTTGGCTGTTTCATCTAAGTTACATGTTTGTTTTTTAAAATTGTGAAAAGAAGGCGGTGAGGTAGGGATGCGAATATTGTTATTCTAGGGGTTGGGGTTTGTTCTTGGGGCGGGGTTCATTGGTGGCCTTAGCCCAGGTCCAGCGATTCGCAAATCTCCATGTGGAGTTGCAAAAAGTGGCAATGGCTTTGAAACTTTTGGGTTCGGAGAGAATTTGTTTGTTCATTTTTCTTGTAGCGTGGTTGAGAAGGTTGTGTTCGAGTTGATTTCGATGTTGTTCGTGTGACTGGCAAATGAATAAAAAGTGGTCAACTGTTTCGATGCCATCCTGGCATTCACAAAGTGGATCTATCGGTTGCTTGAATCTGTTCAGGTATGCGTTAAGTGGTATATGACCTGATCGTAATTGTGTGATGGTTGCGACTTCATGTTTGAGAAGTTCTGATAAGGCCTTGAGGTGTTTTTTCGGTTGGGGCTTGTGGCCGAGTCTTTTTATTTCTGTGTCGGTGAAGGATTCGGTTTGTGTGAGTTTCCATTCGTTGATGGCTGAGATAAATGCCGCTGAGTTGGGTGTATTTGTGAATGTGCTGGGTAGATCACTTTTTGCAAGTGTGTTGGCTAGTTTGTCGGCGGCTTCGTTTCCCGGGATTCCTTTGTGTCCTGGGCACCATCGTATTGTGACTTTCATTAAGGGGAAGCTTTGATGAATGCATTTAAGTATCTTAAACGTTTGTTGTCTGTTATCTAAGGAGGAGACGGAGGATGAGTTAGATTTCAAGTCTTTCACCACTCCCTGATTATCAAGGATAATGGATGTCCTGTGTGTGGCTTGAGTCGCCATTTCTAGGGCCATTTTCAGCCCCAGTTGGACGCCACGGTACTCTGCCTGGTAAATGCCTTGCAAACGTGCTGGGCCTAGGTGGTCTGCAGTCGAAGTCGTGGTGTTAGCGCACCATGCTGCCGCTGCCGTGTTTTTGTTTGGGATACGAGAGCCGTCGGTGAAAATTAGTATGTGATGGCCGCTTGGTTTAAGCCGTAGCGTCCCATTTGTGGCGGTGTTTTCATCCTCCTGGAGGATTGTTGAGTAATTAGGCGGCCTGATTAGCGTCGAGGCTGGGTCCACCGGCAGTTGGACCACGTGTTCTTCGAATTGCGTGTGAAGAGAGTGTTGGAAGAAATGATGAAAAGGGTTACGGTGGCTTTTCGGATTCGAATGCTGAGCCTGCTGGATAAGAGAGAAAAAGGGGTGTGATTTAGCTTTAGCTAAAGAGCGTGCCATGAAGCTCAAAGTTTTGCTTTGTAGGCGTATTTTCACGGGCACGAGGTTCATGTCATGCCTGAGAAAGATTGTTGGTGTGGTGCTGAGTGCTCCAAGCGCCGCTCGGGCGCAGGTGTTGTCTATCTGTGTCAGTTTGTCAATGAGAAATTTTGACGGCTCTGTAGGGTTCCAGGCCATGGCTCCATAATCGGTCGCTGCGTGGATCGTGGTTGTTATGAGAATTCTCATAAGGTGAGGGGGGATGCCCCAGCCGGTCTTCGAGAGACCTGCTAGGAAACCGGCTCGTTGTTGTCCTTTTGCAATAACTTCGAGTCGGTGTTGTTTGAAGGTGAGTTGATTGTCGACTTTGATGCCCAGCCATTTTGCAAAAGGGGCCGGTTCGATCATTTTCCTGTCGGCAAAGTCAATTGTAGGGATGAAAGCAGGTGTTTGTAAGCCAAATAGAACCCAAAATGTTTTCTTGATGTCAAAAATCGCGCCGTGATTTTTGGCCCATTGTTGTTGGCGAAAAGACAGTGTTTGCATCTGTGATTTCAACTGATGTGTGTCGCTTGCGGTTGACAACAAAACAACGTCGTCAATGAAGCCTAATGCCGAGGCCGAAGTAATGTTGTCAGTTATTTCAAGAAGGGAGGAATTGTAAAGAAGGTAAAGGAGGGGGGACAGAGGGGAGCCCTGCGGAAGTCCATGGTCGAGGGGAAAGGGTTGAGATGTGTAGCCGTTAAATGTGAGCGTTGTTGACCGGGATTCGAGAAAGTCGTGTAAGATGTTGAGCGTCTGCGTGTTGATGCCTTTCTTCTCAAGGGTGTCGAGGAGTCTAGGGTGATGGACCGATGGGAAGGCAGATTTGACGTCTGCAAAGAGAGCGCCAACTACCTTACCTTTAGCCCATTCTCGTTTGATCCACGATACCAGGTGGACTAATGCCTCCTGGCTGGATCTGTCGGGGCGGCCACCATAATGACCGTCGTGGAGCATGCCGAGGTTCTCGGCGTAAGCTGAGAGGTGGATCGTGAGGAGTTTCTCAAAGATTTTGCTGAGTGTGACGAGGAGCGCTATTGGTCGGTATGCCGATGCTTGTGTGTAGTCTGGCTTGCCTGGCTTGGGGATCATCACCGTCACTGCTGTTTTCCATGAGTGTGGTATGAATCCTGTGAGTGCAATACATTTGAAAAGTAACGTTACGTGTAATTTGACTTGATCCCAAACAAGTTTCCACACCCAGTTTTGGATTCCGTCCATTCCGGGTGCTTTTTTGGGCGGGCAATCGTTGATGACTGCCGCTATTGTGTCCTTCGTGATGGATGCTACAAAGGGGGGTGTTAGTTCGGTTGTCGGACGTTGATCCTCGAGGAGGGGGAATTCAAGGTGGTTAGTGTCGTCCAACCTGCATGGTGCTGTTGCCACGCAGGTGGCTAAGAAAAGTGCTTTCGCCTTTTCATCATTTGTTGAGCACGTCTTCCCATCAGGGGTGATGATAGTGCTAACTAGTGAGGATGGTTTCCGTCCTGATGCGATTCTCTTGGCCTGGAAAAGATTGGTGTGGTCGACTTTGGAGAGAAATTGTCTCCAGGAATTTTCTTTTTCTTTGTCAATTGCTTGGTTGAAGATGTTGCGTGCTTTTTTGTAGTCGGCACGTGACTCGTCGGTGTCGAGCTTTTTGGCACGTCGTCGAAGTCGCGAAGCCTCTTTTCGGAGTGGGTCAAGAATTTCGGGCCTCCACCAAGCCTTATGCTTGCCGTATGTTGCTTTTCGTGGCGAGTTCTCATTCAGTGCGTTCAGTAGCGCTGTTCGAAGCTCCATGTCGAATGTTTCAATGTCTTCTCTTGTCGGAAGTGGTTTGAGTTTTGGTAAAGTGGTTTTCAGTTGCTGTAACAATAAAATACGGTCAACTTTGTTCCAGTTCTTTTTCTCAGTGGATTGAGACTTAGCAGTGTCTTTGTCTCCTAGTATTGTCGAGAAGCAGGTTACGATTGCTTGGTGATCGGAGTTGTGGTTTAGGACGTCGTTCTCATCTATGAAACATGTCAGTGTTGCATCATCAAAATCTTCGTTTACCCAGACTTGATCGATGGATGTTCCTTGAGTGTTTGTTGAGCGGACTCCGAATGTTGGTATCCCTCTAGGTGATCGTAGGGTAAAACCCCATTCGGTCATCATTTCGATTAATTTTTCTGAGTCTTTGTCGGCGACGGTGCTGTGGCTTGGGTTCCATAAAGGAGAATGAAGATTAGAGTCAGTGACGCACACCGCTGGTAACAACTGGGTGTCTAGCGGCGCCGTGTGGAGCATTTCGGTGAAGGCTTCAAAGCCTGAGAGCGTTTTGCATGGGTTATAAACACTGGCTATCAGGATAGTGAAGCCAGTGATAGTAACCGTGCACGCTGCGAGGTTTCTGGATAATGAATGTATGGGGTTGATAATGGCGTTTAGGTCTTGTCTGATATAAAGACAGGCTCGGGGTCTGTCCTCCTCACTCAGTGATCGTGGAGAAGAACAGACTAGAGTCCAATTAGGATGGTTGAGCGGTAAGTTGTCAATAGGATTTACATAAGGTTCTTGAAGAGCAATGATGGAAAATGAATTAGTGAGGTCTGAATTGAAAAGAGAATGTGTAACGTGTTTGCTGTGCCAGCTATTCAATTGAAGAATACCAGCTGAATTGTCAATATTGAGCTTTTCTTTCATCTGGTTCTCTAACATTGAGTACGAGATGATTCCGCTTCGTTGACCACCTCAATATATGGTGAGGAGCTAGGGTTGTGAGGGGGAAACTGGCCAGCGATTCTCACAGGGCACGTTGGCGAGAATGGATGATGCAGAAAATCTGCATGGTTCTCTTTGAAGAGCCGTGTCAGATTGGCACTCGGGTCAGCTTTCACTTTGCCACGAGCACATGAAGTGCATTTCATTGCAGTTGAGCCTTTTATTGGGCAATTGTGTGAGTGGTGTTCTCCTGAACAATAGGGACACATGGGTGCTATTTTACAAGCTGGCGCTGTGTGGCCTACACATTGACAATTGAAACATCGCATGGGGGGGGGACCGCTCAATTCCGTTCTGTGACGGCCTCTCCCTTGCCAGACTTTTGTGCGCACTGCTAGAGTGGCTTGACTGAGTGTTTTGAAGCCTATTAAAAGGGAGGAGTGACGTTTTGCCGTGTCGTCGGCCGTATCTTTCTTAAGCCACCTCACAAAGAGGACATCGTCAAGGAGATCTCCATTGCATATCTTTAGGAGCTCAATGTCTTCTGGTCGAGTGGGGTTAAAGGTGGTGGGGACACCGTGTACGATGACTGAGTGCACCTCCTGCTTGATCGCGAGGTTAGGTGAGATTTTTGATAGCCAGCTTGCGGCTTGGTTTCGCAGAGCCTGGACTTGTTTTTGTGATTCGAGATAAAGCACCAAGTCTCCCGATGGGTGACGGTGTATATTCCGAACCAAAATGGTTGACTTGTCTTCCGTATCGACCTTAATGTTATTGGTCTTAAGGGTTTCGTTGAGAATTTTGATTAGCTCAGGGATGGTCTTTCCCGCGCCAGCGATATTCTTTGGGTCCTGCTGATTGAGCGTGAGTGAAGCCTCCGATTTAGGGCGAGAGCTCTGTTTTGGTTGAGCACGGTTGCTCTGTTGGTTTTGTTTGGGAGCTTTGGATGGTCCCGGTGCGTGTTTTGATGCTGCTAAGGCGTAGGAGCTCTTAGGCTGGCCTGGCTGTGTTTGGCCTTGTTGTTGTTGTTGCTGCTGGTTTGGTATAATAGCAGCCACCAACTTGGCCATTTGATCGGCGAGCGTGTCAACTTTCTCTGACAACGCTTCGTGTCGGAATTCGAACTGAGCATTCGAAGCAAGCGATGAAGGGGTGGGGGCTGTAGGACGATGTGGATCAAACACAACACGTCGTGCCTCCATTATGTTTGCTTGGTCTTGGATCAAGCCAGCTAGTACGAGGAGGTCAGCCGCTGATTCTATATCGACGTTGACTGATTTCGCGCGTTTGGATTTGGGCGCCAGAGCCGCTTTTGATATATCAAGCAGCTTCTGTACCAGGGCACCGAGTGGTCTGGATGAGCCACCTGGGAACAGACGAGCGACTCTGATCGATCGTGGGGTACCGGTGATGTCCTCAGATTCGTCTAGGCCGCTCTGCGAGGGTGCTCGTTGTCGGTGTCGCTTTCTCGAGCCCTCCAGCAAGGCTGGAGGATCCGATACCGGGCCAATGAGAGCTTGGGAGGGAAGGGTGACCTTATCGATGGTCTTTGAGGTCGGTTGACGCGTTTGAGGCGTGGTCGTCGGCTTCTGACCCGTCAGGTCAGTCGCGATCTCGGCCTCCATCGCGTCATCATACATCGACGCGTCATCTCGAACGGCCGAACCGTCCTGAATATCGGGGTCCGGGGGTCCTTCGTCCATCGGTGAGCGCGACGGAAAGGGAAAGATCGAGAGAAGTGATGAAAAAATTGAGAAAAAGTGAAGACGATTGAGGGAAAAGTTAGGAGAATGGAGTGGATGACTACTTGCGCAGTCACGGAGGGGGTCACGTGACAAATTACTAAAATTTGGTTCGAGACAGAATCCTCCCCTCAAATGATGCACAGCCGTGGTGTCGTACAGTATGGCTTGTAGCATATTTTGTGAAGTGAGTCATGGGTTAGTTGATCATTGAGGGAGATATTCTGCAGGGAGTGCAGTCGTGGAAGTGGGAGTTATGGGAGAAGCGAGGTACAGATGAATTTAGGGAGAGAGGGAATCACAGCGTGGCTACCTCTTGATCCACCTAAATATTTCCTCAACAACCTCTCAACAATTGACAATACTAGCGCAAGATAAGCACTTGGAGCACTCAACACGACACCCAAAGTGTTCCTTCAACATGACATGAACGTGACACACCCAGAAACTAGGCTACAAGCTAAGATTTTAAACTTTATCACAAAATCACTTTCAAAGCCTAGTTACCACCCTCTTTTCCCCATTATTCAAAATGCACAGGTATCAAAACCTCGGGATCACAGGAACATCTTCCACAAGTTCTTCCAGCATAAGTTAGGTAAAGAATTCGACGAATTCACTACTCAACTTCCAATCGACCCGACAGCTGTCCTAATACGGCCTCCAAACTACTCAACAATACTGCAAGACAAAAAAGTGGCCATTCAACAACGTTGGGCGGATACGTTGCTAAAAGGGGGCAACACATCGCCAACGCATCGCATCGATGCCTTTTGCAACGCATCGCAAGGCATCGGCTTGGCCCGGTACACGCTGCGATGCCTGCTGAAGGTGCTTGGTAAATACCGTTGCACTGCATCGCAACGGCCGTTGCGTGAAATGCAACGGTGCAACGGAGGATGTCTGCTTTCAGGCAGGGTCATCCAGGAATCTATTGACCATCTGAGATCATCATCTCTCCGCTCCTTGCTTACCCCTTTCCAAACTATGGGGTGAGGCTTGAGCTCGCTTTCTAATTCCCATCTCAAACATTAGGGGCTCCGCTTCTGAGCTCCCAAGTTTTTTTTTCATCATGGCAAGCACCTCAGCTTCATCAGCGGGTGTGCCACAATCCCAGCCTGAAGTCAATTCGACTCCACTTCGTCGCTCTTCACGTCCACCCACACCTCGCAAGAATGTACCTGGAATGGTTCAGCCTTCGTCTGATGGCCGGGCTACTATACCACTTCCAGGTGTTTCGCGCAAAAATGGTAAGACTTTGAAGAATCAGAGCACAGGAAAGACAAACCAACAACCAAAGAAAAATCAACAAACGGTGAAATCAAAACGGGCCAGAGAAGGATCATCGAAACAGGACTCACAGGTGGCGAGCCAATCTTCATGATCCCCATCTTGTCCATTTTTCTTAAGGCTGATGAGAGTGTCTAAACTCTAACAATAGGGATCCGAGAAGAATGCCCCATCAGAGGCCGAGATGAACCAGGACTCCGATGACAACCTGAATTACCGACAGGCAGCAAAAAAGGCCAAAGTTCTCAAAGAAGCTGTATCGGAGGACGAGTATGATGATGTGACCGATTACTTTGCTGAACCTATTTATGAGGGAGATGATGTAGTTCTTTAGGTTATTTTGTTTGAAGCCTTTTATTAGCTGCTGATATCTATTACATGTTTCATTTGACAATGACAGGATCGATCGCTGCCGGCCATCGCCTACCCCTGCCATTGGTGTACTAAGAAGGCGGTTCGTGCTGCGTATGACTCACTGGGTAACTTGAAGATACATCGCGATGGATCTTCAGGTAAACAAAATCGATACCCATGTAAGGGGCGACAACACGCTATCGATGCTGGCGCCAAACTGCCTCCTTCAGCTCACGAGGCCAAAGCAAAGAAAGTCGATGATAATCAGAAACAGATGTCTGAATTCTTTGAGTCTAAAGTCAGTTTCAAAAACGAAGTCCTCAATCAAATACTGGCAGTTTGGATACTTGGGCAAGCTCTTCCGTGGAATCGGATCGAGGACTATCACTTGCGACTGGCCTTTCGGTACGCTAGACGTGATGCCAAGATTTTTGGCCGCACATGGGTCAGCAGGGAAGCTGCTGGTATGTATGTGTCGTTCCAAGACACCGTTTTGAAGGAAATCACCGTAAGTAATTTAAAACATTTGTTAAGTGAGGCTTTAAAGTGTGTGAAACGATTTGTTTGTTACTGATTTAGTTTTTCAATTCAAAAGGGAAACATGGGCCGCTTTACCCTCATCCACGACGGTTGGACGACACATAACAACATCCATGCGTTTTTAGGCGCTGCTGTCACATTCATTGACAAGAATTGGGACTACCAAGTCCGCCATCTTACTCTTAAACTTGTAGCTTGGCACCACAACGGTGAATGGCTTGCACAGCCACTTGTGCACTTCATGAAAAAGCATAAGCTTCAACATAAGATAAGTAACTCTTTTTTTTTTCGGACCAAACCACTCGGATGCTCACATCATCATTCAAGTTAAAGGTAAACCGTGTTCGCCGGCAAAACCTGATTAAACTCCCAATCCCTACTACCAATTTCAAGGTTTACACGTCTAACACAGTTTAATCTGATTTCCACGCACCTCACCCAAAATATGTTTGTCATTCCTCTTATAAGATACAAATCAACTAACTGGAATCGTCTTGAAGGCTTTCACTCAGTGAGGCTGGTTTAGCAGCTCACTCCAATTTTGTGCAAACATTTATCAGCCTTCCTCGACCAACGGGAACAGGGACATCACAACCTAAACCATGTCTTCCTCAACTGACTTCACCCTTCCAACAACTGGCTCTAATCATCAATCAACATCAGCCAATGACAGACAAGTATTATGGTCCTTGATTGATGGTCACTGTTGTTACCCGACTTAATATGGAACTAGATCGGAATGCTAACAGGATAGGGTTAGGGTTAGGAAGAAGATTGTCAACCTCAACACAAATTGAACAAGATTACCAATTACTCATTTCCAGCACTCATTCAACTTCTTACTACTGGCACTACGATTCACAACCCTCTAGCAAGATCGATCATATTCAACCTCAATGTTTCTACTCCAAGAACTTCATATGCAACATCCTCAATCAACTCGCCTATTGGACTTCAAAGTTGATTGAGATCTTTTGCGGGAAACGTTCAACGCACTTATAATCTACAGCCTTCCCTGCGCGCAATGTCTGGTACCTCAAATGTAATCGCTGCTGCTATTGATAACGAGATGCCCGATTTGAAAGCAATCAATGCTATCATTTCCGAACTGACGGGTATGAGTGGACAATGGCAGGAGTTTTTTATATGCACGGTTTCCACAATTACAAAAGTAAGCGGTTGCATGCTGAAGCCGAATCCCACGATTTTGTTCGGATTGGATTTTTTTATCTTTTGATTGGTCCCGATTATAGATTCCATGATTACGAGTAAGTAATCTTAATCCTTGACCAAAAACCAAGATAATCATATTAAACCAAGTTTTTTTGTTCAATTAGAGGTTATCCACTTTTAGATGTAGTCTTTGCAGTCAGAATTTTTAAATCATTAGGTTGTGAAGCAGTAATTGGTAAGTTCAATTTAAACCAAATCATATAATTCAAAAAATTAATCTTTAACATCAACACTTGAATCATTCTGTTTTTGTTTTATAGTAACCAATGCTGCAGGAGCAGTGAATCCGAATTTAAAAGTTGGACAAATCATTGCACTTGATGATCATCTCGCATTACCATTGTAAGTTTTTAACAAATTGTTTGATTTATTTAATCAATTTGTTTTTGGATTGTTTTTTAACTCATTTTTGAATCAGACTTCTTGGAATCCTTTAATCGGTCCTAATATAGATACACTTGGTCCTCTTCTTCCACCCATGTCAGATGGTAAATTCTTAAGCGTTTTCTAATTCTCATAAAAAATCAATTTTTGTAATCTGATCAAACTAACTTGACCAAACAAAAAAACCTCTTGAATCTATTTTAAATAGCTTGTGATCTTGAACTTAGGAAATCAGTGTTTGGATCGTTACCCGAAATCGGATTAGAAAAGGGTGATGTGATAGAAGGAATTTATGCTTGGGAAATTATCACACTATGAAGTTCAACTTAATTATTATTCAGTGAACTAACAAATTGGATTTTCCTTTCATCCTCTCTTTGAGTGAATGATTTAATTTTGTAGGTTTCAGGTCCGACTTATGAAACAAGAGCAGAAGGAAAATTTATAAGAAGTACACGAGCAGATGTAGTACGAATGTCGTAAGTCTCAAGTTCTCAACTCCAACAAAACTCACCAAAAAACACTAAATCATTATTTTTGTTTGGGTTTTTTGTAGTACAGTACCAGAAGTAACTGCGTGAAGACATATAGGATTAAGAGTATCAACTTGATCACTCGTGACTAATGTAGTAACAGATAAACCGTATAAAAGTGCAGAAGAGTTTGTGGAAAATGAATTAAAGAATCAAGGATTGGATAAATCAAATGATGAAGGTGTTGAACCGGTTTGGAAAGAAGAAACTGCTAATCATGGAGGAGTTTGTTGACTTTCTCTTTTTTCTCTCTTCTTGATTTTGAAACTGATTTTTTTGTTCTTTCGATTTGGTTGGATGTTGGTTTTGGTTATTAGGTTTTAGAAATTGGAAATTTAAAATCAAAAGATAGACTTAAGATTGTTAAATATGTTGTAAATGATTCAAGATGGAAAACACCATCCTATTAATTATAACTAAATCAAATCGGATTGTAAAGGTTCTTTTCAATCTCAACTTGACAAGCTACAACATTCAAAGAAGAACCAATGAAATCGATTTGTAAAGTAGACTTCTCTTTAAGCTCTCATAGCAATTCATCATTGGAATCTTGATGGAATCTAACTTGAGATTTAGATTTGATTTGACAGTGGATCATACGAGTTCCATTAACTTCTGCAAATATAGGACCGGGTTTTGATGTATTAGGATTAGCTATATCATTTCATTTGACTATCAACTGACAAATTGATTCAAACTTAACATCAAAAGTAAATTAACTTATGAAGGTTTAGGATCAAATGAAGAACCAAGATCCATATCAAAATTTAATCACAAGAGTGGCATTATACATCTTACAATCAGATGAAATCAAAGTAAATTCCATTCGGACAAGGATTAGGTTCATCAGGTGAAGTGGTGATTGCAGGAGTTGGATTAGGCAACATTTCAGGAAATTTAAAGTTAACCATCAATGAAAATTTGCTTATGCATTAATGGTGGAAAGATATCCAGATAAAAGGATCTGTAGCATCTAATTCAAAAGAATCATCACCAGAAGATTTAAATGTAATCTTGATCCCATCAGCCAAAGTTTTACCTGAATTTACAATTGATGGTAAGAAACTTTCCATTGGTTCTATGACATTGATATGATTGATTTTGACCTCCTTTCTCATACTTTGTACAAATGGGTTTCTTTGGCTAGACAGGTGTTACACCAAACAACTTTCATCAACTCTTCTCAGCAACGGTCAATATGCTTTCAAGACCATGGGAAACTCAAATCCAAAATATGAAATTTACAAAATTAGGATCCATAAGCTGTTACTCAGTTACCTTTCTTAATTTAACCCAGTTGAACTGTCATAGTTCACCTCAGAACAATAGACGTGAATGGATGTCTCTCTGAAATAACAAGCACAAAAGTAGATGATGCAATGACTTCACATCATTTTCTTCATCACAGTTGTGCTTTTCATTCTGAAACTGTAAGCTGAGACAATTTGTCAACACCATTCATACAAATAAGAAGTGATTGCAGATGAGGTGTTGAGCTGTATGCGGACCCATTTAATTCCTCCAGCAGATGCCATCATTGCCTTGAAAGTGAGTAATTTCAAAACTTAAGCTGATTATTATTCAAACCCCATCAGCCTATTGAGAAAGCAAATGGGAAGTAATTTGGCAATGGAGACTTTTGGAAGTCTTGATTGAAAACCAAAATGATATAGAACATACACAGGAAGTAGCTTTAGGGTTGAGAGGGACTATTGATACTACTGTACCTATACAAACTTTACCCTGATCAAAGTAGATTCATTTTCTTCTTATCCAACTTCTTATTCCATTTCTAGAAAAAAATAAAGCTGAACATACAAGGCTGATCCATGGTGGGACTTGCATATTTTCTGAATCATAGATCCAATACATGTGGCTTAGGAACCTATTCAATAACCAGGTACCTAAGTGCATCCAGTATTTCCTCTCACATTGGTGACACATAAACCTTGGTATTATGTTAAAAAAGTGTTGAGTGTGTATATCTGTCATTCACAATCATTGATAGGTGGGTTGTTGATATACATTGGTAAGTAAGGTTTTAATAAAGTCAATCATAAAACTCCATCTTTGCTGATTCATATGAATTCTGTCAAAGTGATTTCTTGAAGAGTCATCACAAGATCAATCATGAAGGGTATTGTATTCCCTAGAAGGCATCCAACATATGCCATCCACATACAGTCAAACCTGCGCAATTGTATAATTTGGGGGGAACATCTGGCCTATGCAATTTCACGGGTTATGCAAAGTGAGGTAAAATACAGGATAGGTTACAATGCATAAAGTTATTCATATATGCGGAAATAGGCCAAAATACGTAACATTATGCATTTTCACAAGTTTTGAGTTAGGCTTTGAGACTTAGGTCTCAAGATTTATGCATAATTATGTACTTTTTATCCTGTATTTGGAGTAAAAGCTATGCAATTGGGCTTCCAAGACCTGTTTTTTGGATTTTGCCTTATGCATTATCATTTTTGACAAAATTATGGAATAAATCCAACTTTTAGCCCACACCAAGTCGGGGGAAGTCCTGGCCTATGCAAAAAGGCTGATCATGCAGTTGCACAGGTATGCAATTGCACGGGTTTGACTGCAATGTGATATTTTGGAAGCGGCGCCCGCCGCTGATATGCTAGTAACACTAATACCACTTCAACAATAGCAAATCATTCGATCTTGAAATTTGCACCTCCTACTCCAAATACATCAGAACCCGAATCAAATGAATGGTCAATATACATTTATCTTATCAGTAGTTACACTTTCACAACAATATCAAATTCAACCAATATCAAATTTGACTAACGCTTGTTTCCCTTTATTTACAGGGTTTTTTGCTTTATCGTTCCACTGATAAGGTGTTGGGGATTTGTCCTTCCAAAACCGCCGACATCTCTTTTTTTATCCGTCGGTTTGAAAACCGTCGTTTTTCATAAATGACTTGTTTCTCTGATAGTCATGTTGTTGAAATGAATCATCCCTCTTAAATTTGTTTCGTTGCAAGGGTTTTAAAAAAATATTTGAAGAATTCTCGTTTTCATCTTCTCCTATATCGCCATCTACTGAATCATGGTTCACCCCTTGAGGATAATAGACCTTATCCTAAAATCATCACATCTTCATCTTTATCTCATCTACTTCCAGATTCAAGACATTCAACTAACCTAGAAGTCAATCATCTCTACAATCGAAGTTCATCATGGTGAGTTATTGATTCTTACAATCTTTTTTATAACTTTGACTGACCTTGAGTTCGCCCTTTGCATACCCAACAACAAACTCCAGATGTTCATGATTCAAACCAAGGAAGGCATTTGTCAAATAGCTATGATCAACCTTTTTTGATACATTCAAATCAAACCAATCCACAATCCTATTCATCATTATAAACATTTTAAATCTAAATCATCATCAAAGCTTAACACCAAACCTGGACATAAACTCAACCTATAATTGATCAAATCCTACAACCCTCAGACGATTACTTCCACCCAAATATACATCATCTTCTGGTACAATAACATGTTCTTTCTCTTTTTCCGAAGCCACTCCAGAGAACTCTTGTCCGCAGCCTATCTTGTTACCAGCACCATCCATCATCATAACAATGGCAGACAATGAATTCCAAACTTCAGATAAAACAACACCAAGAGCTTGTAAGATGTCAAATCCAATTTATACACCTTGTCAAGAATCACATTGTACTACATAGCTAGATTGGTCAAGGTCATCCTTGAGTACAATCATCATAGAGGAGATTAGGTTTATCTAATATGATCAAATCAGCCTCCTTAAGTCCCAAATCGACACAACCAAGATCACCACAAGTTTATCAACAAGCAAATAGAGAAGAAAGATATTTTAATGGTGATAGTAGCGGAGAGGAGCAACAAAAGATGAACTTGAACAGATTCACCATCAACTAATGATTGAATGTATTTAAGAGAACAACTTTCTTCTTCTGAAACTGTGAATCATGGTTTAACTTTGAGTCATGATCAAGGACCTGAAGCAGTAGCTAAAAGAAAATTGTGTAGGTCTAGATGATCAATAGATGGAGTGACATCAAATGCAATCTTACGTACTAATGCTACTACAATTCCAAGACCTGAAATACCTAATTCAAGTAATAGTAATGTATCACTGCTTCATCATCAGCTGATCAAAGTTCTTCTACAACCTCATTGAATAAGAACATGCTTTTAACACAACCAAATCATCATCATTCAGGTTCATTAACTAATAAAGTCAAACATTAACTTGAAGATTATGTACATAGAAGGAACTACTTGATGAGGTTTACATGCACTTACAGCTGCAAATGACAATGTATGTACCAGTCAAGCTTCTGGACCTATATTTTCCAAGCTTTTACCCACTTGAAAGGCTAAATCTATTGGAGAGACTAACTGCTTGCTGGTGTTTCAATAAATCAACATGGAATTTGACAACTTTTATACCAGGCAAACAGTCCCAGAAATTTTGTGAGTTGACACCGCAGAGTCATTGAGTCCAAGAGCTGAAGTCAAGTCAAAATTCAAAACTAATGGTCCTATATTGCTGTTTGGTATCTTACAGCGTTCAGTAACCAAAACATACAACATACATGAACTAGGACTCTCAAAAATGTTACGAAAATCTAAAACAATCTTTATTCCTCTACAAAATCCCTCTGATGATACATGAATAATTTCATTTAATTGCTTCAATTTGATTTGACATACATTGAAACAACATCAACAAAACTCTGATGCATACTTTGATTGATGTCCAATCAAAATTAACTACTGTCAAAACAAACCAAATTCAAACCTCAATCCCTCAATCAAAATCATGGTCTTATCATCACCATCATCATCATCATATAATTCATCACTTTCTCATCAAGCTATCATATTATCAAATTGAAGATCCTTCTCCTGACTTCTCAGTTTGCGACAGCTCAAGTTGACTTGAATTAAGAACACCCATGATAATCAATTGTCATTAGTTATCAAATCTCATTGCTTGCTTCTACTGCTCCACAACAGAAGTTCAAATATTCCTTGATCAAAAATCCTAATTGTATCTGAAAAGCTTTTTCATTATTGAATGAAGAGAAAGGTGTTGCATGATATAGATTTCATCAACTTGACAAAATTTCATCAGGTCATTTTGCTTACTTATTATAAGATTTTACTCAGGTCAAAATATCTGATTTGCATTTGATTGGGTTTTGTGTGAGTATCTCAGGCAATCACAACCTTCTGAGGGAAATTTTCCTTGCAACAAAATCATGAAGCATTTTCAAATTTAGGACACATCTCCAAACTATTATGATTAAAAATTAAAACCATTACTGACTTCTACTTGTAGCCAACCAAAAGAGGATGGGAACAATCATCTTTCGGAATTAGAAGAAGAATGAGTATTCAGCATGGCCTGCTGCTGATCTGCTTGCAGCATAGACTTCTTGCTGGCCATCTTAAAACAAATTATTTCAAGACATGAAATTTGAAGTCAATTTTTTTGAAGTCCAGCTTAAGCAGCATACTGCCTTATATGAAAAGTGTGATCAGACCTCTTAAGCCCGCAACTTGACACTGGTTACACATGTCATAATGATGGCGGCGTCAGCCGCTAAAGCGGCACCCGCCGCAATTTGGCTAGTCTTATTTATCTACATGCTCGCCCAGGTGACCGATTCGGGATCAAACAATATCACGATGGCAAAGGAAATGCACTCACAGTTTCTGAAGCAGGAGGTGCAGCGATCTCAAGCCAACCTCAACACAGCAGCTGATCCAACCTCACCCAGTCCCAATCCAGCCGCCAAGCTCCCATCTTACACATGGAACCCAGATACCGACTACGCGAGGTGTTTCCTTCACAAGGTTTCCTCAACTGTCAAGGGTGGCCTTCAGGAGCTAGGGCGTACGACTCCATCACGAGCTCAGCAACGTGAATCTTTACTCGGTGTATTTCCAATCTCTGGAACGTTACCAGTCATTGCCGAAGAAGAGGACAGCAAATCAACAGAAGTTTTTGTCATAGACCCAGAAGATGAAGAAAATGATTTACCTTTACCTGAGGAGGAGGAGACCGATCATGACTCCGAAGGTGAAGATTTGGATCTCAATGCTCCAGATTACGACGAGGATCATGAAGCACGACTCGATGAGGAGGATCCCGAGGTTTCCGAAACTAGTACGACCAAAGTGTTCCAGAATAGTGCATCACGGAAGCACGCAAATCGTCTCAATGATTTGATCTCTAAGGTACATATGTCTTTTTCAGTTAATGTTGTTCTCAAAGTTTGACATGTCCTCTCAACTTAATCAGGCCAATTTTATATCCCGCCGGGTGGCTTGTTCTGCCGCTTGGAGGCGACATTTTGCAAGAGTTGCAAAGAGCATGAACCTGAAGCTATTACCTTTAATACCGGGGTACAATCAAACTCGTTGGAATTCAGAGTTTGACTCTCTCAATCGGTTGGTTCAAGCACGAAAGGTGAGTGATCGAATACGATACCTTTTGTCACACTGTCTGTGATCTCATTTGCTACTTCTCATATCTATGTTTAGGTTATCGACAAGCTTCTTGCTGAGGACCTTGAGCGTGTCAGGTCTAAGAAAAGACGTACGAAAACGACTAAAAAGCCTCGTGGATACTTCCACGAGATCTTTTTTGCTCCAGACGACTGGAATTCTCTCAAAGAACTGACCAATGAACTGTCTGTAAGTGTTCCTATTGAAGTCGATTGAATGGGTCAAGAGCTAACATTTTGAACAGCCCTTCTTGGATCTAACCAAGAGAATGGAGGGCGATGGACCGACTGGATCGATGGTCATCCCCGAATTCTACGCTCTCAAGATGCATCTCGCCGCTCGTGCCAGCGAACTTTTATTGGGTGATGCGCTTCTACCCATGATTGCTTCGATGCAGGCTCGTGTGGACAAGTACCTAGACGAAGCATTAAGATGCGACACAACGGTTATGGCTAGTCTCCTGAACCCTTTCTTTCGACTTCAATTTTATGAACAAGCCTTTGGTTCACAACACAAACACACTATCCGAGCCCGAAATCTCTTTCAAACCAAATTCAACGAGCAAAAGGCAGAGCTTGGCTCATCAATCATTAATCCTACAGTTCCGCCACCTACTGCTCCACCAACAAGATCTGTAGCCGCCAATGTCTTTCAGTTATTCAAAGCTCAAGAGCCCTCAGTGCAGCCTGATGAAGTTGCCGCCTATCTTAAGGGAGCACATCCGATGGAATCACTGACGATGCACGAGAACATAAGGCTATTCTACCCTGGTGGAGGGTACGTGCTTCCTGTAGTTTACATTATACTACTATTGTTTACCTAATTGTTGTATTTGCAGGTCAATAGTGGTGCATTTCCAGTGCTTGCATCGCTTGCAAGTGACTTTTTGAGTCTCCCAGCAAGCTCAGCCATAGTCGAACGATCCTTTTCAGCGGCAGCCGATATTTGTTCATCTGATCGGGTCCGTCTGGTTCCACGCACAATCAAGTTCTGTGTTGGTTCACGTCTTTGGATACGACAGGGAGTTCCTCTGGCACATAAATATACCGAGGTAAACGAAGCCATTCTGGCATTTGGTGGCAAAAAGGAGAAGTAAAAAGGCGAATATAAAATATCAATACGAAAAGCTGTATCTCTAAATATGATATTAAAATAATTAAAGTGTTTTTTCTCGACTTGCAATCAAGCTGAGCCTGCGATGCTTTACGCGCATCGCATCACATCACATCAAGATTTTGCGATGCCGATGCGATGCACCTCTGAGCCCCTCAAAAAACTCGATGCGATGTGTGCAACAGCCCCGTTGCACACATCGCATCGCATCGGCCCAACGTTGCATTCAAGGCATCAAATTACTCAAACACTCAAGAGAACATCTAATAATTTACACAGACGGATCACAAATACCCACCAAGAACACTGCAGCTGCTACGTGGTGCCAAAACACAAACATATCAATAGCTCAACACTTAGGAAAAGCGTGGCTACACGCCATATACCAAGCGGAGTACAAGGGAGTCCATCTAGGACTCACAATGGCACTCAGAACGGCTACAATCCACACCAGACGAATCTCGGTCATCCTCGACAACCAATTGGTCATCAAGGACCTAGGCAACTGCCCACCTTCAATCACATCACTTTCCGACAGGAAAGAAACTTCTAAGATCCTCAATTACTTGGCAGCAACCTTTAGCAACGCAAGAGTCGTGATTTGGTGGTGCCCAGGCCACGAGGGAATCCCAGGTAATGAAGTGGTAGACAAAATAGCTAACGGTCTAGCAAAGAAAGATCTGCCAAGTACCTTCACATCTACTCCCACGTTAGCAGGCTTTGTCACAGCAATCAAAGCCTGGACAAAACTTGACAAGAACAACTACAGCAATGCGGACATCGCCAGACTTGGACACAAACCGCTTCCAGCCAAACACCTCAAAGCTCTCAGCCACTTGAGTAAACACAAATGCGCAGCCATCATTCAGCTCAGATCAAACCATATTCATCTCAACTCATACTTATTCAAGCATCAACAGCGTTTTGAGCCTCTTTGTGAGTGTCAACAAGGTGTGGAGTTAATTGAACACTTTCTATTTGTATGCCACAGATACAAAAAACAATGTCAAAAACTCACAGCAGCTATCCAAGAGCTACAACTCAACAAGTCAACTGACATCCTCAAGATACCAAAAGCTTATGAATCCATATCAAAATATTGCAACTCTACCTGGCGACTCAATAGTCAATGGGTATGGGCAAAAATCAGTGACGAGAGAACTCCTGTCGACCTCCCTGTCCCCTCTTTATAAAAAAACCACATCCTTTAGCCAACCCTGTGCCAGCAACGCAGCGCGGCGCAACAAAGGCATTTCCGGCTGCGTTTCTCCGCAACACGCAGCATACATGCCGCAACCTGTGTTACGTTGCGCCTAGCACCGCAACACAGGATAGGTAAGCCAAGTTGCGCGCCGGCTCACCCGTCGCGCAACGCAACACACGCAACAGCGCCAAAAACCCATAAAAACCAACGCTTTTGTGGACCGCAACACAAAGAGTGATGTTGTGGTTGGAAAAAATTTCTGATCCCAAGCAACGCTCGGACCTCAACATAATCTACTGTAGCGTGGTGGAAGTTCCATAACGCTACGGTAGACCGTTGTAAGTGCCTACCGCGCCGTACCGTTAAGTGCAGACCACCGTATTCAGAAGTCCACTTTGGTACGGTCTCATCGTAACGCGCCGTACCGCAACTGCGATTTTTGGCTCAAATAACGGTCATAACGGTGGAATTTTTTAAAAAAATGTACAAGAAGTTAAAATTTCACATATAGTTATAATGGAATTTAAACAAGAGACAAGAAATAGATAAACGAGAGACAAGAAGTAGATGAACAAGAGTAGAGAGAAAAAGACGCGATAGAGAGACAAGCAAAAAAAATTTGTTAAAGTTGTTCTTAACAATTGTAAACAGAAAATGACAAACAAAAATATGAAACGATCAATTACTTCTTGACCTTCTCCTTCAGCTGAGCCTCGTGTTCTTTAAGGTACTTAACCGCATCTTGAAACTTATCCGTGGGTACGACACCGGACTTAATCCACTCTCTACATCCCACCTTCCAAGTGATAGTGTTTGGAAGGATGGAACCTTGACCCGGTGCAGCGACATCTGCCGCCGAGGAGAAGGAGCGCTCAACGCAACAAGTAGTTGCCGAAATGGACAGGTAGTCCCGTGCCATCGAAGCCAGCACAGGAAAGGACTTCTTGTGTTTCTGAGGCAGTTACATAGTAAGTTTAGCTTATCACTCTCAGACTCAAGTGTCCAATCAAAGAAAGAGACTTACTCTCCACCAGTCCAAAGGTTTTTCATCAGGCAAAATGCCAAACTTCCCTGACAAATAATCCACCAGCTCATGTTCATATTGAGATGTTGGTGCAATATGATCAGACCCAGCGGCAAACATGTCAAATTCATCAATCACAGTAGGGACTGTTGTTTTGATAATTATCGTATCTTCGGCCACTTTGGCTTTCCAGTCACACACCCAATCTCCAAAAACCTCATGCACAGCGTCCTTTGCCGAATCGACCGCATTTGGATAAAAGTCCTGGATGAACTTCAATTGTCTGCGAGGGTTAAGAATTGTGGCGATGAGGATAATTTCGGTGTCTAAAGCCTCGTCCTGGTATTTCTTTAGCCAGGAGAGCATCTCTTCAAGTGCTTGGTTGATACTAGGGAACGTGGAGGCCTCCTTGAATGTTTCAAGTTTCTTCCCGATGCGGAGGAAAGAGAAAGGTCGGACTTACCACCAGATGATTAGCTGACCATGACCTGCGTAAACAATGCAGGGAAGCGATGATCGAATCAGGACTTTTAGGTCCCTTGCGTTGAAATCGGGGGCCATGGAGTACGTTGTAGAACTCCTCGACGCATGGGCTTGAGGGTTTGGCTCCGCTTGGGGAAAACCCCGTAGTCAACCGTAATGACTACGGGTTTCGGTACGGTCACCGCTGTGAATTAACAGTGTGATTGTTATGTGTACCGTCACCACTTTTCCCTACAGGTGGTTACGGTACGGTGGTACCGTACTGTGCAACGGGCCAACACGTTACGGTCTAGACCGTGCCGTAACGTGCCGTTTCCCGTTTTCACCACGCTGAGGTCCGAGCGTTGTCCCAAGGGCTTTGTTGCGTGTCGGGGTGGCCCGCAACACTTATATAAAAGTTGTGCGACATTGCGGCGTGTAAATTCCGCAACGCACCAGCAGCGCAGCGCGCAACAGCTGCGTTGCTGGCCCAGGGTTGCTTTAGCACCACCATATGTACCAAACAAAACACTTGTAATACTTTAAACAGCCAGCACATGACCTTTTCCCCACAGGGGTTTTTACTGGGGTGGAGCACAAGTAGTTTTAGTGCCTGATAGCCTTTAGCTCAGGAGGCACTTAAAGCAATGCTTAAAAACAAAAAAAAACATATTTGGCCTATTTTGGCTTGCACAGAGGGAATTCCCTTAGCTACGTAAAAATTTAGGGCATTGGCTGTGGATGATTTTGCCCTAAATTTCCGTACAACATGGTTTACACCACACGGCTGTGGATGCTCTCAGCACCACTGATTACAACTCTTTAGGATCAAGTCAGCTTTTAGTGAGAGTTTCAACAGATGGCTTCCCACCCATTTTGGAGCAGTAGAATGTGTTGAGTCATAGGTTTGTAAAACAGATGTAACAGTGACATTTACGGGATACAAAGTAGAAGCCGGGCACGTGCCCGGCTTCGTGCCCAGTTTTTTTTGGCGGTAAATTCAAATTCTGGGCCGGTACTTTTGCCCAGAAAATCAAAATTTACTGCCAAAATAATTCCGGGCACGTGCCCGGATTCTACTTTGTATCCCGCAATTGACAAGCTCACTTATCCTGTCACCACACAATAATCTCCATCATAGGCAATTTCACGACATAATTATATAAGGGATAAAGGCAGCTGGCGCATTTCCCACTGATCATGAAAGCAGATCTTGCCAAAGATCAAGGCAGATCAATAACTCTTTTGAATTGAAATTTTGATACTCTGAGAAATATATGGTAGTGAATGAGTTAAAAGAAACAAAAAGACAAACAATTAAAGAGAAAGTCTTGATGTTCAGATTTAACGTTGATTACCACCAGTATGAGTGGTCATATCACCCCAACCCCATTTCAATCTTGGTTTCTCTCCTGGATGTTCATGAAGAACGGAGAGTTTAGGCTTTGGAGCATCTGGTTCACCGTGATAATCAATGACGTATGCTACAAATCAAAAGAAAACAACGTGAGTCGAAAGGGTTTTCGATCATTGTAGAGGAAGAGGAAAACATACCACAGCCACATTCACCACACCGACGAGGTCTAGAGTCTGAGACTTTCATGTAAATTGTATCATGAGAGTCAACTGGGAATCCAGTACAACCTACAATTCTAGTTCTTTCCTGAATACAAATACATTTGAGTAAATATTTCAATAAGTCGTTCAAGAAGATAAAACCAGAATGAAACTTATGAACGTGACTCACAAGTGAAAACACTTTGACTGGGTCAGCAAGTGTACCCATGTGAGGTACAGCTAGAGGTTTGTTGTCAAAGGGTTCAAGACCTTCCATTCGAGCTAAGATCTCATAACGTTCGATACCAGTGGCCTGTTCGAGATCGGTAGGCACGGTACCAGGCTTGGCACCAACACCTTGGATGATCGGAGGGCGTGCGTCATGGTGATCATCTAGTTTTTTTCGGGAGAGAGCGGATAAGAGAGTCAGCCACATAGGTATCGATGGTGTCAAGGCCTAGCAGGCTAACCGTGATGATCGGCTCCGGATTGGATAGATGAAGAAGTAAAGAGTCTAGAACGAGCCCCGAGTTGAGTAGGTTTAGAAGAAGTGATTGATTTGGTTAAGAGTCGAGTAGATTGTCTTGAGATGAGTTTTGAGAATGACATCTTGAGAAGTTTGACGAGTTGATTGTTTGATGATGAGATTGAGTGGTTATTGCTAACTGGTAATCGAAGCTTGAGCGATTAATGCACTACCGACACCTGTCACTCGATTGAAATCTAGAAACCGCTCATGCAAAAGTTAAAACACGGCTGGACGAGGAGGATCGGATAATGCAGGGGTCAAAACCTCGAGCTGAAACCTAACCCTTCTAGCCGTCAATTTTGTACCTTCGCATACAACGCTATTGTCGTCACCGTATCGCTGGAGCCTTGAAAAGTTCGCTGGATATATGCAAAGAGCAAATTAAGAGTTAATTATGGATGACATCATATGAAAAGGAAAGATGTCAATATAATTCATAGCGAGATATATACGAGTGATAGAATTGTGGCAGTTCATAAAGAGCTGAGCAAATTGCAGTAAGTGGAATGAAGATATGTATGAAGTTCCTTTGGCATTCTTCATTGGTTGGGTTTTATGGCCCCAGTGGGAGTTGTTCAGATATCTGTTTTACTTCGCATTCCCAGCTGCGCACGTCGACAGATTTCAGGGGTTCTGAAGGCAGCATGTATAGGACGAGAAGTATGATGCGGTTATTTCTGCCTCGTCGAGTCTCCTATCAGATTCTGGTAAATCATGACCAGATGCATTGGTCTTGAGAGATCTTTTAAAAGTTATAGACAAAGCCAGAGTTTCTAGATGCTCTCAACTTCATTGAGCTCGGAGATGAATTGAGAGACACTATGATAGAAGTCTTATTCCCACATGAGATTTGCACGACAGTCTGAAAAATCCAACTAGGACTCAGCAAGTCTGTTATTGTAGATGTCTTGCATGTTCCAGCAAATGACAAAATAGAGATACACGTTTGAGAGCACAAGTGGTAAAGGATGAGTGCTGGCCAATTTCAGCCACCCAAACATGCTGGCTTTGACATTACAAAAAAATACAACGCTTCTAAACTTAGTAAAAACTCTTCAGTTGTATCAACTGCAATGGAAGTGATCTTCAAAAATGTCTGAGTCTCAAGAATTGATTGAACATTAACTAATCTTACATAAACTGTACAAACACAAACATCCAACTGATAATAAAAAATAAGAAAAACTTTGAAGAAACAATGTATGAAGAATGAAAAATATCACACCGGACCCAAAGATTGGCTCAATGGAAGGAGACCCGATTACCAAAACTTCCGCTTCCTGTCCTAGGAAACTTCGGTAGGCAGCGGGGGGAGCGGGCAGTTAGGCGGCGGGCCTGGTGGCCTCAATTTGCTGAGCCTTGAGACCTCTTCAATCTCAAATGGATCGGATCCATACCACTCAATCCATTTTGAGGTCGAGGCTCCTTGTGCCATCTTCGCCTCTTTGTCCCCAGACCCAAAGTCCACGGCTTGTCCAGATCTCTTGAAAGTCCTTGACTTTCTTGTCAGCCTACACATCGGGACCAAAGATGTGTGGGCTTCCGTGACAGAGTTCAATGTACTTCCAGACCATTGAACTTTGTGCTGCTGATCCGCAATGACCGTCCGAGTCTATCGATTCAATGGTGTTGATGAAATCATCGAAGATCAGATAAAACCCGTAAGGAATAAGTTTTGGAACTCGCTCACCTTGATCTGGGTAGTGTCAGGCACCTCATGACCTTGCACCTTGTTATCGGTGTGTTTGAATGCCTAGTTTTGTAAAGAACTTTGTTAGAGACGGAAGCGAGCCTAATCAAACACACAGATTAACATACCTTGAGTGTGATCGAGGAATTGGCACGTTTCCTTGTGCACCATGCCAGTGCATCACTTGCCAGTGTTAATGCCTAAGTTAAGGTAAAAAAGCCAAAGATTAAAAAATAGGACAAGACTTGATGATGATCTAAAAAGATGTTTTCTCACTTTCTTAACACTCGTGTGATCCTTGTGATCCTCATCGTCAGACTCAAAGCATGAGATCTCCGGTTTGGTACGCATCCGAGTAGGTAGGTGGTACCGAACTGGAGTTGAGTATGCCAGAGTGAACTCTGATGAGAGCTCCACCTATGTTGCAATAAAAATTAAGGTTAATGAACATATCAATGATTGGATCGTACAATAATCAAGATGTAAACATACCAAGCGTCGAGAGGATCCGTTCACCTTGCCTGCTCTTGTTGATACCTGATAAGAAATAGAGCAAAACACAATGTAAGAAGATACTCTCATGGGGAAGAATATGGAAACAGCTTACAGGAGAAGAAAACGGAGATTGTAGGCCAGCCAAATTATTCACCGCTTTGGTGACAGACAAACTAGGCTCATCCAAGCAATATTCACTATGATTCTGCTGATGTTAGATTAAATCACTTCGAGTAAGTATCTCAGAAATCAGTCATTGATGTAGTCTGAAGAATTACCTTTCTTGAGGAAGTGTCTTGGCCACGTGGAGCCTATAAATAAAACATGAACAAACATTAAATATATGAAGAAGAAGAAGAGATAATCGACTAGAGATATTCACTGGAGAAGTAAATGGCGATGAGAGGCCAAACGTGTGACTCAAAACCTTGTCGGTGGTGGAAGATGAAGACATGGTGTTTGAGTTGGTCTGGAGGTATTTATCAAGAAATGTTATGGTATCTGTGTAGCGATTTAGATAGAGGTGGTACGCAAAGAATACAATAATCTAAATCAAATCTACTAAGCCAAACTTAAAGATAAAGAAGTGTGCGGTTCAAGAGAAAAGGTGATATCAAGAAAAGGTTGAATCGGTGGTGTTTGTGTGTAAGATTTGGAAGATGAGTTGGAGAAGAAGAAAGTTCACAAAAGGCAGCATTTTATAGGTAACTAGCGCCTGGAAATTCGGAGGTCAAAAGCTTAGCATCATTGGCATAAGAAATTCAAAATGAAGTTTGATCAATCTTCTACACCATCCTTGAAGTCTTGCTGGATAAATCCTGTTAACTCATCATTAATGGTCGGCGAGGTTCCTTGATGTGAAGCTTTGGACTGAGCTAATGGAGGTGTGATCAAATGCTTCTCCGGGATCGTGGAAGTTATCCTCAACAGGACCCAAATTATTTAAAGAATTCGGAAAAGATTTGTTAAATGACTGGGATATCATTCCTGCCCCTGAAAAGTGAGACATCCAGCCTTCCCGGCGAGGTGTTGAGACCTTATTAAAGGACAGTGCGGTGTCATTAGACCAACGTTCATGTATGTGCGCCCGATTTGCTTGTTTTTGCAAGATGCCATGACACTTGACCAATGAGTGCATTGTGAAGCAGAACATGTTTGACCACGAGGAATGTGGTGACATTAGATTTCCTATCACGAGGTGTCATTGAAGTCGCGCTCACGGGCCTCAGAAATTTGCCTGAATTTTATCTTGTGTTGTTCAATGAGTTGATGTGTTCATAGCATAGATATTCTTCATGGAAAACAAGCATTGGTATTTCTCTTGGAGGATTCATCATTGGCTCACATACACCACCAGTGACACTGATACCAGGGTATCTCTGGATTTCTGACAGTAGTGAGAATAGCCTCATGATCAAAGCTGTTATCTTTGCCGTATCACAGTTAGTAACTACATGGTAGTGTGTTTATGTCAAAGATGTTTTGTTTTCTCTTCAAGGAGTTAAAGGAGAAGGGCCACATTCTTCAATTGTCTCAAAATTGATTGCGCTTCAAGTCTTCTTTGCATACGAGAGACTCCCGTACGTGAAATTGTGGGCCCAAAATAATTTTCAGTGAATGTTACAGACAACTTTGTGTGCGGTAGCAAGTCTTCAAGTGCCATGACACGCTTATGAATTCAAGCATATGACGGCATATGCATGAGCAATCAATTTGGGATTGCCACAGTACTTTTGCCTCTTGTACCACCCAGTACGTGGTCAAGCCCTAATTTACCACCTTTTCAGCACCAGTCTAGGAAGCTGACTCAGGTCAATACTTGTGCCCAAAATGCATTTTAACCGCCAGCTATGCATGTGGTGAAGTTAAAAAAAGAAAGTTCAACATTTGGGAGAGCGGGTGACGAAAAAACACAACATGACGCGATATAAAGACACGTGGAAAACTGCATTACTGACCACCCGGCACTTTGAATGTGTCTGAGCTCAGTTCAGCTTAACCCGACACCCCGCAACGACGCCGGCGAGCTCATCACATTTGTCAAGCAACTCGGTTTGGCTCGGCGGTTCTATTGGGACGTTTGATGCCTCCCCCATGTGTCACATCAGTTGCAGGGTTTGTTGAGATTATTTTCAATACCCAATTGTTAGCATGATTTCCGAATGGAAAAACTAAATTCCTATCATCGAGGATATCTCCTGATATCCACAATAGCTTGCTCACTTACATGATTGCTCGCAAATTCAAGAAGAGGGCATTTGTTTCATCTTTTTCAGAAACTAGTCTACATTTGCTGATCTATGGATTGGTCGACTCATGTAGCAATTCTGAAGAAGCGGATGTCCAAAAGCTCTACCATTGGCCTTCTTTCAACAAGAGTAATTATGTGTTTGTGTATACAAAAAGCTTAGAAGAATCAGCAATATGACGTGCGATGAAAACATCGACCTACCTGGGTTCAACCCCAAGAAAATATAGCTGATGTCTAATGAATAGACGCGTTTTTGTTCATCTCTTTTGGTACACGATATGATGAGCAAGAAATCGTCATCCATGACCAATCATACGGGGCCTAGGTAACGAAGAGTAACTGTTGGCTGGAAGGAAATTACTACATGGATTTATCCCTTTCAGCCTTGGCAATCAAGTATGACGGGATCAATCAGACTCACTCGAAAAAGGGGATACACGCTATGTCATGAACCCCTTTTAAACAGTATGAAGGGACAATGAAGAGTTGTGATGACGAGACTGATGATCACATTAACTGCGTCATTGAAGTTCTTCGCTAGCCGTCTCAAGCTCATAGTAATGCTGACTCATCGGTGAGCTCAAAAAGAAACAAAGATCAGCTCACGAGTCAAGATTTGACATACAATCTTGTAATTCTTTGGAGCATCTTTCCAGATACTTGCAGGCAAGAATATGCCTCTGAGCTTCAGCTTTGAGACTCGAGTTGCTCGATGTCACGCATCGCGAGCGCGCTCGCAGTCACTCCGGTGAACATACGGCTGGATGTAACAGATCGTGACTCCTGACACAAAGTCTCACAGCCCCGAAATATGATGGCTATTACGTCATCTCTCTTTGGCAGAAAGTCATCCCTTCATTTGATCTTGACCCTTGGCTTGGGTATTGGACCCCTTTGAATAGGATAGCACAGCCACTACGCACAGTTTCGTCACAGGACCATAGATTCTGAAAGAGAAGAGATCCAAAACAAGATGACCAATTCATTAATCACTTGAAACTCAGCTTCGATTTTAAGCTTCAACTTACAATTTCACTTGAGTCAGAGTAGTCAAATACAAAACCTAACAATCAAGTTTAATCCACTCAGACTTAACTTCCAATATATAAAGACCGCCCCCTTGCTTTATTTCTAATTCCTTTCTCTCCAACATCCCACTGTAAATTTGATTCACAGAACTCAATTCATCCAACATCCATCCTAAAACACATCAATCACCAATCAAACCAATCTCAATCACACATCCACCCATCATGCCATTCACAGCCGTAAGTCTCCATCTTTGATATAATAATAGTTCTATCGTCACCATATCTCATATCGTTTAATCATGCTACTCTATACAGTCCGATATCTGCAAGATCCTCTTGGCCATCGTCCTTCCACCTCTTGGTGTTTTCCTTGAACGTGGATGCGGTGCTGATTTCTGTTGAGTTTCTGATCGATCTATTCTGAAAATCACTTCATCGTACTAACACTTGGATTTCATTCACCAGGGATCAACATCCTTCTTACCATCCTTGGTTACATTCCTGGTATCATCCACGCCCTTTACATCATTCTCAAGTATTGATCGCCTTGCACACTCGATTCATTTGATCCTAAGACATGTAAAACTAAAGCTCAATGATTTACGAACCAAGTCTTTTTTGTTTTCTTTTTGAACGATCACCTTTGAATTGAATGATTTCTTATTCTCTTCTTCTTCTCTACCTATCTCTTTCTCCTCGTCTCGTCTCATTCGATTCATGACTGATGACTTGTCGAGACTGTTTTGCTATATACTTGCACCTTTTCACTTGCTGTTGTTATCTTAACTCATCTGTTCTTGCTCTCTTATGTGTCAATCGAACGCGACCCAGTGAACTCTTGTACCAGATTGCTCCCCAAAGTACCTTGGTCCTTACCTTGACCTGGTTATATGCGCTATCTTTTAAAGTCAATTCAATTGAAACCGCTTGTTGAGACACGAAACCTTTTGTCAATTTGATGCTCACTGTCGAGGCATTTGTTTACCGTACATTTGCGCATTTTGATCGTGATGAGTTTACAGCTAGATGAGCTTGATATCCTGTGATTGATTGGAGTTCGCGTCCTTTCAGCTTCACCTCTTTGATTTCATGGTAGTTTGGACTTCGTTGAATCACTCTCGATGTCGTCATACGTGGTCATTGATGCTTGACCCGCCTGACCAGTGGGTTTTAAGGTTTAAGGCTGTTTAAGGGTTTCAAGATTTAGGTATTCACATCTTCTTGGAACTTCTTTTGTTTTCTACAATAAGACTTGAAGTGATAATCATGCTTAATCATGACGCTTGAAACTTGAAAGAGCTGTTTGCTGACTTTCCACGCCTCAAAGCGCATACATCCTCTGGAGCACGCTCCCAAGGAAGTGCCCGCCATTTGAGGAGTGACTTAGTTAACGTACCTCCATCTGGATCATGTAACGCGCGTATAGCTCCAACAATACAATGGTCTGAAGGTGACCGAGTAGTTGGAGATGAGCAAACAATGTTTTTTTAATTTATTCTCGCTTGTGATCAAGTTTATAAAAAGATTTTTGACTATGAAAATAATGATAATCAAAACCTGAAAGATATAAATACATAGACCTTCAGGGTGACCTCCTGGATATTTGGTCTTCTGTTGATCAAAATGTCTAATAATATCTTGAGGATTGGACCATTGATACAGTCAATTTAAAAAACCTTTTTGCTCGAGTTTTCCGGGCAAAATTGGTCAAGCTTTTGGAACAGTAAACTGACTGGGTATCATATTTGTTGCCATGACATAAACTACTCCGTGAGTGCTTTCTTTCCTTGTGTGTTGACTTCTGAAGTTCAACTCAGTTTTTCTTCAGTTCTGATTAAATTTCTGGATACGCTTAGAAAGGTAAGAACGTTATGAGCAGATCCGATGACGGTAGATGAAGCTTGAAAAACGAAATGAAACGTAAGAGAAAAAGAAAGATTGACAAGATGAAAAGTTAACATGTTGGGCATCAGGGAGACCTGTTCTTCAACGTTCGGAAAGTGAAATCCATTGCTCCAAGGCAACAAATATTTTAGGAAAGAAAGATGGGGTTCGGAATGAGCAGTGGAAAGAGAAACAAAATCATTACGTATCAGCTCACATAATACCAGACCAGCGCAGTAATTATCATCTGATCATGCTCACTTTCTGCTTTCTCAATATTGGATCCAGCTCTACCAGTAGACTTATCCTAACCACATTGGCATAATGGTTTCCTACAATACCCATTTAGTATTCATACAATTTACTAATACTAATAGCTATGTTTGAACTTTCAGGCCCCTCCCACCCCACGCAAAAAATGCATATGTATACATATAGTTCGGATTTTGTTAGTGGCCCAGGAAGTGGGCCATATAACTTTTACTTCCCATTTGTATGGTGAAACCACGGGGTTTTGCTCTCACACATGGCCAAAAAGTCTCACCATCAAGACACTCAGGGGTGTTCCAGATACAAATATCGCTGTTTAGAGTTTCCTCAAATCCTGATTGCTTTGATTCGAGCGCTTTATAGGTGGGCTGTTTAAACTCTTTGGAAAGATAAGACAATTGTAAAAAAACCCCCACGCACTCACTAGTAAAGCAAGATAGGTCTCATGATCAATAGTCCTCTCCCTCTCCAGTATCCATTTTCAACGTCGAAGGATAGAAAATGATTGCATTGATCTATAAATGAAATACTTTCACCCCAGTGATAAGTCTTCTTGCTCCAGGCTGAGTCTATCCTAGTGTGAATTGTCCCCGCCCAATCCACAAAGGGTGTTAAGTAGCCGTCCACCAACACGAGAGTGTAAGTCAAGATAGAAAGGTACACTATTGTAGACAATTTGATTTGTGAGATTCTATGTAATTTTGATCAGAATGAGAATCTAGACATATCCACATAAGCGCCTTGAAAATAACCATGATCAGAAAAGTAACGCGCCCGTTCACCGTAGCCTCTCATTTCCCATTCTAAGTCGTCAACACTACTACATGTAATGATCCCAGCTCGATGTAAGACTCTAATGGCTTCTCTGATCCAAACTCGACATGAGAAAGTATTTTCTGAATCAATATCCTCTAAAGGTACAACATTTATAGGAATTCGATATAATAGTCGATGGATTTGTTCAATTGAACTTCTTCTTAATTGACCAATCACTATAGCAGCCGCAACGTAAGCTGAATCATTTAGATTATAATTGAAATCCGCTTCGAAACGCCAATATGGTGGCCGAACGTGATCTACCATGTGGAAATTTGTCCCCCTTTCAATGCCTGTTGAATTACTAGGAGGGTGAGGAATAAAGATTCCCCAATGATAACGAGGTGGAAAAGAAGCAGGGCGGATATGGATAGTGAGATATATGTTTGGGTATCTGGCTCTCGTCAAGAGAGGCATACTATCCTTTATTCAGAACAGCGGCCAGGGAATGAAGGTAGGAGACTGGGTTGAAGGTTCTATGTTGAGAGATTTGGACCTGCAAATCTTCGGTATATGGTTTGTAGAAGTATTGATTCGATGATCGCGTGTAGAAAAGGTGAGAGCGTAGCGTGACCAGCACTTTGCGTCGTCAAAAAATCGGCTTCCAAGACGTGACGAGTGGTTTGATGCTTCGAATCAATCGAGGAATCTGAACGCCAAAAAGGTGTAAGAGGAATTTCCGAATGCCGATGAGGGGAGGTAAAGAGAAAGCGATGGGTACGGCGAGAATATGTAATTGAAATTACCTTCTGCGGTCCTGCCAGGCCGAAGTTTGAAGGTTATGAAAGGCTGAAGTAGGACAGGGATACGATTATTATGATGTGATATTTTATTTGAGTAGGTGAAAAGTCGAGAAGATGTGAAGGTTATGCTAATCCGTGTAAGTTGCGGTGATTTTATTGAAAAAATTGAAAAGAAAATTGTAAGGATCAATCAGAGCGCCTGGCCGGGTGAATTGCTGAGAGGAGACGATGCCGACCCATTGACTTTGAAGGAGAGATACATATAGTCAAACTCCATCAGACCCAGCAAATCTTCATCACGGAAATGAAACACTCAAACAAACTTCCAAACTAACTTTTTTGTCTCGCAGCTTCATATTTTCTCCATCTCTCTGCATTCAATTGTACGGACCATGATCCCCCAAAAAATTTCTGTATACTATGACCGCATTTTCGACTGATTCATCAACTTGACACAGTCTTCAATTGAAAAAATCGAGCATGTAAAAGGGGATAGGGATGAACTTCATCACTTGGTCTGAGACCCATCGATAGCTCTGGCACGAATTCATTGGCGCAAGAATGAAACGTTTCCCTACCAGGCTACCTGTCACAAATGGTGTAATACTCATTTGCAGTCTTGCTTGAGAGTCTTTAAACTACTAGAGCAGGTTCAATGATAATGTTGGATTTTTTTTTCCGACTCCGAACTCGTCCGCTGCTTTGTCTCATGAATCACATCACGTATCACGGTCCGAAACGTTTTTCACCCTCACGGTTGTTGTAGTTGGTTAGTGTGTCGAACTTCAAATCATGTTTGTGTTACCCCTTCCTTATATGCCATGTCTTTTTTTGTTTTGTTTAAATTCTTAAATGCACCGAGTCTTACTTTTGATAGTTGCAGATATTTTAAATCAAATGATACTAGTTATATTTAGGCTATGATTTTTGTGATCTCTGATCGAGAAGGCAAAAATTTCTCTTCATATCTACGTTGCTAATAGATTGAGTGGTATGGATCCAATCCATTTAAGATTGAAGGCTCAGCAAATCGAGGCCAGGCCTGGCACCACCTGACTGTCCGCTCCCCCCGCTGCCTACTGAAAACTCTTAGTAGAGGAACCAAGTTTTGGCAGTTGGGCCTCCTTCCATCGAGCCAATCCGTGAATCTTGTGTGAAATTTTACCATTCCAATTCGTCCTTCCTATATCATTTCGTGATCAACTTCTCCTTATCATGATTCTCTTTATTCTCAGTATTGATTGTATGATTTATGCATCGTTAGTTTGAATGATTCTCACTTTTGCTACAATTCAACAGATTCCACTAAGTAAAAATGTTGTGATATTTTTTGTAATCATGTGGCTGGAATTGGTCAATGCCTATCTTTCACTAATTTGTGCCCTTTGCACATATTTGCCATTTCTTTTCATCCATTCTTATCCAATCATCTCTATTCTCTTTATTATTTGCTCAAAACTGTACAGCTTTTCAGTGAAAGATGCGGGTTACAGATGTTAAGCTTGTGACTCCTTGCTGTCTGCCGGGTTCTGGTCCCTGCAAGAGTCCGACTCGTGAGCCTTCACGCTCAATCTGGGACTCGAGCTCCAGCCCCGTACCAGCCAGTACCGAGCTCCACTATCAGTGATAATCTCACTTCACCACCAGACCAACTTCTCGATCACGAAACAAGCTCAACGAGTTCATTACTTCTGCTTCACGATCAACACTTAAACCGCCAACATGAGTAAGTCTTCTGTTTCAATTCTACCTATGGTGCGAGCTTCAGAACTTTAATTGTCTTCTACTCTGGACCATCATCAGCTCGACATGGCAAGAACAATACGGCTTCTTCTGTCTTCACCCATGCTGAGCGTCTCATGACAGGAAATGGCTCGAAGAAACAACGGTTCACGGCTCATTCTATGGCTGAATTCGATTCTTGCCGACTCTGTCTTCACACTGCTCGGGATCCAAGGGTCGATGGCGAAGGTCATCTTTTTTGTCACGTAAACAAAGCTCGGGTTATCATTTCAGCCACATTCAACACCGCCTAACCATCTTTCGCATTTGGATCTTCTTTTTAGGAATGCATCTTGGAACACATTCTTAGTCAAAAGAAAGATCTGAAACGCCAGAAACTTATATTGGAACGCATGCATGCTGAAGATGCAGCTCAACGTGAAACTGCTCTACAAGCTGCTCGTCAACGTGTTCTTCATGATTTTGAGCGTGCTCAAGCTGGTATCTCTACTTCTTCAAAACCTGTACCAGTGGAAAAGGACGCGGCGCCACTTCGACCAGAACTCGATCAACTCGCTACACTTACTACTGAAGCAGAATGGGCAGCCCTTCGTCAACTTGAACGTGAAGCTGCCGCTGCGAAACGAGCTAAACTCCCTAATTTTTGGCTTCCTTCACTTACACCATCAGCTGCTCCTACTCGACCTGGTCCAGCACCCACAGGTCAACTCAAACCGCTTTGCCGGGTTAGCAATCGAGATGGTAACAATCGTGCCCATCCGGTTCGACTCACTGATTTAGTAGCAGTACATTTTCTTGCCGAGTCATCAGCCGATACACAACCACAGAGTAGTAGTAGCTCAGGCGCGACGAAACGTAAATGTTGCGCTGGTTGTCGTAAAGGATTTAACAAGAACACTAAGATGGCAGGTAAGCTCTCTCTCCTACCGTACCATCCGACCTAAAAAAACCATTACAAGATAGTTGATGAATCAATTTAATGTTGTCAGTCGCAAAACCTTGTGGACATGTCGTATGCTTGACTTGTGTTACTACGCTCATCAAAGGTACTACACCAAATCGATGCCCTAGTTGCGATAAAGAAGTTGAAGAGACTATTGAACTTGAGCGAGAAGGCACAGGATTTGCAGCTGGTGGTCTAGCTGAAGCTACCAAGTTCGACGTGGCCTTTCAAGGATAGGATTCGGACCACTTGCTTACATAGCATAGGACTAATCATCAGCCAACTACATGGATCTCCGGCATCTTTTCAAAACTTGAGAGGAAAAGTGCGCTATCAACCCTTTCGGCTGTTGCACTGAAGCCTCATGATGTCCCAACTATACAATTGACGGAAAGAGAAAACATGGGTTTACTTGCAGGGTATAGCCATAGGTTAGTGTTCAGCGATGGCATCTTTGGACTCTTCCACACTCAACTGGTGAGATGGTGCTGTATGATCTAAAATCATCAGGAAGATGAAAGTGGTTAACTTTCACTGTAATGGTATCTATTTGAAGGTTAGATCTTGTAATTCGCAATGTACCCCACACACTTTTTGTCTTTGAACCGTAGCTCTTAGAAGTGAGATCATCTACATAAGTTAATTTGCGTGCATTCAATACAATCATCCGAGGAATAACTAAGGCAAGGCCTACTTTGCATATTTGAGTAAAACCAAACATATTGAAAAGTGGAACAGCAATACCTTTATGTGCACCCCAGACGCCCAACATTATACCAAATTTGTGCCCAGCTTTAGGCCCATTTGATACTAATGGGTGATGCAAGCTCTTTGAGAGCTTCTGTGCCTCCGGGTGGATTTTGAAAATCAACACACTGAACCAATGGCCGAAGCCTGGAGGTCCTCAGTCTACAACATCATCTTGGACTCTGCACTTGAGATGTGAGCCTGATGGAGCTGACTGATTTTGATGGGGTGTCACAGGGGTTTCATCGAGGCCTTTACAGCGGGTGAAATCGTACACAAGGGTCCTGACAGGCCTGTGTCAGATGACCGAAGTGATTCATTCAGATTGAAGTCGATAGTTTGGGCTCATGACCGTTGACGCCTTGCAGAACTCAGCAAACTTCGAATCAAGAGTCTTTGAATAAATGGAAAAAGATATCACCGCTGCAAGGGCCGTAGCCGAATTCTTCAAATCCCCCGATGATCTTGTCAAACTCTCTCAAACGCGCAAGAAACTCCAACGCGAACAGGCCAGTATTGATGCGAAACTAAAGGAGGGTGCCAAAGCTCAGGTTCGTAGATCACATTTGAAGGCCACCAGATGGGAAACGTCAACTCATGTTCGATGTGATTTCAGCTTGACGCAACGAGAGATGCATTAGTCCGATTACGAGAAACCAAGAATGAAATTGGAACAATCAAGGAGGACATGATCGCTATTGAGAAAGCTTGTGAAGATCCAAGGGTCTGGGTTGAAGGATTTGGAAGTTGAGTCATATTACCATCGAGGATCCGGTCACTGCAAGCCTATTCACTTACGCGATAAACCTCACAGAGATCGCAGCTGTTTCAAGGATTCATCGAAACTTTGTGGCAACGGCAAAGATGGTGGAGCAGTTGAGAGAAATGAGTCTCAAGATTGAAAGTGTTGAAAAACTGTTGGCTAAGGATCGAGCGACACCCTTGGGTGAGGCGCCAAACCTACTTGCGATTCATTATTGTCTGAGTGAGTTGGAGACCTTTCGGTAGGTATTTGGTGCTATTTCCATCACCTTTGGAGGGTTATATATCTTGTAAGGGGTCAATGAAAGCGATGCTGATCTGCATACAAAATTTGCAGAAACGAGACCATGTTACAGGCTACTCGAGACGGTCAAGCATCAACGATCAAAACTTTGGAAGGCTACTGCGAACGTTTAGCTGGTACTTTGGAAGTATGCCCATGAATGATATCTCATCGAAATCCATGATACTGATATCCACTTATAGGCTTTTGAATCGCATTACCTACATCTTGCCAGTAGCCTCTTGGATATAGTCAGGAAGGGTCATGCAAAGGTGGCGATCAAGATTGCAAAGATCGCGGAGATTGAAGGACAACGCGACGAGAAGGCAATCGCCATTCGGTTGGTCAAAAGACAAAATGTGACCTTTGCTCTTTTTGATCGATGCTGATTCGCTTCCTCACTGACCCCTTTCTCTAAATCGAATTTAGAAAGATATCGGCGCTCGGTTTCAATCTGTTAGGGCTGAAGCTCGAGTCATCAAACATTATCGAGCAAAGGTCATGGATTCCATTCGGGCCAGCGCTAAAAACCTCATTGAACGTCAATTCGCCAAATCTAAGGATAACCCGGCTGCGTTCTTCGAAGGGGAGAACTTTGACTGGTATTATCAGGATTTGCTCTTAGTAGAGGAGACTTTGATTGATATGTTTCCTCAAGACTGGAAGGTGAGCTCCATCTTCTGACCCGCTTTAGATTGTGATCTCTAAGATTGATCAGTTCACCACCTGCTCTTGTCGGTTTCTAGATATATCATGCCTACATCAAGGCTTATCACAAAGCACTATACAATTTCACCAAGGCGTACGCTACCTCCACTGACGCTGAGGCTGGTGCTCTCCTTGCTCTCGCCACTTTCACTAAAGAATACAAGAAAAACATGACAAAAGAACTTGATATCCCAGCCGAACTTATCGAACCTCCCTTGCTAGATGATGATATCCAAGGCTTGGTAGATGAATATTTGAAATTGATCAAAGTCAAAATGGAGGAATGGACGAAGAATTTGATGACGGGAGAAACGCAACTGTTTGTGAATCGTACTGAGCCACCTGAAGAGGATGCCGATCAGATGTACACCATGCAAGGCTCGAGTATCATGTTCCAGATGGTTTGTCGTGACTCGCTTGCAAATATCTCAGTGCTTATGAGTCCCGCGGCGGCTGATGTTGAATTGCTTGTGTAGGTAAACGCTCAGATCGACTTTGCCATCGACAGTGGGCAGGGGGCAGTGTTATCAAGGGTTGTAGAGGAATCAGCAAAGGTGATGTTATCAACCCAATCTCAGTGGACGACTCTGTTAAATGAAGAATTCAAGAAACACACATCCTCGAAAGCAAATGACGACCTACCGGGTGGACTGGTAGAATACACCATCAGTCTGGCCAATGACCAGGTTAAGTCGGCTGATTATGTCGAAGGGTTGTTAGGTAAACTTGAAGGTCTTGTGAGTGAGAAATATCGACAAGTGATCAATGACAAGTTGTCACAGGCGATGGACGGTTATTTGGAAGTTGCAAAACGGTGTGTGCAGGTGTTGATCGAGGCTGTGTTCAATGACCTCAAACCAGCCATCAAGTCATTACTCAGCAACAGCTGGTACACTGTCAATGAAGATGACGACCCCATGATACTGATCGTGGCGACCTTCAAAGATTACCTGGCCGACTATCAAGTTCATCTGAGTCCGAATTTATTTGATCTCTTGCTGGAAGACATGGTCGATACTTTCCTGATCGCTTACCTCAATGCGATCCGAAAGTGTTCCAAACTGCGGATTCCAGCTGCTATCGATCGAATCCGATCCGATGTGAAACTATCCTACGGTTTCTTCGTCACCTATAAGTCAGGAGCTGAACTTCAAGTATATTTCAAGGTCATCGAACACATTCTTGGAGTGATGAGCGCTAGTAAAACAATGTTTTTCTTGGATTGGCATTCTTTTGCAAAGGAATATGGCCCCCAGGTCGTTGGGTTCACTGAGGGTTTATTGAAAGCGAGGGATGATTTGGATAAGTCGGCTGTTAATGAGATCATGGAATCGATCAAGAAGAAGAAGGTAGACTTGGTAGAACCTGAATTGCCGACAATCTTCAGCCGCTTGGGTAAATAGATAATTATCGTGACTTAGGCTTCCTCTGATCGTGGTACCGTGCCGTGTAGTAACATCCCAGGGGACATACTGATCTCAGCATGGATTCAAGTATGTTATTGTAAAATAATTTAGTGTGGTTACAACGTTAGATTTAGATTACTACAACCAAGCTTCACTAAATATAAAAAAACATCCCATTCAATCTACTCTTTGCTACCAGTAGTTCTATGCGCCCGATGTAATTTGTTATTTCTTTGTAAACTTTGATAAATTTATCTTTGAGATTTGGGATAATATGTAGGGAGTATTGGAAGATCAGCAGATATCTAATTCTTGGACAGTTAATTCTATTGTTGTGAGTCAGTTTCCAACTTTGATTGACTCATTGACTAGATGGATGTGACATGGGTCCTTTATCAATGGTCCAATGAGTCAAGATGGGTGTCTTCAAGCCATCCTTCTTTGTCCACTCTCCAAAAACACTTTTCATGGACCCAAAGATATTTACCTGAAGATAATCAATAAAAATACTTCAAGGTAGCATATGTATTCACATTCCTTCCTTCAAAGCATGAGAACGCTTTTGTTGCCCAAGACTTATGCATGATAAATATCTGAGTTTTGCGTAACTTGAATTTTCCACATAGTTCAGACTCCAGAGGATTGAGAGGTTGACCAGATAGAATTGGGTCATGTGAGCCCATCTTGGTCCTTGGAACCTTCAGTCTCTATTTGGATGTAAAGCTTGTCAAAATGTGACCCTCGAAGCAATTTCCTGCGTATACATATGTCCATTATATAAGAATTACGACTGTGCTTGTCTTGCTCTGTGCAAAGAACATGATTCATACACTTGGAAGCTGAAATGGCAGGTTAAGATCAGTTTTGAGATTGTGTTTCAAGTGAATGTCTTATTTTAGAAGAATCAAACTCAAAATCCATTTTTGGTCATGTTTTTTCATTGAATTATTGTCCATGGTGTTTCCTGTGCATCAAGATAAAATTATAAGGTTGATAGGAGGCTAAATGAGGCTACATACCTCGTACGCTCATCAAACTCGCGATTTTTGATATCCTGGTCAGTATCTCAATATATACATGTTTAACCGTTGTTCTCTCAATCATCATACCTCTTTGTCTTATTGAGATCTTAGTCGATGCTGATCTGTTTTAATGTCTAAGTCGGAATTTCAAGCCATTCCTTATGTTTTGACGGCTGAACTCTCCTCATTTGTTGTTGCTCGAAGTGCGCGACGTTCACGGTGGAGTTTAATTTTTCTCTCCGATTGTCTCTGCTTGAAAGTTGAGTACTTCACGATCTCATTGCTACTGACGTTCAATGTCGTTGCCTTCAAACATACCCCACAACCAATATAGACGATTGGAGCTTACAAACGCCAAGTGTATCAGAGGTTACCTTTTCTGGTAGCCAAGAGCCACGGGATGAGCAGTCCACGGGCAAGCTGATGAATTGGCGAGCAACTTCTAGACGTGAATCGTTTATCTGGTGCCCGATGTCCATACATGGTCACCAAACGGGCGCAGAATAAAAACTGTTTGTACAACCTGACGGATCGTCTTCCAGATGTCTCGGGAGTCAGATTTAAGATAGATTGCGGCTATCGCTGCACAAATTTAGAAACATGTTTGTGTTCATCTATGAATGAGCCTTGATTGTCAGCTAATATGTTAATGAGAGCCTTTTTTGAGGGGCTCCCCAACAAGTCCACCTCGGAGATACCTCGCATCGGCTCTGTGAGTTACTTCAAACCGCTTGAAATTGATGAGCTATAGAGGATGGCATTGATAAAACTCGTTAGAAAGTCCGTTGCCACTTTTTTGGGATCAGAAAAGGAGCTGATATCCCCTCAAAGCTTATCAGTTATGGTGTGACACGTCCGAAAGACTGCTCAGTAAGTACGTCTGAAAGACCTTTGGATTTTAGGGTCTGCTTCCAAGATTTATAGCATTCTTCGGGTCTGCTTCCATTTGCGATTAGAATTTCCATAACGCTCGACCATCATGACTTCGGCAGAATTTCACAACGAAAAATTTGACCATACACTCGGCTCAACTTTCAGCTCCGCCACAAAGGTAGTTATGTATGGAGCTCACGATTTGGAACAAGAACAAGAGAGTATTCCAGAGATACATCCCGCGATATTGACCCCGAATGTTACGGAGGCCTCTGTGCTACCCATGAAGCTCATGAATGAGATACCCAACTTGCCACCAGCTGATAAGGGATTCTTAGCTTGGCGATTTCTCTTTGTGATATTCTGGGTGGATGCCCTTTTTTGGGGTATGCACAACGTCGCCTTTCAAGCTGAAAAAAAGCTTCTACAGCGGATGTAGACACACGCCTGCTTAAGTACTTTGACGTCGTGGCTTATCAACTTCATTCCTGTTATTCCTGCGCTCGTGACAGGCCCTGCGTTATCATTTAGTGTGCTACTCACTTATCCGCCATACACAAATATGAATCCGGCAGCAGCAGCATCAACAGGTATCGTGTTCACTGTTATCTTACCTCATGAATCGTCGAGCCAACTTTTTTTCTTGTTGCCTTGCTTTATTAGGGACCATATGTACGGGCATCATGTACTGTAGCGGTTCAATTCTTGCTCCACTTATAAGCAGATATCCCCATTTAATAACCTGGGGGCCTAGACTAGGGATCGTGATGTGTGCTGGGTCATTGTTGCTGTCAAGCTACGCTAGTAAGGAAAGTAATCTCAGCGCATAAGAATTATGTCAAGGAATTAAGTCATGTTTTTGAAATTGCAGGCTTGGCAGCTGTTCTTATCGCAAGGGATTCTATATAGCATTGGTAGCTGTAAGCTTGAAGTGTTTCAGCTGTTTCAGATTGAATTTTTGACAGTGTTTTTTTGATTAGCACTTGCATAGTGAGCCACATCTTTTCAGTTTGCAACTTCCAGCACAGGAACTAATTTGCGACAACAGCTATCCAGGGTTGATATTTTTGTCCGAATGGTGGATTGAAAGACGAGGGTTTGCTGGAGGCGTGATGTTCACTGGTACACATCTGGATCACTGCTATGGATCACTCTCCCAAGAATAATTACTGATTTTGATTTCAAAAATAGGCGCCTCTGTGTTTGGGCTCATCTACCCGCCCATAATGGATTGGGCCCTTGGTCGATATGGCATGCCGTTCACTTTTCGGGCTATGACACTAGCTTGGCTTATATGTGTTGTACCTATATTACCCTTCTATCAGTCAGTGTGTCACCTTGATCATCTCTGGCATTAGATTACTTGAGCAAGGCTATATAATTCAAAGCTGATTTGCCTTTCTTCATCTATTCTAATCGAACTTTTGATTCTAGTGGCCGTCTTGCTCATTCAACGCCAGATAAACAGAAAAAAACGAGAATGATGACCTATCTCAGTCGTCCAATCACGTGGATCTTGCTGCTATCGAATGTAAACGCTTTTTGAACTTTATTTTTGAATGTTTAATTTTTTTACTGAGGCACTCTCTCTGAAATCATACATGGTGCTTAGTTCCTACAAAGCTTGTGAGTATCTGGGAGTCCATAATACACTAATGCTAATTTGATACAAAAACCGGATGCGCTCGTGCTCATTCAATCAATGATTTGATGCTCATGTTTTGATATTCGCATTTAATCTAGGGCTTTCTTTGTTCCAATACTATACATCCCTTCCTTTGCAAAATCCATCGGGCACGACGGAGGAATATATCTTGGTATCTTTTCCGGAACAAGTATCTTTGGGCAAATGGTCGTCGGAACACTAAGTGATTACTGGGATGTCAGTTGGCTCATCGGAATCACCTCAATTACCAGTGCAGCCAGTATACTTGGCCTATGGAGATTTTGTAACGGGCTTTTGATGCTGGCAAGCTTCACCACAATTTGTGAGTTTGAAATGACCCATGTCCATATCTTTCCAAGAATAGTAAGATTGAAACTAAAGATTTTCCATTTGAATCCTTACCCACTCTTTTGAAAAGATGGTCTAACTGCCGGTGGTTATTCTTGCCTCTGGCAACGCTTTGTCAATTTGATTGATCCAGAGGACTCAAATCCGGCTAATCTGATTGTCATCTTTGTAACATGCAGAGGTATTGCCAATATTGCAACAGGTCCGATTTCAGGCACACTCTTGAGCTCTGCTAGCTCTGAAACCAATGGTTACCGTATTCTGATGTACTACAGCGGGGCACTCATGCTCCTTAGCTCGTTTGGTGTGGTTTGTTACTTTTTGAAGAAAAGAGAACATAAAGTGTAAAGTACTTGTCTAGTATCACTAGACAAAAAATAAAAATATATATGCAATTTTCTTATAAGTTGACCTCTACCGTCCTTTGTATACATATTCAGAGTTTTTTTATATATCAGGGTATGAAGCGGAATTTTTGGATTTGCTGTAATGGTGAGGCCTCATTAGGGTTACTCAAAAATCCAGTTTCACTGTCAACATACCATTTGAGAAGAGTGAGCAATCTAGACTTTTGAATTCACTAGAGACTATGCGGGCATGCCCGCAACAGGGAAACTATGCTACAATTGTATCCAATTATTGTACTTAACAATGAATAATGACTCAACCCGGTTCCTCCTCTCATCACTGTATACTCTGTATTGCTTATACAATGTATCAAGCTCTTATCATCATGTTTCCAAAACTTCCTTTCGAGGCACCTAAATTGCCATATTAATGAGGCCAATGGAAACATGGAAAGAACAAATACAGAATTTGTTTAACTCAAACACAGTGATCTCCACACCAGGAAAATCACACCAAAGTGCAACCCAATCATTAACAATATTTCTCTACTTTTGAAAGTTGCCACATGAGATCCCACATGAAATCCAGTTTTATTCTTGATGTCCCTATGTAAACCATATGGACCATATTAGGAAAGCATAGCAACCCAGCTTCAATATCTGTGAAGAAACATAGCACATACTTGAAAAAAATCATCTTTGTTGACACCCTCCTCTATTGAATGTTCCAGTGCCTCAGTAATGTAAGGTTCATTTGAAGAGAAATCTGCAAGGCAAATGAAGCTTTCCAACACCGCGGGAATGATTAAGTTCAAAACCCGATTGAGCGAAGTTGTGGTGTCCGAGTCCGCAACTTTGCTCAATCACGGATTTTGTTCACATCTTGTTCACATCTTGTTTACAAGTTTCCCTCGAGCTATCCTCTGCTACCCCAATCTCATTCTATTCTTGACACGTGGTCATATGTAGTACATACATAGAATCCCTTTCAAGTCATCAGGCATCATCCTTGCTACTATGTATTCTGGTCTTACTTTCCAGGTTTCATTGCAGTGCTTTTGTCACACTGCAAGAAGCATTGTCCCGACACCGTTCTTTAGGTCACTCATTGCTGATGCTAAACAACAATGAAGTTGATGGACCTTTTGAGATACGGACAGGGAATTGGTGGATGGTGCGATGGAAAATATGACCTTTGGTTGTGATCCAGATGATTGATCAACAAAGAAAGGATCTCGGTGCGGACAAATTGAAATTTGATTGTGTACGAGGGAGAGTACAACTCAAGGGAAACCTGTGAACGAGATGTGAACAAGATGTGAACCAGATCGTTGATTGAGAAAAGTTGCCGACTTGGACACCGCAACTTTGCTCAATCGGGTTTTGAACTTAATCATTCCCGTAGTGTAATCTGGTGACTGATAGACTATAAAACAAATAACTGCTCAATTTTTTGATGTGGTAGGGTAGAGCAATGAAAACTTACATACCAGAATATTGGTTTCTGATGTCAGCTCTGTGGTTCTGTGCATTGTAATTGTACAACCCATTCAAATCACATGCAAGTAATTCTTTTGCAAGCTGGATTTCAGGAAAGATACTGTTGATTTCCTCAGAGTTTGATCTGAAACTCTTTTACACTGCTCAAGCCATGATCCTGGGAGCTCTGCATTTGAAAATGATGATTGATCAGTTCTCCCTGATGTTGTTCCATATCCTCAATGCCCAACTTGGTAATATCAATACTTTGAACACATAACTTCACAACTTTTTTTTGGTGTCATAGGGTAGGGCAATAAAACCTTACATCACGGAATATGGATGTCAGGCAAGATAATGTTGCTTGTTGATTTCTTATAATTTTAATCTGCAAATCTATTGAAATGTTCAAGCCATTGTCCTGGGCTTTCTGAATTTTAAAATAATGTTTGATAAGTTCTCCCTGACGTTTGTGCATATCCTCAATTACCAACTTGCTTATATCAATGATTTTGGTAGGACACAACCAGCATAGTGTAACAGGGATAAAAATCCTGTAAAGCCACCCATAAAATTTCCTGCATGGGAACCTCAAATCCAGGATTTTACTATGTCAATAATGACATAAATTTAACAAAGGCTTGTTCTACGTATATCAAACTCCGCCTAGCATTGCTACGTTTTCTAATGTAATGGTTTCTATTCCCATATACAATTCCACCTGTTGGACCCAATCAGAATCTTATATGAGTTACACAAAGATGCCTAACACCTCAAACCATTTGGGTAGGGCAAAGTTTGACATTTTGGGAAAACATAAAATAACAAGGGTATGTTTTATGAGACATACAATTGTTTGCAAGTTAATGTAGAAGATGTGTTAAATAATTTGAAGAAGAGGTAAACAATTTGGACAAAAACTCCATGTGGGCAGTTAAAGAACTTTGATTGAAAATATCCCTGATGTCCCAAAACATCCTACAATTGAGCTGAAACATCTGTTTAGTACCTTAATCCAATAATCAAAAGAATTATATGTCACAACTTGATGCTTTACTACATAATTCTTTTCCCTGACCCACTCTCATATTGGGTGATAACTGGCCATGAACAACTCTTATGCTAAGACCCTCTTTAAAAATTGAATTGTGAGAAAGTATAGTAAGTTCTGATTCAAATAGGGACTAACCAGGATCCTTGTTTACCAATATGTTGAACAACCATCAAATATATGTCACCTGACAAACTTCCTATCCAGGTATTCCTGGACTGGTAAAGTACACACATGCAAGTAATCAATCATATTAGCCTCTGCCTGACTCAAGCTATCAGTCTAAACATCAGAAAACACTCACTTTCACTAAATATCTCATATTCACACCCTTGCACATCCACCACAAAAGTAAAAAACCCAAAAATGCAGGGTTACCTTGAAAGAACCTTGAGGCACGAATGGTTCTTAAGCCCACGAGTAGCAGCGGAGGTAGTTCCGGTACCGGGAGACGGTACCTCTATCCGTGGAATGAGCTTGTGAGGAAATCATAGCAGGAAAAATTTCCTCCTGTATTCCACATCAGACTACCGACAGCTGCACTCAGATTATCTCACGGGAATAATCCTCAACACCTAAAATTTTTGTTGATTGTCAAACAAGAAACCTTGAAGATTCAAGATACACATTCCCAGGCAATTCAATCACATTCTCAAAATTCAGATGGACGAGAGATTGGCAAACGCAGATGCACGGGTGACAAGAGCTGGATCAGCAGCCTTGGCCGCACAACCGCGAGTAGAACCTGAGAAAAGGAAGAGGGTACCGAGAATCGAAGAAGAAGACGGAGAAGGTACAAGCGAGGAAGAAGGCGAGTCGGAAGACGACCCAAACGCCATGAAGGCCGGTGATGCAAACCTATTACCAGAGTCAGACGATGATTCCTGGGCACCACCACAACCAGGTGCAGGCCAGTTGAGCGACGAGGAGGAGGATGAATTAGAAGAAGAACGAGACAGTAGTCAAGGTAAGCTTCCAGTTTAAATCCAATTTGATTCGTATTTCTCTCTTTCCAACCCCCAGGATCCATCAATAACCGGTCCAAAAGGCAGTGGGCGGGAAACCACGACGAGACAACGTGATGAGGGTAATATCCCATTCCACGAGAACAGTCGAGACAGACATGTTACACGAGGTAATCATGGTCCTAAGACGTTGAGGCTTGATCCCCAACCTGGGGTGGCCTGCGAGAAGAAGTCCTCTCAGCGGATATTGCTCAAGACACAGAAGAGGAGAGAACAGTCGCTGACTTACACCTCTACGATCCCAACCCGCAGGAGTTGAAGGGGACCGAATCCTAGTGATCCAATCACAAATCAACGAGCCCTATGCGAGAGGTGATCACACAGACGGAGCAGCCTTACTCGCCCAATTGATCGACTCCTTCATGGAACGCCCAAACTCCAATCAAGGGGCATCGACGAGACACGGAAGCGTGAGCACGAGACAAGAAAGCCCCCAACGTCGACGCCAACAGATCCAAAACCAAGAACCAGCGAGAGTAGCACAACCTCCACCACGGCAGACAGAGGTCTCAGCACAAGCTCCAACCAGGAGGACACACGGTTTGATCCAAGACAACCTCACCAAAGCCTCATACGAGCAACCAGAAGGAGTAGAAGATCACCTCCCTAAACGACCTAGAGCGCAACGTTCCCAATCCCCGAAAGATCAGACGTCAAAATCGAAATCGGCAAGGGTCGACCAGACCGAAGCCGAACGAGCCAAAACCATGCTCATGTCCCGGAAGGGAAGGATGGTCCTGTCAAACGGCGATGTCATTGAAAACGGAAGATTAATAGTGCTAGACGATTCGACCCAAATGGAGAAATCCTTACCAGAGTTATCCCCCGTCCTGACCGTCTATATGCAAACATTTAAAGCATACATCCCCCTGTCAGTTTTTGAGCGGAATTTTCTGAGAGAAGACGCGAAGGGGTGGAGCACAAAGAAGGCTCCGACAGCCACGAAAATCCTTGAAGGAAACGGAACACGAGTGTATGGCGGAGATCCCCCGATGGACGAGCTAACAATGCAATACGAGCAATGGTTAGACGCGATAACCCTCTTTATACGTTATGTGAAGCAGGCGGAGTGGCAAACCCAAGCTGAGAGGTTCGAAGGACACAAGTTGATAGTGATGGACCTACGAGAGAACGTAGGGTGGATGGTGGCACTCAGGTACTGCCAACGTGTACGACAAGGCCTAATGAGAGCGACGGTTGACCGGAAGATTTACAACATCACAAAAGTCCAAAACGTAATTCTAGACGAAGTCAAGTTGATCTGCGAAAACCAAGGAGAGCGAGCATTCAGATCAAACCCCTATGCACCAGGAGGCCCCCGGGAAAGCTGGAACCCGGAGACCGGCTTAGCACCGCCAATGAGAAAGACCACAATGGCAACATACGGCAGATCTGAGTCAGGCCCGATGGCCAGTACCTCACACTACGGAAACACCACAACACCATCCTATCCAGCCACGAACCGGAACGGCGAACCATGGCTTCCGAAGGCCGAGTACAAGGCGAAGAGAGCAGCAGAGAGGCAAGTCACCAGAGACCGCAGGAACCATAGAGGAAGGAGCCCAGAAAGGCGGAGGAGTCCAGACCGAAGCTATGAGCGGAGAGAAGACCGCCGTAGAGAGCGTAGTCGGAGCATAGATAAAGGCTATGGTGCCAAGAAAAATGACCGTTACGGGAAAAGGAGCTAGTGAGTAGCGGTAATCCCATTGTGAAATGAAATGAAGAAGGCGCAGACCTTAGTTCCCCCCCCAAAAAAAAAAAAAAAAAACTGCAGTGACCAGCTCCAGAAAGTGAGACCAATGCCCTAACCTGAGTGATTTACACCGTTGTCCCGTCCAACCCCTTTAGCCAAACCCTAGGTTACAACCCAATGCCAGAGAAACCACCGAGATTCTGCCTAATGCCACTATCCCCCCGTGAGAAGCTGAAAGAGCGCGAACCGAGTACTCAGCAGAGAGAGAAACCCGAAAGGAAGCTGATGGGGCGGTGGCCAACACACGTGACGTGTGAAATGAAGATCCCGGTCTGGGAACGAGAGCTCAGACGGGCAGGCATCCTGGAAGAGAACAGGCGAATCCTGGAAGGCTTTGTACGGGGTTTTCACCAAGGAATCCCGGAAGAGGCAATAAGAAACCAGAAATATTTTTGCCCGCCAAATCATTCATCAGCTTTATCCACAAGACAGAAGATAGAAGAGAGTATGGAAAAAGAGTTAAAAGAAGGGCGGATGTACGGCCCCTTCACAAAGGAGGAAGTGTACGAAGAACTGGGGTTCTTTCAGACGAGTCCATTAGGAGCGGTTACAAACGGAGACGGGTCTCTTCGGCCAATAAACGATCTTTCTTTCCCGAGAAACGACTCACTCATAAATTCAGTCAACGCCAGAGTAAATAAAGATGAATTTGAAACGTCGTGGGACAACTTCGAAAAGGTAGCCTTGTTCCTGCTCAGCTCAGACGGCCCGGTCCTCTTAGGAATTTATGACTGGGCCCATGCATACCGACAAATCCCGACGATGATGAGCCAGTGGCCATATCTAATGGTACTAGGATTCGAAGGAGGGGTGTACCTGGACACCCGTATCACGTTCGGAGGCGTGGCAGGTTGTGGAGTTTTTGGCCAGGTGGCAGACACGTGGAAACTTATCATAACGAGTCGGTTTGGTTTCCTGGAGGCATTCCGGTGGGTTGACGACACGCTGTTCGCAAAACCAGCAGATGGCTCGAATCCCTACACCATGAGAGACGTGGTGAACCTCAGCGACGAACTAGGCGTGGCCACAAACGCGAAGAAATGGCGTGAGTTTAGTTACAAACAAAAATACCTAGGGTTCCTGTGGGATGGTCTAAACAAAACGGTGCAAGTTCCAGAAGAGAAGAGGTCAGAGAGGCTGGAGCAAATCAGGCACTTCCGAGGTCAAAAGAGGGAATCGTACAAGGCAGCAGAGAAGATGGTGGGACAGCTCAGTCACTTAACACTGGTATACCCACAGCTTAAGTGCCACTGCATGGCGATTTACCATTGGTTAGCGGAATGGAAGAATCGGATGGCCTTACGCGATATTCCCGAGGAGATCATGGAGGACCTCGACACCTGGGAGAGAGTACTAACACACGCAGAACCGAGACGACTGATCCCAAGACCAGGAGTACGTAATGTTGGCTGGGTCGGCGATGCATCGTCGTCGTATGGTATAGGGATAATTGTCGGTAAGAAGTGGTCCCGCTTCAGGCTAAGGCGAGGTTGGGATGAAGTGGAAAGTGACGGTTCGAGGAGGGAGATAGCATGGGCCGAGACAGTGGCTCTTAGGCTAGGCCTGCTGATGATGGAGACGCTGATGGACATGGGAGGCTCCGAATTCTTAGTGCTAACAGACAACGTAGTGACAGAAGGAGCGGTACGAAATGGGAAATCACGTAATAGATGGGTCAACCGGGAGTGGATTAAGTGTCAAGATGAGACTTTCAGACTTAACTGTAGGATCATGCAGAAACGAGTACGTTCGGAAGACAATGCCGCCGACCGGCTGTCGAGAGGTTTCGACTCGACGAAACAGGTTAGAGATCTGGTAAAGATACGAATTCCGCGTGATCTGGAACGATTCATTGTCCAGGAATAGTTGCAAAGAATTGAGACACCAAGCCCAAAATCAAGGCGACCAAAAGCACTTACCTGAACGTCAAAAGTCATTCGATGCCACCATTACCAAAACACTTCGAAGCAGCGAAGGACAAATCAACATCAAAGGCAGGGAAGCATGTAGCACTGAGTGGTTGGGCTGGGTCGACACTGAAAGGTTACTCAAGCGGAATGTCAAAATTCATAGAATTCAAGAGCAAGATGGCAGGAGGATTCGACGAAGACGTACCTATAACAGATGAGGATATTTACGATTTCATCGCGTGGGCAGGCCCATCGAAGTCGGAAAAGGAAAACGGTCCAGACAAGGAAATCTCGGCGGTGACCATAAAGAAATATCTAGATGGCATACGAGCCTGGCATATTGTAAAGCACATGGCAAGACCGAACGTAGATCAAGAGGTAGTCTCAGTCCTAATTACGGCGACGAAGAGAAATGAAGAAGAAGCAGCATTAGTGACGAACAAACAACCCATCATGATTCGACAATTGTACAAGCTCCTGCGATACGCTCATGGTAAATCCCCGGAACTGGAACTCACGGCGTCGGTGGCGCTAATAGCCTTTTGGGGGGTAGCGCGACTAGGCGAGTTGCTGAGAGGTAAAGCGAGCGAAGGAGCGCTACTCCGAAGACACGTGGAGTTCGGAGAGAGGAAAGGAGCGAGATTCACATCTCTGCAGCTGAGAAAAGCGAAAACGGCACGGAACGGCGAAAGCCAGACAATCCACCTACCAGAACAATTCAACGTGTTAGACCCGGTAGCTGCTCTAGAGAGAGTATTAGAAGGCAACAGGAGGAAAAACCGGGATGACTTACTATTCACTTGGGAGAGCCCTCAAGGTGCAAAACCGCTGTCGAAGGCGAGATTCATCAAATTGGTCGAAGAAGTATGGGGAAAAGCGTCGATCGGAACCTGGTCGGGACACTCATTCCGGGTAGGAGGGGCTTCAATCAGGTATAACCTGGGAACACCAATGAAGAGCATAGCCAGACAAGGCAGGTGGAAGTCTTTGACTTAACTGCGGTACTTAAAGACGTACAGCGAGGAAGAGGTCCAAGATACCACTCGTTTCCTAGAGATCATCGACGAAAGAAAGGACAGAGCAGAAAGGAGAGAGTAAAACAGAGATGCAATATGATACCAGAGGAGAAGTTTAAGAGAGTGACACCTCCCCTCCCCAAAGTGAGAAAGAGGGATCGACAGAGAGATGAGCAAGCCACTGAGTGGCGTAAGGAAAGCAAGAACCTTAAAACGGGGGGCACTCATGCAGTTCCCCCCCTCTTTTACTTCCTGATAGCGCAGAGGGCATGCACAGGCCGGTGCTCGGACGTGTTGGGGGGAGCCCGAGAGGCTCAGCGCCAAACCCGGGTGCCGAGTAATGGGGGCTCGGGCTACCCCAAAACATCAGAGCAAGACGGCATCCACCTAGGTAGGGCGGGCGGGTCTGCAGGGCGAGGCCGACCCAAACAAGTTGGTTTACGAGAACCAACTGTTAGGGGCCGGGGCTTCGCCGCTCACGCAAACCCGCTACTTCTGACCTAAGAGGTAAGAAGTAGCAGAGGTGGGGTTTTATCGACTCCATGACCACACACGGTCGAGAAGACCAGTCTTCCCAGAAGATAAAAACCCACCACCAACTATCACATAGCTGTGGAAAGAGTGGGTTGAAAGAACCTTGAGGCACAAATGGTTCTTAAGCCCACGAGTAGCAGCGGAGGTAGTTCCGGTACCGGGAGACGGTACCGCTATCCGTGGAATGAGCTCGCAAGGATATCATAGCAGGAAAAATTTCCTCCTGTATTCCACATCAGACTACCGACAGCTGCACTCAGATTATCTCACGGGAATAATCCTCAACACCTAAAATTTTTGTTGACCTCCCGCCCACCCGAGCAGTTGTGATAGGTAAGCATAACAAATCGTAATAGAGACCCCACCCACCGAACCAGGGCGAGGCCGACCCAAACAAGTTGGTTTACGAGAACCAACTGT